GTCTTAATTGATTGTTCACGCTTACAGTGGCTTTCAGACAGCATACATTAATTTTTCGTCTCCCCCCTCCTCTTTTCAGAACATAGATGTACTAGTCCTTCTAAATAAACTGCCAAATCGCTGCGCGTGGCGCTGACGTTTTTTATAAATAAATAAATACACCGTAAAAAATAAAATACATTTATGCAAACCGACACACCTGATGACGACCGTTTGTGTTATGGTCGAAACGTCGTGAGAATTTTTATTGTTTTATATATCATTATTTTATTGTTTCCCTTCAACGTGACTTTACCGAAAAAACTAATAATATGAATTACTGCAGTCACGAAAGCTTTAAATCAAAATTTAAATCAAAATTTAGGTTTTTACCCTTTTAGCTGGCACAAAAACTGACACCTTTATACAAGGGATTATGTTTGCAATAACCACAACACAAGCAGTCAAAAATGCAAACAAAGGAGGTCTCATAATGTAAAGGCTTACCCCGAGCTCTCAATAGTGTGCTGTTTTTGAGTTGTACGCCTTTTGGCGTTATCTGGTCCAACACTAGTGTAGACTAGGCCCTAAGAAAAGCCGTCTCGGGTGTGAACCAATCAAATTCAAGGACAGTACATATTATCAGAGTTGTCTCTTTTGTTTGCATTTTGACTGCTTGTGTTGTGGTTATTGCAAACATGATCCCTTGTATAAAGGTGTCAGTTTTTGTGCCAGATAAAAGGGTAAAAACCTATTACTATATCTTGTTACTGGCAAAGGAGGTCTCATAACGGTCCAAATAAGTCGATTCTTCCATTAAATCGTGACCCCTAATCATGACGATTCATAAAATCGCTGGGGGCGGGCGGGGGGGTTGATGAGGTTGTGAGAAGCTGAATGCCTATGGCATAGCAAGAAGGGACGATGTTCCAGTGAAAGAGATTGGCGATGGGAAGGCAGCCAAAGGAAATGAGAGAATGCACCTGTAGAAGACGACCATCTGGGTGAGACCAATACGGAGCTGTGAGATCTGCCGATGTGTAGGAGTGAAATTTGGCATCGCACGACCGCAAGGGATGGCGACAGCGTGGGGGGAGGTCTTCACCCAACGGTTGATGAATGGGGTGGTCTTTGATAAGCGGTGGATAGACCAAAGCTCTTAGAGATGATAACGAAGATAATGGATGAGTAGATGATGAAGAAGAAGATGATGACAAGATGATCACGAGATGATGACGATGACGACGTTGTCATAGTTTCCACCGTCACAGCCTCGTGGGACTGCTGCCTCAGTAACAGTCACGAGGCAGGCCACACCACACCGCAGCATTGGGCCACCTCACTACACCACTTACACATCTTCCTATCACTCTATTTGCAATGCTTTTTTTAGCGTTGCGGATAAGAGGACTGGATTGGCCAATTCATCCGATGCGTTTTTGGACGCGACGACTCCCAAGGGGCGTTAACATTTGTGGATGATATCGGTTAAAACCAAAAAGTCCCCCGCACGCAAATGCCGCTGACCCCCCCGCCCCCCGCCTCCCCCCCCCCGAAAGCGTCCCACCTGCGCATAGTAGATAAGGGGCGTTTATTATCTGGATACACTGGACATAAAAAATAACTTATCAGACAAATGTTTCTTATCGGTGGAGCGGGTCCCTCCAATCGCTGCGGATAAGTGTAATGGGTACGACAAACAGTTCCTATCGGTGACGGAACGCGACCCGCGCGCCGCTTGCCAACGTGCGGCCGCACGACGGAAAGGATGTGGAGAGAGATTGCGAGCCCAGCTCCTGTGCTTCCTGCCTACTCAAGGGGCCTGCAGCTTCCAGAGATCATTTATTTCTTGCATTCCGTTCGCTGTTGTAACTCGCTCAACCCGACCATACTGGACATCTGTGATGCCAAAAAAAAAAGAGCTTCAAGGCTCAGCGGATTCCTCCTTCCGCAAGTCCAGGTAACGATTCTGATAAAACCAGGTGCAGCCAACACTGGGCCCCACCGAGCGGAAAATAGGCGGACGGTGAATTATGAACTCAAAGCGAACGCAAGCTGAGGCAAGAGAGAAAATAGAGCCGTCCTGTCCGGTTGGGTCCAGAAGCTTCCTTTCCCCAGCAGCTTTCACAAGAGAGCCACTGTCGGTGCTCCTACCTTGTGGGGAAATCGGAGGAAGTCCTCGATGCGACTGTCGAGACCTCTGACCCATTTGCAAAGCACGCCGCGAACCGTGGCCCAATGTGGAAATTCATCCTGAGACGCCGGTAGCGGAGCAGCGGCAGCAGCAGTGATTCATTGAACCTCGCCCTGAAGCCTTTGCATAGTATGAAAAAGGAAGAATAGATTTTACCCTTTCTGGCAATAAAACAGGAGGCGTTAAGATGTTCAAACACCAAATAGAAACCTTTTGCAAGGCATCAAGTTTGCATTAACCACGCACACACAGTACTTGTGAACATACACGCAATCGCTTTGCAGAGCTTTGATATCTCGGAGATCTTTAAAAGTTGATATTCACGAAGCCAGGTGCAGTTGCAGGAAGAAGTGGCCCAAAATGTCGCTGTGGTTAATTTCAACATTGGCAACTTGTGGCCCCCGACACTGAAACGCGACCGACCGGTTGCGTAACTTTGCAACTGACGGCGTAGGGTTCCTGTTTGCGGCGTTCTCTCGTTATTCGCGACGAGGAGATGCGAATTACTGTAAATAAATACATAAATAAGCTATTAAATACAGTAAATGTATCTCATCACTTTCTCACATAAAATCTTGAATTAAAGCTTTCGTGACTGCAGGAATTCGTATTCTTGGGTTTTTCGGTAAAGTCACGTAGATAGGTTCAAAGAACGTAACATTTGTTATTTTTGTTATTTTATTTCAACCTATCTACCTGACTTTACCGAAAGACCCAAGAATATTTCTCACATCGCTTTATTTCATCACTTCCTCTCTCATCGCTTTCTTTCTCGCTCCCTCTCGGTGCAATAGTCGTGTAGAGTTCCAGATGCGATTCGTGGGTAGCGAACATCACGGAGAGCAAGTTGGTGAATAACGAGGTTGGGGATGCAGTAGCCCACCCTCGCGCGTGCTGCCAGGCTGTGCTTGGAGTTGCTGTTGGGCAGTAGCGTGAGAGGAAATGTGAGCGGTACCACGAGAGCTGTTGTTTGACTGTTGTTCTTTCCTTACCAAAAGTAACAGCACCCAAGTGATATTGAGTTGGTTATGTGACCAAGAATTAAGTCGCCTCCATGCATAGATTTTGTCAAAACTCCTGCAATTGCTAAAACAACACCATAAAATGTTTTTTTTGGGTTAGATCGCGTAAATATATAAATGTGTCGTTAAAACCCGCCACCACCCGACACAGCCAACTAGTAAGGGTTGTCACGTAAACAAAACGTGGCCAATTCGTCACTAGTACAGCACACCGGTGTGTTGGAGAGCCAAGCCACAACATTTACAATCTGAGTACGACGTTTCGCCAGTAATTATAACTAGCTTCATCAGGTGACAGCCAGATTTGTGGACAAGTCCACCTGTTTCATTCATTATATAGAGGCGTAGATGTGGTGACCACCCTTCTGCGCTCTTGTGGAAAGTGGGGGTGGCGGGGGGACTAATGAGTCGACGAACATTATGCATGTGCATTATGCGTGTGCATTATGCAAGCCCTTTGAACTTGTCCTTCCTGTCCACTGTGTGTATTAAAATAGCCGTACCAACGGTGATCCCTATTGAAGTATAGTGGCCTGTATAGGCATGCATTTAAATAATGTTTTGTTTGATGATTCGCTTACACGCAGCACTCAGTCGGTAGCTATCCGAACGGTAAACATTATTTTAATATGTTTCAATTTCGATAGACAACAACACCATGTAGCGAGTATTTACGTGGGAAAAAAAGTGTCCTTTTGGGGGGGAGTACACTTTGTGAAACTTTTGCTGTAACTAAATGATAAGATGGTGATGATGATTATGATGATGATGATAGTGATGATGATAGTGATGATGGTGATGATGATGGTGATGATGGTGATGATGATGGTGATGATAGTGATGATAGTGATGATGATGGTGATGATGATGGTGATGATGGTGATAATAGTGATGATGGTGATGATGATAGTGATGATGATGGTGATGATGATGATAGTGATGATGATGATGGTGATGATGATGGTGATGATGATGGTGATGATAGTGATGATGATGGTGATGATGATGGTGATGATGATAGTGATGATGATGGTGATGATGATGATGGTGATGATTATTATTATGATGATAATAGTGATGATGGTGATGATGATGATAGTGATGATGATGGTGATAGTGATGATGGTGATAGTGATGATGGTGATGATGATGGTGATGATGATAGTGATGATGATGATGGTGATGATGATGGTGATGATGATGGTGATGATGGTGATGATGATGATGGTGATGATGATAGTGATGATGATGGTGATGATGATGATGATTATTATGATAATAGTGATGATGGTGATGATGATGATGGTGGTGGTGATGATGATGGTGGTGATAATGATAGTGATGATGATGGTGATGATGATGGTGATAGTGACGATGGCCAGCAGGCGATGGTGGCTATGCACGTGGCCTGTAATCTATCCCCATAGTCGATTCTTGCCGGTGCGCACTCACGTTGTGAAACTCCACGTCAGCGGGCACCGAAGTGGCCCGCACTTGCTCGCCGAGGCGGACGGCGGTACGAGGACGCCGTGGACTTACCTCCATCCGTCCCAACTCGGCGGGATAGCGTCTTGCTACCTTCACCAGCGTGTCGGTTTTCTCTCGGTGCTCCGTTTTCCTCCCGCGTGCATGAAAACGAATGAAGCGGCTGATCGCACCTTGACCGGTGCGCCCCTCGGTGCTTTGCGGATTTGCGCAGCGTCGTGTGATGCCGTTGCATAAACGACGCCGTACGAAAACCAAAGCGATCGAAACGACGTTGATTCCTTGTGGGGGGGGGGGGGGTTTCTTCGTCCATTTAACAGTCGACCAAAAAGGCGAAGGCGACGAAAGCTGCCGGAGAGGATGAGGAGGAAGGCAGACGGAAAGCGGGGAGCTCTGTCGGTGGTGGCGGTGGCGGCACACACGGAGTTGGCGGCTTTCCCTGGATCATCGGCAGCAAGTCGAGCATCACCCGCACGGGCAGACGTGGAGACGAGCACGACTCCACCTCCGGTAGGGTTGTGAATACACCACCATGCTACACCACCATGCTACACCACCACACTACTACACCACCTTATACCACCACCATGCTACACCACCACACTACTACACCACCTTATACCACCACCACACTACACCACCACACTACTACACCACGCTACACCACCACACTACTACACCACACTACTACACCACACTACTACACCACCACACTACTACACCACCTTATACCACCACCACACTACACCACCACACTACTACACCACCACACTACTACACTACTACACCACCTTATACCACCACCACACTACACCACCACACTACTACACCACCTTATACCACCACGCTACACCACCACGCTACACCACCACACTACTACACCACCACACTACTACACCACCTTATACCACCACCACACTACACCACCACGCTACACCACCACGCTACTAGACCACACTACACCACCACACTACTACACCACCACACTACTACACCATGCTACACCACCACACTACTACACCACCACACTACTACACCACCTTATACCACCACCACACTACACCACCACGCTACACCACCACACTACTACACCGCCACACTACACCACCACACTACTACACCACCACGCTACTACACCACGCTACACCACCACACTACTACACCACCACACTACAAGACCACACTACACTGCCACACTACTACACCACCACGCTACTACACTACGCTACACCACCACACTACTACACCACCACACTACTACACCACCTTATACCACCACCACACTACACCACCACGCTACAACACCACACTACTACACCACCACACTACTACACCACCTTATACCACCACCACACTACACCACCACGCTACACCACCACGCTACTAGACCACACTACACCACCACACTACTACACCACCACGCTACACCACCATGCTACACCACCACACTACTACACCACCACCATGCTACTAGACCACACTATACCACCACACTACTACACCACCACACTACTACACCACCACGCTACTACACCACGCTACACCACCACACTACTACACCATACTACACCACACTACTACACAATACTACACCACACTACACCACCATGCTACTGCACGACGCTACACCACCACACTACTACAACACGCTACACCACCACCCTACACCACGCTACACTGCCACGCTACACCACCACGCTACACCACCACACTACTACACCACTTTATAGCACCACCATGCTACACCACCACGCTACACCACCACGCTACTACACCACACTACTACACCACACTACACCACCACGCTACACCACCACACTACACCACCATGCTACACCACCACGCTACACCACCACGCTACACCACTACGCTACACCACCACACTACACCACCACGCTACACCACCACACTGCTACACCACCACACTGCTACACCACCACACTACACCACCCCCGGTAGGGTTGTGACTCCATCACACTCTCCGTGTCACTCGACATGCGTGCTGATGACGATATCTTGAACTACACCAGGGGTCGGGAACCTTTTTGACTAAGAGAGCCATGAAAGCAAAAAATTTGGAAATTTATTTCAGTGAGAGCCATATAATATATTTTAAAAGTGAATTCAACTAAATGTCAGTATAATAAGCCTCTGAATTTATTCTTTTAAATAATGTTGTTATAACACTCACCATTAATGCGACTTCTGGTGCTGCATGGATTTGCTGATGTCTTTGTAGTCGGGTTGGTACTTTGTAGTCGGGTTGGTACTTGGTGAGGTTAAGCTTCATGCAAGCGTTGAGGCTTTCATCCGTTAAACGTGATCGTAGGTTGGACTTGATGTTTTTAAGATGTGAGAATGACTGCTCACATGCATACGTAGATCCAAACATGGTCAATACAGCAATACTCACACGCTGCAGTGTGTGGTATGTGACAGGAAGCGCGTTCCAAGTTTTGAGAATCAGCTGGTCTTCGGGTTGGAGTTTTTTCATTTCTGTCCACATGTGCTTGCTCGCCAACTCCGCTTTCTGTCGTGTGATTCTTTCCAAATCTTCATTCAGTGACTTGAACTTATTCACCCACATGTCTGAGGCCTTCAGGTCAGCCACTTCTGCTTCAAAATCTCTGACGGAGACACCAGGGATGTAATTCAGGTCGGCTGTGTTCAGTGAACACTCGTTTGGATGGGTGATGAACTTAAAAAGACGAGTGTGCTCACGAAATTCTCCAAAGCGTGCTTTGAAGGACTGTAGGAGACTGGATGTGCAGCCAGCTAGCTGGTGGAGATCAAGGTTTTGAATGGGCTCACTTGCTGTGCATGCATCTTTAAATTGGCTCAGTTTTTCAAAAGTAGTAAACGACCTGTTTCAAGATCCGTGATGAAAAGCTCCAGCTTGTTTTCAAAAGCAAATACAGCTTGTTGAAGGGATAACACTGTATTTCCAATGCCTTGCATTTTCACGTTGAGCTGGTTCAGATGTTCAGTCAGATCTACGAGATAGTAAAACTTGAGGAGCCACTCGGTGTCGGCTAGCTCAGGATGCCCGACGCCTTTCATTTCAAGGAAAGTCCGGATTTCGTTCAGGCAAGCCGCAAAACGGCTAAGCACCTTCCCTCTTGACAACCAACGCACATTGCTGTGCAAAAGCAGACCAGGATAGTTATTTACAACTTCATCCAGCAGTGTTTTAAACTGGCGATCATTTAAGGCTCGGGCAACAATAAAGTTGATCACACGAATGACCAGCGACATCACTTCGCCAAACTGCCTGTCACACATCTGAGCACAAAGTGCCTCCTGGTGTATAATGCAATGGAAACTTAGGATGGGTCTATTTTCATGTTCACGGAGAAGCGCCACAAATCCTTTGTTTTTCCCCACCATACACGGAGCACCATCAGTACACACTGAGAGAAGTTTATCCATAGGTAGACTTATTTCTTGAGCAAACTCCATGAAAGACTTGAATAAATCCTCACCTCTTGTGGACCCTTTTAATGGCAGAACAGCAAGACTTTCTTCGCACAGTGTGTCACCAACAGCATATCTTGCAATCACGCTGAACTGCGACAAATGGCTCACGTCTGTTGACTCATCCAAAGCCAGAGAAAAGAACGGCGCTGCATTTATGTCCTTCACTTGCGTTTCCTCCACTTTGTTTGCCATCACGATGGTACGATCATGAACAGTTCTTGCCGACAGAGGCATGTCTTGTATCCGTTTGATTATCTTGTCTTTGTTCGGAAGATCATCAAAAAGTTCATTGGCTACATCCAGCATGAACGTTTTAGCATACTCGCCATCTGTGAATGGTTTTCCGTTCCTCACTATTGCTAAAGAACCAGCAAAGCTAGCCGAATTATAGTCACCTTGCCGGGTCCATACGCGGAGTTGCTGCTGGCTAGCTTGCATCCTGCTCAGAAGCTCTTGGCACGCTTTCTTTCTGCTGTCTCCCGCAGGGTATTTTGATGCAAAGGTAGCGTGGCGCGTGTCGAAGTGCCGCTTTACATTCGACCGTTTCAACGATGTAATTTTGTCATTGCAAATTAGACACACCGCAGAACCCGCTCTCTCCACAAAGGCGAATTCTTCGGTCCATTCGTCCTGGAATGTACGATACTCGTCGTCTTTTTTTCTTTTCGCCATCTTCTTCGTCGAAGGGTTAGCTTTGAGCTAATGACCGAGCAGACGCAGTCTCAGACTGATTCAAAAGGGGGCGTTTACCTGTTTTACCCAGCAACGGCAAACGTAGGCCAGTATCATCCAATTAAAATAATGGACAATTGCTCCTGCAGCCCTGAACAAGACATGCGCAGTGAAAAATCGATGGATGGATTAAAACAAGTGAGAATATTTTGTTTATCTGCGAGCCATATGCAATCATCAAAAGAGCCACATCTGGCTCGCGAGCCATAGGTTCCCGACCCCTGAACTACACAGTCGCGCACAAATGGCAGGCTTGTTAGCCAGTAGTTGTGCGGATTTAATAGAGTTACTTTATTTAAGTGCACGTTGCAGTGGGTTTTCCAGTACGTACCACATATATCATCGCAACAGTCATTGATGGTTGTCAAATGAACGGGTCACTGTGTATTTGTAATCTGACCAAGAACCATCGGTGAACTATTCACTCGTAGAACCACCCCAACGTTCAACACGTGGCTGTACGCACGTACGTACGTTGAACTTCTTTCGCGCCGTACATAGCCGACTGTGCTAGTCGGAGGTGCGGGTCGCCGGACGCGGCATCGGGTAGTGACGGTGAGACGGTCACCGCATTGCGCGGCGCTTTCAGATGCGCTTCTGTGGCCATCTGGAACTGCTCTTCCTTCCCACGTGCCCCCTGTCTTGCGGGAATCGTTTGATTCGTGGGAAGCTGCTGCCGATGGCGTGGGCGGGGATTTTTTTTTTACGCGTCGCCGTGCCGTGGGCGACGCTGCGCTGCGTTGATTTGTGCCGCAGACTCGAGCGTGGACATGGCGCGCTCCAACTCCGTCGGGTCCCTGACGACCACCAAGAGTGAATTCCATTCTCCGCCTTCGCTAGCGGCCTCGAGCGAGGTGAGGCGCTGGCACGGCGACGCTGGGAACCTGGGAAGAAGCGTAATGCCGTTTTAAAATGTTTCTAAAATATTTTGACGCATTTACTGTGAATGCATTTGGAGCTAATTTTTTGAGGGGGGGGGGGGGGCACTTTGGCAAATAAAATATCAGTCATTGTGAGGGTCACCACGCCGCCTGTATGTGCTGTCGTCACGTGTTTGGTATTGTCGGAAGCTGCACGTCAGGGGCCGCACTCAAGGCCACCAGGGGCTGCCACTGGCCTACGGGCCTCGCAATGAGGAACACTGATTTCGAGTATTTGGCTGCTCTAAATTTCCACGTGATAAGCCATTTCGTCGAGCTAACATTTGCATGTGTGTATGGTAAACTTATTTGGAAAGCAGTTTTTGGGCGAAAGACGACAAAGTAAACACAGAAAGCAGCTCTAAAGAAATTAGTTGATCAATTTCCACGTGATACGCCACTTCGTTGAGTTACCATTTGTGGCAAGGTCGCTTCTCAAAAGAGCTACATAGCTCAGTGGACCTTACCTGGTAAAATAAAAATAAAAAAATTTGCAGTGTGATCCACCACTGCAGCTTCTGAGAACAGAAATGGCCGCTGTTTCTCTGCTCAAATGAGCACTGAGACCGCTCTCGATCGAGGGAGGACTCACAATTAAACGAGTACCTGGTGACCATGTGTCAACCTCAGCACTGGGGGGACTAAGGCGGCTGGGCCATGTCGGCCTTAATAGGTGATCGCTGACGGCACTTGAGCCAACAGTTTGTTACGGCCTACACGGGACACCTTCACCTCTGCAGGGCCTGCGAGGGCCGTGCGGGCTGACGAGATGACTCGTGGGCCCTTGCCCCGGCAGTCTGCTGAAAGGCTATCCAGGCAACCCTACGCCTTTGTCCTTGCAGGGCCAGATGGGCCCCGTGGAGGCCGGGGACGCGCAGGAGAAGGGCCGCGTGGGCCCCCTGTGCCGCGTGCTGCTGCCCGACGGCTCGTCGGCTGTGATCACCGTGAGCGCCGAGCTGTCGGTGCGCGAGGCGCTGCGCCCGCTGTGCGACAAGCGCGGCCTCACGGTCGTGGCCCTCGACGTCTTCCTGGTGAATGGCGACCGGGTGAGTCGCTCCGCCTCCTTGACACGCCACTCGCCATGTCACCGGAGGATTTTACGGTGAAGAGGAAGCATGGGGACAAAAAGCGCCGGCTAAGAGGAGCTCCGTGCACGGGACTCACCCCGGCGCGAGTTTACGAGAGCAACGGAGGTCAGGGCAGACTCTGCGTTGACGCGCTACGGGAGCATGTGGAGCTGAGTGGACTTGCCGAAGACCAGTAGGGTGGGCCATGAGCTTCGTGCGAGTGACTCCTGGCATTAGTCTGCCATTAGTGGGTGGTGATTGGGTAACCTGCGGGTGATCTGATCCGCAAGAGGGCGACCTGAGTGAGAGTAAGGTCAACTTCTTCTTTCGTATTGGCTGACGTAGATGCAGAGAAACAACTACACAAGGAGATCAATGATTGATGTTCGGTCGCCGCGGTGATGGCATTCGTTGTGATACAGTAAGGGAAAAAAGCATTTGATCCCCTGCTGATTTTTTTACGTTTACCCACTGACAAAGAAATGATCAGTCTATAATTTTAATGGTTAATTTGAACAGTGAGAGACAGAATAACAACAAAATCCAGAAAAACGCATGTCAAAAATGTTATAAATTGATTTGCATTTTAATGAGGGAAATAAGTATTTGACCCCCTCTCAATCAGAAAGATTTCTGGCTCCCAGGTGTCTTTTTTACAGGTAACGAGCTGAGATTAGGAGCACACTCTTAAAGGGAGTGCTCCTAATCGCAGCTTGTTACCTGTATAAAAGACAACTGTCCACAGAAGCAATCAATCAATCAGATTCCAAACTCTCCACCATGGCCAAGACCAAAGAGCTCTCCAAGGATGCCAGGGACAAGATTGTAGACCTACACAAGGCTGGAATGGGCTACAAGACCATTGCCAAGCAGCTTGGTGAGAAGGTGACACCAGTTGGTGCGATTATTCGCAAATGGAAGAAACACAAAAGAACTGTCAATCTCCCTCGGCCTGGGGCTCCATGCAAGATCTCACCTCATGGAGTTGCAATGATCATGAGAACGGTGAGGAATCAGCCCAGAACTACACGGGAGGATCTTGTCAATGATCTCAAGGCAGCTGGGACCATAGTCACCAAGAAAACAATTGGTAACACACTACGCCGTGAAGGACTGAAATCCAGCAGCGCCCGCAAGGTCCCCCTGCTCAAGAAAGCACATATACATGCCCGTCTGAAGTTTGTCAATGAACATCTGAATGATTCAGAGGACAACTGGATGAAAGTGTTGTGGTCAGATGAGAACAAAATGGAGCTCTTTGGCATCAACTCAACTCGCCGTGTTTGGAGGAGGAGGAATGCTGCCTATGACCCCAAGAACACCATCCCCACCTTCAAACATGGAGGTGGAAACATGTTTTGGGGGTGTTTTCTGCTAATGGGACAGGACAACTTCACTGCATCAAAGGGACGATGGATGGGGCCATGTACCGTAAAATCTTGGGTGAAAACCTCCTTCCCTCAGCCAGGGCATTGAAAATGGGTCGTAGATGGGTATTCCAGCATGACAATGACCCAAAACACACGGCCAAGGCAACAAAGGAGTGGCTCAAGAAGAAGCACATTAAGGTCCTGGAGTGGCCTAGCCAGTCTCAAGACCTTAATCCCATAGAAAATCTGTGGAGGGAGCTGAAGGTTCGAGTTGCCAAACGTCAGCCTCGAAACCTTAACGACTTGGAGAAGATCTGCAAAGAGAAGTGGGACAAAATCCCTCCTGAGATGTGTGCAAACCTGGTGGCCAACTACAAGAAACGTCTGACCTCTGTGATTGCCAACAAGGGTTTTGTCACCAAATACTAAGTCATGTTTTGCAGAGGGGTCAAATACTTATTTCCCTCATTAAAATGCAAATCAATTTATAACATTTTTGACATGCGTTTTTCTGGATTTTCTTGTTGTTATTCTGTCTCTCACTGTTCAAATAAACCTACCATTAAAATTATAGACTGATCATTTCTTCGTCAGTGGGCAAACGTACAAAATCAGCAGGGGATCAAATACTTTTTTTCCCTCACCGCATCTCACTCAACAGAGTGTTGTCCGCCTATTTATTTTGTCATTTACATGTAGTTGTTGTGAGATTTTCTTCTTCATCTTCTCAACTCCGACCGCGTCCGTTCGAACGCATGGCCGTCGTGCGCCACGCTGCCGGGGTGGGCCTCCGCGATCGTGCCGCCCGCGGTCGTGCCGCGTAGATCCTCCGGTGTTTTACTTCACTAAACTACAGTATATTTTTTATTTTACCAGGTAAGGTCTACGCAGCTATTTATAGCTCTTTTTCAGAGGCGACCTGCCCACAAATGATAGCTCAACGAAGTGGCTTATCGCGTGGAAATTTATAGCAGTTGCCAAATACTTTAAACGCGCGATGTTGATTCTAAATGTGGAGGGAAAAACCAGAGGACCCGGAGGTAAATCCACGTGACCACAGAGAGAGAGAGAGACAAAAACTCTAAATATACAGCAGCAGGTGTCAGGGTCGGGATCGAACCCACGACCTCCTGCATAGCAGGCGAGGTAGTTAACATCTCCTAGCCACCGTGATGATGAGAGAGAGAGACACAAACTCTAAATATACAGCAGCAGGTGTCAGGATCGGGATCGAACCCACGACCTCCTGCATAGCAGGCGAGGTAGTTAACATCTCCTAGCCACTGAGGCGCCCCTTTTGAGGGCTGTGCCGCACATTGTTCGGTGATTCTCTCCGCGTGTTGTGAACTTCTGCACACGGGGAGCTTGGAGAATCTCTCAGCGTGTGAGGACGTTCAGTTCTTGTTGAAGCTTCTGGCACGTGGAGAGAAATGTCAGAAAGCGGTGCCTAACAGCGCTTCTCAGTACTGCCTGGAAAAAAAACGAAAACGCTGTGGAGAGCCATGGGGGTAGTGCGTGCGCGCAACTACCAAGAGCTTGCAGGCTAACCGGACGAGGACACCAACTGGGGGTGGTTCAGCAGCTCAAACCCCACCTTTGTTACTCGACACGTGTCCACCGAAGGCTGGCGACGTAGTTTCGTCGTTGCTTAACAAGTTCGGTCTCCTCGGCTGAATCGTTGATTGACCTACAAGGCCGCCGCCCATCCTCAAATTGTTGTTTGCGCTTAAGATGCGCTCAGACCTGCAATGCGAGTGACAAGGAAATGGACGAAAGTGGAGTGGATCTGCAGCGTTGGTTTGGGTGGGTGGTGAAATCATCAGCGGTCGTAGCGGTGCTCTCTAGCGACGCCTTCTGCGGCCTCATTATTACTGCTCGGTGAACAAAATGTTGTGGCGTGGCTGTCCAACACACAACCGGTGTGCTGTACTCGTGACGAATTGGCCACGTTCTGTTTACGTGACAACCCTTACCAGTCGGCTGTGTCGGGTGGTGGTGGGTTTCACGACACGTTTGTATAGTTACGCGATCTAACCCCAAAAAGACCTCTGGCCATATGGAGCGGCCAAGAGGGCGACGGTCGGCACGCCGGACTTGCAAGCCAGAGGTCGCTCGCTCCATCTCCCGGCGTGGAATTTGAAACAATGGGAAGGTTTTATTTTGATTCCTCCCACCTCTCGTCCACCCGGCAGTGTAAATGGGTATCCCGCCACACTCAGTCGACGGGCAGGTCGCGTTTGGTGGGGTAAAGTGTGGGTACTTCCATTTCCCCCCCAAGACGTCTGGCCAGCAGTGGAAGATCTTCTTTGGTTCTTTCGGTAAAGTCACATACAATGAGAATAAAATAATAAAATGATCAAATAAAATAACACAATAATATTCTCACGACGTTTCGGCCACAACACAAGCGGCCTTCATCAGGTGAAGGGACGAGACTGTCTGGAGGACAGCGCTGGAGTGAAAAAGCCACGCTCAGATCGCGAAGAGTAGACCAAAATACACTCAGGTGGGTGGAGGCCCTTTTGCCGGCAGTGACGCCAGCAAGGGATTTTCACGTCCGCGGTGTTACTGCCACCTGAGGCTACAAAAGCTCCTTATAACCAAACTGAAACAATCCATAGGGCAGGTAGATATTGAAATGACAAAAAAATACGTGTTTATATTGGGCATTATATATAAAACACATTTTTTTTACGAGATACGGCTCACTGAGCTATGTAGCTTTTTTCCAAAAGCGACCTGGACACAAATTAAAGCACAACAAAGTGGCTTATCGTGTGGAAATGTATCGCAGCCAAATACTCTAAATGCTTGTTTCTAAATGTGGAGGGAAAAAACCGGAGGACCCGGAGAAAACTGCACACGACACGTAAACTCCAAATATACAGCAGCAGCAGCAGGCGTCAGGGTCGGGATCGAACCCACGACCTCCTCCATACCAGGCGAGGTAGTTAACATCTTGCCACCGCAGTGCCCCTTCATAAAGAGATGTAAGCAATTCTGATAAATCGTCAGACATCGTGAAACGTACGATGTGCCCTGGTATTTTAAAACTTAAATTTGCCTTCTTTATGTTTACAGCAGCTGGTGTTGGAACAAGAGAGCCTGACGCTCGCAAACAGGGAAATCCGGCTGGAGCGCAGGATCCTCTTTAGGTTGGAGATGCATTCACGGCACCACCGCCACCGCCATCGCCACCACCATCACCACGCACCTCCGACTAGCAGTTGGCTACGTACGGGTGCGAAAGAAGTTCAAATTAAAGTTAACTTAACTCGGAAACACCGCCGTTGCAACATCGCCCCCCACCCCCCTGCTGGAAGACTCGTGCACATTTGCAAGCCGGTACTGCGTATGCCTTGTGTGCCGCACAGGGACAGCTGCCACTACTGGAGGGCAGTGACGGACTGGGACAAAAAAAATCGGCCCAGGCATTTGTAAACACACCGGCCCCAAATTCGGGCTGTGGGCAATTTTTAAATGGGTTGCACGACAAACTTTGGAGTACTAGCAGCTGGATGTTGCGATGTGACGACGTGTGTGCGTGATTTTGCTGTGCGATCTATGGCCAGTCTGGGCCTGCTGGAGGGGACCACTAGGCTAGACCGTAGCAGGGTATTGAAATGTTTGAGATGTGATGGAAAGCACTTTGAATTCACACGGCATTTAAGCAAGCGCCCAATTAATCAAAATCCTTATCGCTTTGATGGCTAATTTAATTAAATCCCTGCAGTGTATACGGCAGCTGATTTTCTTTTCATGCATGTTAAATATTACACCGCGAAAGACAATTTCAGGAATTTAGTTAAGATGGAACGTTGGTGTTATGCACCGCTCTTGCGAGAGTTTCCCAATTCACATTTGTACTTCTCAAAACACTCCGTCAGTCGCACAGTTTTAATAAAATTGGGAAACGTGTCAAAACGTTACGCGTAACGAGCAATATCCTCGCGCTTCCGTGCCTCCGCCAGGCTTGATCTGCTGCCCATCACCAAGTCGGTGGGCGTCAAGGCCAAGCCCAACAAGGCGGTGGAGGACGTCCTGCACTCGGTGGTCCTCAAGTACGGCCTCAAGCTCAAGGACATGGTGGCCTACATGGTGAGCACGGCGTCGTGGTCGGCGGTGCGCCGGCCGCAGGGAGGCCACGCTCGGGTTAGTGCATTTGACGCGCAAACTCCGGCCATCCTCGCAGCAGCGGCTTTTGACCCGCCATCGAACGAAGACGGGTCGCCGCATCGCGCGCTTTCGGATGCGCTTCCGCGGCCCGTCTGGAACGCTCTTCCTTCTGATATTATGAAGCCGCTTGGAAGGTATGATGCACTTTTAAATCTAGAGTTAAAACTAATTTGTTTAGAAGTGCTTTTTGTGTATAGTTTGTTATCCCTCCTCACCTCCGATTCGCACGGTTGGCTACGCACGGTGCGAAAGAAGTTCAACATTACGTACACACGGTATCTCAAACCACGACAAAAGGTTGTTGTTGTTCACCTCCGCGTGATGGTGAACAGGCTAGCGGCTTCTGTGAGAGGTTGTAGGCCTGAACTGACACACCGCGTGGATCATTGCCTCTGCGCTGTTTCCAGGTCGCACCGCGTGTTGTACCGGACAGCGGCACTCGGTGCGACGTGAAACCAAACGAGATAGCGGGATCCGCATACTGCGCCTCCCACACAGACGATCACTGCTTCGCGCGCTTTCAGATGCGCTTCTGCGGCCGTCTGGAACGCTCTTCCTTCCGATATTAGGAAGCCACTGGAGCTTTGCACTTTTAAATAATCGAGATTGAAAACTAATTTCTTTAGAACTGCTTTTTGTGCTTAGTTTGTTGTCCTTCTCCCGCACCTCCGATTATCACGGTTGGCTACGTACGGTGCGAAAGACGTTCAACGTACATACACCTCACTGCGAATGAGAGGAATCCCACTGTCTATGCACCACACGTATAGTCGAGGCAAGTTATTTCTGCCTCCTCAATTGACTCAGACTCGAGAATAGCCGTCTCTCTTGGCAACAGTGACGTGTTTCAGCCCTGCAAAGTGTTTTCAGGCCGTTAGATGGCACGGTCCACACGTTGTGGTATTGCAATGTAATGTGAGTTCATCTCTCTCCTATTTAATCAGAATATACCTGCGATGTCGCTCACAGCTTCTGAATGCAGTGAATGTCTTGCTTATCGATCTCTCTCCCTGGTGTGTTGTGAATCTATAACATATTTCCCCTGTCACCTCTTCTGTCTCTGTAATTATCCCTAAACATGATTCCACTCGTCTGCACGGACGGGGATAAGGGAAGGGATTTTACACCACTTCTGGGGTTGTCTCCCTTTCCTTGACAATGTCAGCGGATGATCGGAAGATTTCGTGACTTTTTATCGAGTTGCAATCCTGTACATATGTTGTGGGCATAAACTTCGAGGGAGACTTCTCTCTTGGAGGCAACGCGTTTATTTCAGATAAACGATAACAGTAAAAATAGCCGTAACACTAAGGGTTATGGCCCATGTAACACTACGGGGTACGGCCCCTTCACCCGATAACCTAAGGGAGGTACAGCCTCCCTTCTAGCGCGCCCTACAGACTCCGGGCTACGCTCTCGCGGGTCCTCCGCTACGGGAGCTAGGGAAGGCTAGACTGACCCGACCTAGCCAGGGTACGGGTCCCACCACTGGTCTGCTGCAACCCGGCTCTGACAAGAGCCTCGGTTGAGGGTCCCAGGGTGCTGGTCTGGTCTTCAGGCGTCTTCGGGTCTTGAGTGGATGAACACTGCCGGTCCCGTTGAGAGGACCGGCTTTTATACACAAGTTGGGGCTTACCCCGCCCCTAGCCACACCTTCCCTCGAACCTTCCAGAAGGATCTGGAAGGGTCGGGGATGAACCGTTGGCCCCCAACCCCCACCCCTTGGGGGTCTGGGGTCTCGACCTCCGGTCACGGGGCACCCGGGGGGGGGGGGAGGTTACCCCAGGTTCACCACTCCACCTCCCGCTCACTCTCGCGGCTACCCCCTATCGGCCTGTGAGCGTGGTGACAGTAAGAAGACAGCGCCCTGGTATGGCGCAACACTTCGGAGTCTTCTTTATGTTTTGGGGGAGAAAATAAAATCACCATCTTCCCCACCGCCCTCTCACTTGCCAAACTTTCCACCCTTCGCCGTAACAAAAATAAATCCTTCCGCTTCCCCGTGGTCCAGCGATGCGCGTCTCTCGCGTTTTATACAGCGCCTTGAGATGTAGTCACATTTGTATGAATTCTGATTTCACATTTTGTTGTGATGTAGCACGTTGATTCTCGTGATCAGGGGCGGAGCCAGGATTTTCAGCCCGGGGTGACATTCAACAAATGTTAATTTCAAGAATGATTAGAGAGTCAGGCTGTTGAACTAGACGCCATCGGTTGGCGACACACTCTGACAATGCAGCTGCACGGAGTCCACCAGACCGAGTGTCGTACACTTATACGCAGAATGTTTCAGATTTTCGATTTTTTATTTTTTTTCGGGTGTGACAATTGTCTACCCTGTCACCCCCCTGGCTCCGCCCCTGCTCGTGATGAGTAATAATGTAGAGTCCTCAGTCAATCCACTTACTGGATGAATGGGTGTTTGTTTGAACGATACTTCACCACACTGGTCAGTGCCGGTCAGTGGAAGTGGACCCAGTGGCGAGATGTTAACTATCTCGCCCGGTATTCAGGAGGTCGTGGATTCGATGCCAACCCTGATGCCTGCCGCTGTATATTTGGAGTTCGTGTCTCTCTCTCTCTCTCCCCGTGGTCGCGTGGATTTTCTCGGGGTTCTCCGGTTTTTCCCTCCACATTTATAAACACGCCTTTAGAGTATTTGACTGCTATAAATTTACACGTGATAAACCACTTCGTTGAGCTATCATTTGTGGCCAGGTCGCTTCTGAAAAAGAGCTGTATAGCTCAGTGGGCCTGACGTGGGTAAAATAAAAAAACGTTTAAATAGTAATGGTTTACATGTCATGTTGCCGTTAGCCGTGGCTGGGAATGTTACTCTGGTCACCGTGTTCACACCGCAGAGCACAGGCCAGTCTACCTCGCCCAGGCACGTGGTTCAACAACAGCCGACCTCGTAGAATCCTGTACTCAATGAAACTCACAAAAGCCCGTTCGTACTTTGTTCCCCACGTGTCCCCCTTCCCCCGTGCCACGTGTACCGTCCCCGCTGCCCTCTAAGCATGGCAACACAGATACGCTGGACATGAGCGTGCCTGTGTCTCAGCTGGACGGCAAGCATGTGGTGCTAGAAGCTGCCAACCACAGCAAAGGTATCGGGCCTTTTTATTTGCATTTTTTTATCTATATATCTTTAATCTGTTTACATATTGGTACAATCATCGCCCTCTGTCTGTGTAATGTTTATCTGACTTCATTGTAACTGTGATCAGTATAAAAAATAATCTGCCCTAGCCGACTGACGTTACAGGGAATTTATAATTTAACATCGACTTAGGATTGTGCAATATTTCCGACAGATTTTGTTTTTGCTCCGATTGCTGTTTGCTTCATTGCTGTATTTGCTTTTATTTGTTTTTGCTTTCATTTGCGTGACCCGGGTAATTCTTTAAAATCGCCTCTTGAATTCTCACCTTGTTAAACGAAACCAACTTGAGCAAGTTGAAACGTTGAAAGCTCGCTCGCAGATGCACCAGAGGACCCACTGGAGCAAGGTTTCAACCTTTCTCACTGGAGATGCTCCAGGTGATCCACTTACAGATGGCAGATTGCCCTTGGGCCCTCAAAACCAACAAGACTCTCAAAAGTGTTTGTCACAATGTGCGTGTTCACCAGTTGTGGGGAGCGATTCCCGCTCACGGCCAACACCGGTGACCATTATCTGAACTTGTTCTGGGCCTCCTCCCCTAGGTCGACTCAGCGTCGATTGAGTACCTGGTGCGGTGTGTAGTAAACATCGCCACTAGAGAGACAAAGGCGGCCGGGCATGGTGCTGGCCACCCACCCCCTCGTGTGCCGTTCAGGCCTTCATAGGTGCTACTCGCTAACAGCACTTGCCCCTACAGTCTGTTCAGGCGATACGGAGAATCTTTGTCTTACACCATTGGAACCTCCTTTGGCAACAAAATTGACTACTTTTTTTACAAGGAGTCATGTTTGCATTGACCACAATACCTGCGGTCAAAATGCAAACAAAAAATATAACTGTGATAATGTATGTGGCACTGTCCCTGAAATTGATTGGTCCACACCCGAGACAGTGCATACATTATCAGAGTTATGCTTTTTGTTTGCATTTCGACGGCAGGTATTGTGGTCAATGCAAATATGACTCCTTGTAAAAAAAGGTGTCAGTTTTGTTGCCAGATAAAAGGGTAAAAAAACAACAATTATATCAGATCTTTGTCTTCTTTACCAGCTGCTGATGTTGAGATTGACAAATGTAACCGAGCATTCTGGTCATTCGCTTTGCCGGTAATGTCCGATACCGAGTGCAGTGTGTACCTCTTCTTCGTCTGTGAAGTCGTGGATACGAGGAAGGCGGAAATGGTGAAATTAAATTGGATGACAACCGGCACTTGTTCCCGTGCATGACGAGGAGTTACGCGATAAGTCGGAATTCAGTTCCTGCAGAAGCTCCCAGCACGTGGAGTGAAACGTCTGACCTCAATGTCGAACAATACACGGTGCAATCTTAGGACACATCGGAAGAGCGCTATCTTAAACGAGCTACGGTTAACGTACGCGACAAAACATCGCCGTTTCGGTAAACCAGAACGTTTTCACTGGCCCCGGACATTTATTATCGATGGAAGGCGGTGCTATTGTTTTATTTCCTTTCCTCATATCAATGTCGTGTGCGTTATGCCACAGAAAGAACCATCGACGGGAAATTCAAGCTGCGTGAGGTGAATTCTGCTCCGGCTTCCTCTGGACTCGCATCGAAGGTGATCCACCGGGAATGCCAGCTCTCGCCAGCGCCTCGGCGCTTGCGATTCGCTCTTACCGCCCGATCCTCGCGATTTGTCTCAAGTGTCTAAGCCTTGTAGGCTCGCCAGTTTCTTCAAGGTGGCGTCTACATAGCGGCGCGTGTTTCTACAGAGTAATGTACAGCAAAGGAATTACCACCGCTGTGCTAGACCTTAACTTTGGTGGACATTTTTATACCATACTGGGACCAAGGAAAACATTTGTAGGCTACCAAATAAGATAAATCCCAAGCAACGGAAGCACTTTCTTCGAATTGGATTGAAGGTCAAAGCATTCTTCATACGCGATCTAACCCAAAAACCTTTACTATGAATAATATTGGTCGCGAAAGCCTACGTGTGTGTTTAGCCCTGCCACTCTGGTTTCCGTACGGCTAATTAAACACTTATGAGGACAAGATTGCATTGCAAACCGTTACAAAACAAATGCGTGATTGTTGTTGTCTTGTTATCTCTGCATTATCCAACGTAAGTCCCTAATCTTATTCAATTCGGAATAATCGGTGAGTGACTAATTTGTTTTAATCACTTGCAGTGTGCCCGACCTCATCAGATCTAAGTAGCTAAGCAGGATTTTACATTTGGATTTATACTTGGGAGGGCGATTCCTTTATTGAGTAGTGGGGTTGTCAAAGGGCTGTACATGTACGAGGCTAAGTAGGGTTTTTTTTTTTTACAATCCTCACAATGTAACCGTTTGTAAATAAAATCAGCTTTGCCCACTCATTCTGCGACGGCGTCGTACACGGTAGCAATGTGCAGAGCGTGCAAGAATAACCCACACCGCTCGTTCTATAATGTCATAAGCCAAATAAAATGTAAGATTCAGGCCACAGTGGTGTGATTGTGGCAATGCAACCCAAGCTATGGACCACAGAGTCAACCTGTGGAGTCTGCCTGACTTTGACGGAGGGATTGAAAAACAAACTCTCTCCTGAGCCCTCTCGTGGCGAGCAGACCTCGAAATTGAAATTATAAAATAACTTAAACGTTTTTTTTATTTTACCAGGTAAGGCCCAGCTGAGCTATGTAGTTATTTTTTCAGAGCGACCTGGCCACAAACGGCAGCCCAACGAAGTGGCTGAAGATGACGGTGACTTTGACCACCAGCATGGATATACAATTTAAATAGTTATCATAGCCACACTCCTTATGCACCAATGAAAATCAATGACCGAACAACAGAAAAGTGACCTTTGCAATTGGTGGTCAACTCTCGCTTTTCAGACCAGTGGACAGTCACCCGCAGAGCAGGACGCTGCTGCCAAGGGCAAGAAAGCTTCACAGCCAAAAGTTAAAGATAGCGATGGTAAGTGTGGGGTTTCATTCGTGGATATTTACAATGTTCTGAAATGGCAACTTTTTTTTATATCATCGAGGGAGAGTCGTTATTTATTGCGGACGAGAATGGGATCCTTGGTCTCCAACATAGAATTTTATGGACCAAGTGTTTATCAGGTAAATGAGGCTGGTTGTTGTTGTATTCGAATTGTAAATGTTGCAGTGGGTTTACTCTCCAACACACCGGTGTGCTGAAGTGGTAACTACTTGTCACGTTTTGTTTACGTGACAAACTTTACTAATTGGCTGTGTCGGGTGGTGGCGGGCTTAACGACACATTTATATTTACGTGATCGAACCCAAAAAAACCTTTATTGTGGATAATATTGTGTTAAACATACGTGTTAAACTTATCAGGTAGAGTTCCCCATTGGACACAAAGGCTCTCAAATAATCATCACAAGTCAAAACCATTCAAATGATTCAACAGCAAGCCGCAGTAACAAAGAGGTAGCCCACATGTATGAAGAATTTTAGCTCACCCGTGTCACTTGTGTGTGTGTTTGCATTGAGAACTGTGGTCGTGCGTCCTCCGTGTGCGAACTCCACGTGGTATGCAGAGTGGCTGGAGCTGCTGTCCCGGGCACAGCGGCGGCGTGCCGATGACCAGCGCGGTCTGCTGCGCAAAGAAGACCTAGTGCTGCCCGACTTCCTGAGAGTCGCGATGGGTCCAGAGCCTCCCTCCTGCTCCTCATCCTCCTCCACGGCAGCTGACAGAACAGGCCAGGGCGCGCCTTCGGGGAGCTTGACGCCACAGAGCCAGACCTCGGGCGTGGAGAGCCAAGTGGGCCAACAGCCGTTCGCATCGGAATTGTCACCCAACGCACACCAGCCCGTGTCGCAGTCCTCCTCCTGTCCACACCTGGAGATGAAGCAGGGTGGTGGACCAAAGTTGCAGCCAAATGTGTTGCAGATATCAATAATGTTCGAATCCAGGGTCGTTCACACGCCGGCAGGCGCTCCGGGGCAGGCAGAGAAACCCCAGGACTTGCACGCGGTCGCAAAGCAAGCCTCTCACGGCCACGAAAACAAAGGTCTGGCTCGGCTGCAGGATGGAAGCAAGGCGATTGGCAAGGCCTCCTCCGAGGAGGTGATTGTGGAATTTCCACACCCTCCGAACTCCCACGCCTCGCCATCGGCGGCAGCACCGGGACAAGAGTTGGCCGAGAAAGAGCTTGTGAACTTTGTGTGTACAGTCACGGCGCCGGAGGTGGTGGAGATAGTGGACGCTACCCTCAACGAGAACGCAAACAATTCATCGGATGTAAAAAAAGCCAATGGACAGCAGGCACCAGAGTCGCAGAGGCCGACGGAACCCCCTCCAGAGGAAGGGGGCCCGCTGGAGAAAGCACTGTCGTCGCTGCCTGCCGACTCGGACAAATCTGACGGCACGGAGGGCTCGTCGACGGGGGACGCGGCGACTGCGGAGAGCACGGAGAACAACAGAGCTGCTCCTCCGGGCTTCGACGCGCAGAATGTGGAATCGCAGTCCTAACATGAGTCGTCCGCACGGTACAAAGAGAAAGGTGTAAGAGCCAGACGTCTTGGCCAGCGAGTGACATTTTTTTTAGTTATTTACAACAAAAAAAAAGAATTCACGCTCAAAAAATTAACACAAATATTAACCCACAGTGCAGTCAACATTGTATGTTTCCGAAAAGTATAAAAAATTAATTCCATAAATATCGCACTCGTGGATTGTCCACGCAACTGCTTCAACTTGGCTGCATAGGCCCTCAACTCTTCCACTGCATTCGCTAGACCAAACACCGCAGGGGGCACAACGTACGGACGTATCACGGCGTCTGGTTTAAAATTATTTAAAACATTTTCATCAATTAAAACTGCACCGTCTCTGTTTTTATACAACGCATGACCATCATTAGACCTCTTTTGCCAGTACCAAAATATAATAATAGGTTTTTCCCCTTTTTTCTGGCAACAAAACTGAAACCTTTTTACGAGGATTCATGTCTGCATTAACCACAATACCTGCAGTCAAAATGCAAAAAAACAAACATACTATGATTATATATGCATTGTCCTTGAAACTGATTGGTCCACACCAAGAAAGCCGTCCCTTGGTGTGGACCAATCAGTTTCAAGGACAATGCATCATTATCATAGTATGTTTTTGGTTTGCATTTTGACTGCAGGTATTGTGTTTAATGCAGACATGAATCCTTGTAAAAAGGTTTCAGTTTTGTTGCCAGAAAAAAGGGGAAAAACCTTATTATTACATTTTGGTACTGGTAAAGGAGGTCTAATGATGTAGATGCTCACCCCGAGCCCTCATTACTTTGATGGTGCATTGTCTTTGAGCTGTACGCCTTTTGGCGTCATCTGGTCGAGCACCAATTGGGTCGAGGCTCAAAAGAAAGCCGTCCCTTGGTGTGGACCAATCAGTTTCAAGGACAATGCATCATATTATCATAGTATGTTTTTTGTTTGCATTTTGACTGCAGGTATTGTGGTTAATGCAGCGACATGAATCCTTGTAAAAAAGGTTTCAGTTTTGTTGCTAGAAAAAATGGGAAAAACCCTATTATTATTATTATAATGCATGACCAGTTGCACTTGCTTTCTTCCAATCAGCTAATGTCTGAAACACAGTAGCACTCCTTTTTTCTTGGTACATCATGTGACAACATATTTGTTGTTTGTATTATTTACAAGTGCTTTATTACACTTTTGACACCACAGCGCAGCTGTTACCGATATAATCTTCATGACGAGCGTTAGTCTGAACCAATTACATTTTGGTCAGGCTGTGAACATACAAGGTACACATTCTTGTCTTGTGCCACCATATCTGGATCACGTTTAAAGCTGTTGGAGAAACATCTGGCCTTACATAGAAACCCTCTGGCCTTACATAGACTTGTAGAGTCTAAACCGAACATGGTCACCGGGGCAATAAAGGGTGTAGACTGTGATCTCAGCAGGGTTATGGGAGTTCTTGAGGAATCTGGTAGGTCAAAAGGTTTAAATTGTTTAATACGTAAACAATACTACACATGAATGTACGCATTGTTTGTGTGTTATTACTCTGTACGATTATGACCATTGAAACCATTTAGTCTCTTCTGACAAATGTTTATATTGATAATAAACAGCCCGTTGTCAATCCATTGCTGGAATAAGGCCTCCCCCCATACAGTGTCTGTCACGGAGATTGTTTGACCATACTTAACCGCGCTGGTCAGTTGTGGGTCGGTGAAAGGGGTGACCCAGAGACTCGGTCAGCTATCACTTGCCGCTCAACGTTAGCCATGACCCAAGAGTGGGACTCGAACTCGGTTGGCAAGACCTATCGCCTGTAATTTTAATGAAAAAATATCAATCGGGCAAAAAGTTAAACCTGAGTACAAAGTTCTATGAGTGGACGATGCTTGATCGTGTTGCCAAAAAGCGGACGCGTGCAGCAATTGCTGACTTAGTATGGCTATACTTGTGGGGGCTTCCGAGCTGCCAAAACATTCCGGTGGAGTGGTGGAATTCAAGTCGCCAAAAGGCCCTGGCCTATGCGCCTGCACGTCGAGGCGTTCCTTATCCACAAAGACGTAGCAAGCAACAAAATGGATAAGGTTTGCGAAATGAAGCAAGTTTGCAGGTGAAAGGGGTTTTATGTTGTCCTATGTAACAGGCATCGCCCGCGAACACCGATGGCACAATAACAGCAGCTGCAGAGAAGCTTTGGCGTCGAACTCCGCTCGCAAGAGGCAAACGACAACAACAACAAGACCACGCACGTGCGTGGTCTCTGCGATGCCTCGCGAGGTGCTCCGCTGGCGACAACAAATGTTTCACGTTGTGAGCCGCGCCGCGACATGATGTCCCACAGCGTGCGACGACGCCGCGAGACGTTACACGCGATGACGTCGTCTGCCATTAGGCCCAAAGCGGGAACCCTTTGGCGCTGGTTTTTTGCTTCGAAGAATTGCTCAATCCGACTGGTTTTCTCGCGCGTAAGCCTCCAATAGCAACACGACCTTATACTCAAGTTGTTGCATCATCTGTGGAAATGATCGTGACACCCTATTTTAATGCATTGGGAGTTTTCAACCCGAGTTGGAGGGCATGACACAAAGGCTTGGAAAGTGCTTGCTGCACATATTAGGGGTTTGGTTTTTTTTCTTCTTCTAACGAATTGCAACAACACGGAATGTATTCCAGGGCCACTGGGGACGTAAGACTTTAGATGGGTGCTGGCCCCGAATCTGACGCTGTAAACGCAACGTTGGGGGTGCTGTGCCGTTTTGTGACATTGTCACGTTACATTGTGAATGACTGCCCACAGTTTGCTCACCACGCACACCTCAATACGCAAGGCTTCACAGTCACACGAGCATGCTCCTCTTAATCAGCATTCTAGAGACAGTTTTGGTGGATTGTGCGGACACAGCGTGCACGAGACTCTTACCTGTGCGATGGCGAGGTGTGAGTGATTTGCCATGTAACCCCCAGATGAAGAATGATGAAGAATTGGTAGAATGTAGATTTATCCATTTTCAGCGTGGAGTTTTCTCCTGGCATTCCGATTTATGTTTGACATGTCACAATACCTGCATGTAATTTCAGTTAGTTCAGGACTTAAAAATAAAATAACGCTGTGTTCGCGAGAAATCCAACGAGAAAAAAGGCCCTTCAGGCTCGGCAAAAAGTATTTCCTGAGTAAATAATCTGAGATGATAAACACGAGACTCTGAATGTTCTCTGCTTCACCACAGACCGCTGCCACGTGTGAGAAATGCTGAATTGCGAGACGCATTGCTGCACGTCTTCTCGCACCCATAACAAAAGGAAGAGTTCGTTAAATAGAGAGCAGTGTACCCCGGTTTACGCCGTGGGGGTGCGTTGCTGAAAGGCGCGACGACGAATATCGAAACGACATCAATCAAATAAAAAATCCTCTCACGAGAGCCAAACAGAGACCCCGGGTCCGTGCGGTGACCCCGGGTCCGTGCGGTGACCCCGGGGTCGTGCGGTGACCCCGGGCTGGTGCGGTGACCCCGGGGTCGTGCGGTGACCCCGGGGTCGTGCGGTGACCCCGGGTCCGTGCGGTGACCCCGGGGTCGTGCGGTGACCCCGGGCTGGTGCGGTGACCCCGGGGTCGTGCGGTGACCCCGGGGTCGTGCGGTGACCCCGGGTCCGTGCGGTGACCCCGGGGTCGTGCGGTGACCCCGGGTTTGTGCGGTGACCCCGGGGTCGTGCGGTGACCCCGGGTACGTGCGGTGACCCCGGGGTCGTGCGGTGACCCCGGGTCCGTGCGGTGACCCCGGGGTCGTGCGGTGACCCCGGGTTCGTGTGCGCAGCTTCTGCTTCTTCAACACTCATGTACGGCGGTGCGCTTTATCACAAATTATACAGGGTACAATAAAACGCAGTGCACGAAAAAACAATCGCCAAGATACTGAATAATGTCATGTACTACTCTACAGTACATGTCTTTATGCGTGATTCAAAGTGGTTTGTGAACAGGGGAGGTGGAGGAGAAGGCTGAGAGGCGACGACGGATAACGAGAAAGGACAGACGACGATGCTGCCAGCGACGTAAGTGTGCGTTGAGGCGACGCAAATCAGTGGCGTTAATAATACCGATTAGCACAGTTGGTTAAGAAGTTCAACATACATAATAAAGTGACGACGTATTTGCGGGCTATTACTGCACTGGCTTCTATCCTGCTCCAGGCAACATGCAGCCCCGTTAACTACATTGCTCCTGTCAGTAAACACTACATCGGTGGTGGGAACCTACAATCCAAGGGCCAGACACGGCCCACGACTCCATGAGATGGGACCTTGGCCACACGAGACCTACGATATCAAAACAGCCCACAAATAATATACGGTATGTCTGTTGCTGCAAGCATCTTAGGGGCAAAAGGATAAATTGCAGAGCGCCGCAGGCACCATTTGACCATTGGGGCTGTAGATAAGAGGAGCTTCCGCTGTATATGAATTGTGGTTGTTAAGCGATTATCGCTCGACCAATAAATATAGTCTCTCTCGGCTTGCTCTGACCCCTAAGAGGCACCCAGCCACATTGGAGTGGTGACATGGCCGAGCAGTAGCGCATTCGCGATGTGTTGCAGAGGTTCGCAGTTCGAAACCAGCCGACCGCGCTCGTGTTATTCACCATAGATACACGCCGTTTGGCGTCACAGTGGACGTTGAAGATCCCGTGGCATCATGTCACAAGAGCAGGCCATTGTGTGCCGTCGTCATGGTCCACAGTAATCATCGCCCCCTACTGCGAACGCTCAGCAAGGACCCTCGCTTCAGTGAGGCTTCGCGGGGTCAGCCAGCATAACAACGATGATCGGTTCCCAAGTCTTAGAATTGATTATCTGATTCGGTGCAGTTTTAGGAATGCGCGAACCTTCAACTTGCACGGTGCTCGCCACGTGGTACGTTTCAACAGACAACACAAGGGCTGGATTTTTACAGTTAGACGATCTACGTGTCGATCATCGTCAGCCATGATCAATTCACTGCTGGGTGAAAGCCTCAACGAGTCGTCGCCATCTCTAAAGATGCACCTCCGAATAGCGCGGTTGGCTACGTACGGTGCAAAAGAAGTTCAACGTACACGCATACCTGTAACATTCATCCAGCACCTGCACAAGCGCTGATTGAATCTCCTTGGTAGAATACTCGCGGACAAGGTCCCTCCTTTGGCTACCACTCCATCAACGTTCTCGACCGCTGGCCATCATCCCACCTCGCGACTTGTCGAATTCCTGCCTGATAACTTTCGATAATTGTTTCGGTGTCGCTGCATTATTTGAACTGGTCCTGCGTGGTGAAATACACAACTATACAACGTAGTGGCGTAGTGACGGAATTGTCAGCTGGGGGTGGGGTGGGGGGGTGCGGCATCGGGTCAGGTGGGGCCCCAATAATTGATTTGTCTCGCACGGTCGCACCTGGGCTATGATATATCGTTACATACGTTTTTGTCCATTGTTGAAAAAATATCTCATGGTAGTTGTCAAGGGGGACCCAACTTGTATCTTTGAGGGCAAGGCACCCCCTGAAAAAACTAAATTAAATCACGACGTTTCAGAGGCAACACAAGCTTCCGTCTTCAGGTGGAACAGTCACAGCAAAATAGCTGTATCAGCTGTATCAGCTATAGCTACATCTGAAGACGTCTCATCATCACAGCTGAATAAATAATACCTTGTGCCCCCACCCGTCTCTCCACGTGATACATGAAGTGTGAGTGCCATCTCATCAGCAGCATTGGTTCAACACAAGCGTACATGTGGTGCCACGACCGTGGAGCAGCTCCGCAAGCGCCGCGATTTTCCACTACCCCCCACCCCGAGCACACGCAGCACACACGCAGCACTTGCACCCACGTTGTAGTGTCCTGGCGGGGGATTGCCTGGCACGTCGGGTTTTAATCCAAAGGGCCCCTAGAGGGAAAGTCTCACGGTTTCCCGGTGCCACGGAGATTGGCCGACCCTCGCAGGGCAGGTTACATTGCGATGCCCCTAAAATTGGTTTAAAATTGTATGGGCGCAGAAAGAAAAGGTTCCCTGGGCCAACCGCAATGAGCTACTCACAACATCGGGGGGAGGACGGAGGGCGGAATATTAGGCAAGAAAAGGCGCAAGCGCCCTTCCAGACAATGGGCAACGAGGGACAATGGGTGACCGGCGACCACTGTCGCGGACTAGGATTAGGCCACGTTAGGGACGGTCGAGAGGGGCGGTAACTACAGGTAAGCGCACGATTGGCCACGCGGTACAATACTTATCCACACAGGACCGGTTCAGATAGAACTGATGTTAGCTGTGGGCAATGCTGGTGATGTTGCAGCTGCGTTGGGAGTGATGCACACACACAACGAACACAACACTCAACACATTCGTCAGTAACATTGCTGTGGCATTAATAGGAAAATATATAATTGGCGACGTTTCGGGCAATGGCCCTGCTTTCATACCATATACAGTATTGTACATAACATCGCATAAATACAAATATATCCCGTGTAGCCTTTAACAGCCTGTTGGGGCAAGTGCTGTTAGCGAGCACTCATTAAGGCCTGTGGTGTGGCCAGAACCACGTTCGACCGACTGTGTCTCCTCTCTCCTGATACATATTTACACACCGCACCATGTGCTCATTTAGGGCCGAGTCCACCTAAATAAAGACATATCCCTAACTAACCTAGCCCGAGGCTGCCGAGTGGGGGTGATCCACCCAATGAGGAGTCCACTCCACTGAGCGTCGACTCTGAAGCGCAACAAACAGTGGCGTAGACAACATTATCAGCTCAGGGGGTCTGGGCCCCAATATTGTGATTTGTCTCGCACCTAGAGGCTATTCGATATCAGGGGTACCGATATCGGTCCGTGGCCTGTTAGGAACCAGGCCGCAAAGCAGGAGGTGAGCGATGAGTCCGCACGTGGCCCGCCCCCATTACTTTATTATTCACGACTTCCGTCCGTGCATCTTTCCCGCACTGCGCACTCAGTCTCAGTCACAGTGTTGGTAAGCCCACAAGCTCACCCCTAGTAGCCACAATGAGTAACAAGCAAATGTCGCTGGAGAGCTTCTTTTAAAAGGGGGAAAGACCCCCCCCCGGTCCATGAAAAAAATTGTCTTCCACGAAACCGGTCCCTGGTGCCTAAAGTGTTGGGGACCGCTGTCCGATATCACGGCCTCCTCACATCATCGTCGTTACGCTCACGGTCTCGAACATTTAGCGCTATAGGGGCCGCTCCATCTTCGATAAATGCAGCCGCTACAGCTCCGTAGTAGTGCCTCTTTGCAATATAACCTCACCGCTGTAATTACATTTAAATAGAACGCGGAACGCAAGTTAAGGCATTTCCATTAAACCGAGTTGTAAAACACATTCCTGCGGAGGGAGCTGGTAGTAGGAACGTTGAGTTGCTCGGTCAATGGCCAGGGTCAACGGCGGCACCACGTGGTGTATTCCGCAAATTTGCCCGACTGTGAGGGCGGGCACAAGCCGGCGTGAGTAGGTTAAACATTGAGATTTATAAGGGCACCACGGGGTGACCAGCCCCTCCCCACCCAGCCCCTCCCCCCACCCAGCCCCACCCCTCCCACCCTCCCCACCCAGCCCCTCCCTCCCCTCCCAGCCCCACCCTCCCCACCCTCCCCTCCCCTCCCCACCCAGCCCCGCCCCTCCCATGTTTGTATGCACGACGGACGGACACAACAATCCCCTGTGGGCTACTGGTGTCACCAGGAGGCTCCTCCCAGTCGTCGTCGTTGACAACGTGACACGTGGTGGCTGCCCAAGGGGGCCCCACCCCCAAGTGCGCCCACCAGAGGGCGCGCCGCGAGCACGCGCCGCCTACGGGTGCCGACTTGGCGACTCACCGCGGCAGCTTCGCGTTTCGTCGTCGTCGTCGTTGCGACACCTCCACCACCACCACCAGCACAGGGAGCCATGGCCGCGATGCTGGCAAGGTCACTCGCATCGCCGCTGCAGCTGCTGCGGCGTGGCGGAGCCGCGGTGAGTCGCCGCCACCACCGCCACCAGACGGTCCACAACAGCGCAATGAGCTGCGCTCGCTTGGAACCTGGAACCTCACTTGGCTCCGAGCGCTCGTCGCGTGTCCAGTTCGTTGTCCCCCCCCTCCTCCGCATCTGCCCCCGCCGCACCTCCGATTAGCACGGTTGGCTACGTACGGTGCGAAAGAAGTTCTACGTACAGCACGGCGTGCTGCTGCTGCTGACTGCTCGCTGCTGTGTTGCAGGCGAGGCTGGCGGTCACGCGGGGACTGCGGCCCGGTCCGAGCGGAGCGCCTTGGGCGGCCCGGGCCGCGATCAGCACGGGTGGGGGAGACACCACCACTACCACCCACCACCCACCCACCACCATCATCATCACCATCATCACCACTACCCACCATCACCACCACCCACCACCACCATCATCACCATCATCACCCACCCACCACTACCCACCACACCACCACCCACCCACCACTTCCACCACCACCCACCACCATCACCATCATACCACACCACCCACCACACCACCCACCCACCACTACCACCATCACCCACCACCCACCCACCACTACCACCCACCCACCACTACCACCATCACCCACCACTACCACCCACCACCATACCACCCACCATCACCATCACACCACACCACCACCCACCCACCATCATCACCATCATACCACACCACCACCCACCACTACCCACTACACCACCATCATACCACACCACCCACCCACCACTACCACCCACCACTACCCACCCACCACCATCATACCACACCACCACCCACCACTACCCACCACCACCATACCATCCACCCAACCACCATCACCATCATACCACACCACCCAACCACCATCACACCACCCACCACAACACCACCCACACCACCACGTGTCACAGCCAGGGGGGTTAATGTGCAATGTCGCTCAGTCAGAGGTTCAGCTCCGCTGTGCATTCCACCCGTCCAGTTGTGTTGCGCAGCAGTGGCGAGCTGCTTTGCGTCTTACGCAACTCCGTCACTTGACAACTTCAGCCGTCGGAGGTCGCTACCGTCTGTTGGATGTAGCGGCCTCTAGCGGCTGCGAGGGTCACGGCGAAATCCGTTTCAACACGCGAATCCCAAAAATTCCAAGCAACTCGCTGGTAAATGGAGGCGCCGTGAACTTGGACAATGAATATTAATCGATGCCTCGTTATGCACGAAGTTACAAGTCGGCCAGTTTAGTGTAACCGCTGTGCGCGCGTGTGCCGTGAGCAAACGTTTGCCAGGGGAACGTGGAATTTCCAGCAGCGACTGGAAATTCCTCGTGTGAGCAGGGAGACAAGTGGCCGGTCAAAGGTGTCTTCTCTACAGATGTGCATTCTCCTGGAGTGCAAGTCAATAATTCCTGAATGATGCCTCAGCATAAGCATGCAAAGTGTTATTGCAGAGTTATTTTATAAGTTCGTTTATCTTGCAATACATTGGCAGAACGTTTATTTTCAGAGGAGGCCACTTTCGACGTTAAGACATCATCAGTGTGAGGGCAGCCACACATTAGAAACCATTGGGGTTTGACAGCAGCACGATGATGATGATGGGGCGGGGGGGGTGTTTTGACATTCGTGTATTGTCGGCGGCCGCATTTCAGCGGCCGCACTAAAGGCCACCAGGGGCTGCCAGTGGCCCGCGGGCCTTGCCATGAAGAACACCGACCGACGTGGTTAATGAAACGTACACAGTAGTGCTGTGAATTACACGACCGAATTCATACTATTTTACACTTTGAAAGAAACATGTGCATCTCTCTGGGTGGCACTATTTAGTATCGCAACATACGCAGAACTTAAGGGTTGCGCGTTCAAATACCGGTTGGTTGTCAACCCGGCTAATTACACAATGTAACACGATTTTTGTCCCTGGGTAGTAAGTGTTATTTTCTAATTGCTTATGCGTCAAAAGTATAGAAAACGGCTATTATTATTCCCCACAAACTTTGCTTTTGTGACCAGGACTTTACGTGAAGGAATGACACAAACGCACACCACGTGTTCTCATTGAAAATCGGTACATTTCAAAATATCACTGTCCTGCTCACAAAAGCAAAGTTTGTGAGGAATAATAGCCATTTTCTGTACTTTTGAGGCATAAGCAATGGGAAAATAACATTTACTACCCAGGAACAATGTTTTGTTGTTGCACAGTGTTATCTCTCGGGGATCCATGAAACAGGGTTGTGGGACCTCAAGTGTGGTTCTATGTAGATAAAGGGGGCCACTCATGAGAATTCCCAAAGGCTGTCTCGGCGAACGGCCCACAGCGATGAGCGCGACTCCAAATGTCTCAGCTTTGCCTCGCTTTGTGCGGGTTCGGTTTGTGCGATTTTGCGTATATACACCTCAGATTAGCACGGTTGGCTACGCACGGTGTGAAAAAAAGCTGAACTTGCGTAACCTCTTTCTACCCATAATTTGAAACTGTGTATGCGGTTTGAATTCACTCGCATGCAGCTGTGCGATCGGACGTGGGACAACATTGTGCACTGTACGTGCTATTTGACAGGCACCTGTCTCGTGGGTTTTCGCTTTGGAACGCATCTACTACCGCGTGAAGCGCGGGAAACCCGTTGACCCTTTTTTTCTGGGCACCCCTCGCTTGACACATTCGCGCCCCCACGTGACGCGCCGCGGTTGAGCGGTGGAGGTCGTCGATTGGTAAATGCAAGCACGCTTTGTTGCGAAATGCTCTCGGTTACAGAAATTGTGGTTGGCTCGTAAGCAGCTGAAGCCGTGCAACACCGGGTTTAGCACAAGTGTAACACAGTCGTGAACTTATTCATGCTCATTAAACCTTGCTTACACTTTCACTTTTTGGAAATCCTAAACATTGTATTCTTAAAAGGAGCAAATTTCTGCAAAAAAAATCAAGACAGTAGACTTGTCCTCAAGTCAATTTAGTCACCAAATTTGTTTTTATTATAATTGATTTTTTTGGGTTAGGCCACGTAATTATCTGAACAAATTTGTGTCGTTAAGAACCCTCCACCACCCGACGCAGCCAAACAAACGAATTACCAGGTGGTGTACAAGCGTGTAATGCCCCAATTATTGTTTTACCTCACCCGTGAGTTGAAGAACAATCCCCTCAACCAATATTGCCAATCACAGAATATACAACATTTAGTTTTAAACAGATTTGGTCAGATCGTTACGTGGCCAAACCCAAAAATGTATTGAGAATCGTAACATTGGCTGCAAAACCTTACGTGTCTTTCATCTCATTATGTAAACACATTACCCACTTCAGCAATTGTTTCTTGCTGTGGTTGTCCCACCTGATGACGGACGCTTGTGTTGGGCCCGAAACGTCGTGATTTAATTTATTTTATGTTATAGCTACGTGACTTTACCGAAAGAACCAAAGAGTATGAACCCCCTCTCTTGTTTATCTTCCACAATGCCCCTCACCCCGACCACTGCAGCTTGCCACCTCAGGGCTGCTGCTGTGACAAAACCCGCACCCCACTTCAAGGCGACAGCTGTGGATGATGGGAAGTTCCGCGAGTTGTCGCTCGATGACTTCAAAGGGCAGTACCTGGTCCTCTTCTTTTACCCTCTCGATTTGTAAGTGCAGCAAGAGCACACAGACCCCAGACACTGCATGCGATGGAACTCCCACCTTCCCTCGGCCCTTGCACATCATTGTGACCCGCTCAATGAGTGAAGCTATGCCGCAAACCACACGACTATAACGTCGAGGGCTGTCTTAACATTTGCGTCAGTATCTCATAACTATTAGTCTTCTATGAATGGCAAGACTCTCATGTATGTTAAACTTCTTTCGCACCGTGCATAGCCAACCGTGCTAATCGGAGGTGCAGTGTTGAGTCTATGGGGAGACTGTATGTGTGCATTTTGAACTTCTTCCACACCGTACGTAGCCAACCGTGAGACAGATATTGTCTCACGAGCTGATTTTGCGTGTCTTCATTTCAATCGCTCCATCTATTTATTGGGTTGTCTTGTTAGAGTTCTTTGTTTTTATTTGGCTTGGATGTACCGTATGTCATGCATGGTTCTTAGTAATTTCTTATATTGACATTAATGGTGAATAACATATGTGAGAATTCCTAATTATTTCTATATGTATGAATGTTGAACTTCTTTCACACTACATATGTATATACGTGCATCATTTCCATTGTTTACAAGGGCTTACAGCACTTAATTTGGCGTGTGATTATACAGTCAATATTGAGGAGAAAAACGTCATCCCGGTTGTAGAAATAAAGAAAGTCCTGGGATATGTTTATATTTGTCGGGATTTAATTGAAAACTACAACCTGGGTGCAAAATGGAGAATTTCCAAAATGCCCATCATTGCATTATGTGCTCTCGGGAAACGTGCAAATCCAGAAATGTATTTCTGGAACCATTGCCGATGTAGGTGGAGTTTTACGTGTCCGTTAACGGGGTTGTTTCCCGGCAGCACGTTCGTATGCCCCACAGAGATAATCGCATTCAGCGAGAAGGCCAACGAATTTCACCAAATCAACTGCCAGGTGGTGGGCGTATCTGTCGACTCTCACTTCAGCCACTTGGCCTGGATCAACACCCCGCGCAAGGTGCCCAACTTCTGTATAAATAATAAAGAGACGTATCGGTCTTTCAAAGTGATGTTTTATCGCAGCATTTGCTTAAGCGGGAAAACTGTGTTACTTATTTGTGGGCGCCACGGTGGTGAGATGTTAACGACCTCGCCTGGTATTCAGGAGGTTGTGGGTTCGATCCCGACCCTGACGCCTGTATATTTGGAGTTTGCACGTCTCTTTCCCCGTGGTCGTGTGGATTTTTTTCTGGTTTTCCCACCGCATATAGAAAGTGCATTTAGCTGCTATAAATGTCCACATGATAAGCCACTTAGTTGAGCTATCATTTGTGGCCAGGTCGCTTCTGAAAAAGAGATATATAATTAAGTGGGTTGTACCTGGTAAAATGAAAATAGTGTTCTCGTTTATAGTTTAGTTTGTGTCTTTCTACGTCTCATGAGCAGATTGTGGCGTGTTAGCTGCTTCTGGGTTGCTAGATGTTATATGCAAGAACATTCCACTTTCACGACGCATCCTGTTTTTGAACAAACATGTGCAATCCTCTTGCGCATAAGATCTACCAACTTCGGGAGCAGTTGTGTGCTGATTAGACCCAAAATGTCCCATCTCCGTCCAGAGTTTGCCATCTTAAACAAATGCTGCTCAAAAAAGAGTTTGGAAGGCTTTTAGATTTAAGGGAAAAAAATATTTTCATGTGGTAAGATTCAATTCTTGTCTCGTATATTTGTTTAACGAGGAAACACCACGGGAGCCACATAATAAGTATTAGTTCTATGTGTACAGTACATCTTGGCGCAGAGTTGTTTATGCATTTCACACTGAAGCTTCACGTTTTGTGATCGCCTTGCACGACTTGTATAATAATATGCAGCTCTTTATTAATCCACTGCTGAATGGAGGCCTCCCCATGCCGTATCACGCATGAAAGCTGATTGACTACACATTTAGGAAATTGTATTTATTTCTGTCGAGTGGCTGGATCAACATAATTTGTGGATCACATTCGGTCAGATCAAATTAGATTTTGCTTGCGATTGGACTTGGCACATGATCGGATCCCATTAGATTCAAACTGTGCCCCCCCCCCCCATAGAAAACCTATTATTTGTAAACTCTCAGTGACAAGATGGACATCATGTTGCCTACAAGGATTTTAAGTCGTGATGTTTATGTTTTATGATGGCACTTTGTAGATTCATTAAATGAATCAATAAGCGATTGCACGAGTGTAACCCCCAATTGTGTGGTGGCTTTCTTACTTTGTGCCATCCTTCTGCCAGGCTGGTGGCTTAGGCCACATGAACATCCCTCTCCTTTCCGACTTCAGCAAGAATATCTCAAAGGACTACGGCGTGCTGCTCGAGGAAGCTGGCGTGGCTCTCCGGTACGAATGTCGCATACCCGCCTCCTGTGCCTGTCCACCTGCCGAACCAACAACACGTCTGTCTACCTTGGCATGTCTTCTCCTGCCCACAGAGTAGCCACTGCAGCACCATTTACTCTCGGCCACGGTATATCTGACCTTGCAAAATAAATATTGTCGGTATAAGTGCCAGCGCCACTTGTGTAGGCGAAGGTCGTGCCTATAAAATGCAGAACAATGCACTTTGGTTAATATTGCAATTGGTATTCAATGTCATGGTTTTCATATATGGCTGAAGCAGCCTTTGGTTAAAACATGAGTGCATCCTTAACCAACTTCCAAATGCAAAAGCACACCCCATCCGATTGGGATTTGAGCGCTCTGACCACGGTGTCATCCAACATCACAAATTATTAAAGTTGGCAATTATTACTGTCCAAAAAAAGGACAAGCCTGCTGCTCGTCAACGTTAAATGTCATACACGTAGCTGCAGGGAGCATTAGTTTATGCTCCACATCACTTCTACCAGTGACTTGCTTCGGTGGGCTAAATAAATGAGGCCCATCGCCTATAACGTTTCTTTTAGACTTCACGCTGGGATAATTTACCAGCCTCCTACCGGCAACGTCTTTTCAAGCTGGAGGAACATGTGGTCGGGCAGCGCACGCACGCTACCAAGGCAGAGCTCGTGGTTATGTGCACCGCTGGGCTCGGCCACTGAAAGGAAAATGGCTTGATGGCTTGTGGTGCCCAGTCCCTATAAGTACAGTGCTGCATCACATATCTGCCTTGTCCGATTATCCGCCCACACCCAGTGCCATAATTGTTGCGTGTAATGTAACCGACATTTTCTAATAGATGTTCTGAAATCCGACCTTTTCATATATCTGACTACAGATATATGAAAAGGTCAGTCCATAGCAAGTTGGATATGCGACATTATACTCTACGATCACAACAGCGTTGTCGTCTGAAATTGTGGTTTCAATTTATTTTGACTTGTGCAATTTCAAGTGCAATCGAACCCACCCAGGCCTGCTGCATTGACACACATGGTGGGGGTTGTGCGTCCCTGCGGTACACTGTTGACAGCCACTAATGGCCATGCACGATACAGTGAGGGAAAAAAGTATTTGATCCCCTGCTGATTTTGTACATTTGCCCACTGACAAAGAAATGATCAGTCTATAATTTTAATGGTAGGTTTATTTGAACAGTGAGAGACAGAATAACAACAACAAAAAATCCAGAAAAACGCATGTCAAAAATGTTATAAATTGATTTGCATTTTAATGAGGGAAATAAGTATTTGACTCCCTCTCAGAAAGATTTCTGGCTCCCAGGTGTCTTTTATACAGGTAACGAGCTGAGATTAGGAGCACACTTAAAGGGAGTACTCCTAATCTCAGCTTGTTACCTGTATAAAAGGCACCTGTCCACAGAAGCAATCAATCAATCAGATTCCAAACTCTCCACCATGGCCAAGACCAAAGAGCTCTCCAAGGATGTCAGGGACAAGATTGTAGACCTACACAAGGCTGGAATGGGCTACAAGACCATTGCCAAGCAGCTTGGTGACAACAGTTGGTGCGATTATTCGCAAATGGAAGAAACTAAAGAACTGTCTATCTCCCTCGGCCTGGGGCTCCATACAAGATCTCACCTCATGGAGTTGCATCAAAGGGACGATGGATGGGGCCATGTACCGTCAAATCTTGGGTGAGAACCTCCTTCCCTCAGCCAGGGCATTGAAAATGGGTCGTGGATGGGTATTCCAGCATGACAATCACCCAAAACACACGGCCAAGGCAACAAAGGAGTGGCTCAAGAAGAAGCACATTAATGTCCTGGAGTGGCCTAGCCAGTCTCCAGACCTTAATCCCATAGAAAATCTGTGGAGGGAGCTGAAGGTTCGAGTTGCCAAACGTCAGCCTCGAAACCTTAATGACTTGGAGAAGATCTGCAAAGAGAAGTGGGAAAAAATCCTTCCTGAGATGTGTGCAAACCTGGTGGCCAATTACAAGAAACGTCTGACCTCTGTGATTGCCAACAAGGGTTTTGCCACCAAGTACTAAGTCATGTTTTGCAGAGGGGTCAAATACTTATTTCCCTCATTAAAATGTAAATCAATTTATAACATTTTTGACATGCGTTTTTCTGGATTTTTTTGTTGTTATTCTGTCTCTCACTGTTCAAATAAACCTACCATTAAAATTATAGACTGATCATTTCTTTGTCAGTGGACAAACGTACAAAATCAGCAGGGGATCAAATACTTTTTTTCCCTCACTGTATATGTATGTGTGTTGAACTTCTTTCACACCATACGTAGCCAACCGTGATAATCAGAGGTGCGGGGTAAGGACAACAAACTAAATACAAAAAGCAGCTCTCCGGAAATTAGTTTTTATTTTAGATTTCAAAGTGCATAGCTCCAGTGGCTTCCTAATGCCGGAAGGAAGACTTAAATTAATTTCTTTAGAACTGCTTTTTTTAGTCTGTTGTCCTTCCGCACCTCCAGTTAGCACGGTTGGCTACGTAGGGTGTGAAAAAAGTTCAATATGCATACATAAGTTCCAGACGGCCGCAAAAGCGTATCTGAAAGCGCACGCTTGCCACAAATGCGAGGGTCGCCTCTGTGAGCGCGGCGCTACGGCGGCGCCGTGTTGACTGCCGTGGTCGCTTTGTCGCTGGTCACCGCGCGCAGGGGCCTGTTCCTCATCGACCCCAACGGCGTAGTGCGGCACGCGAGCGTCAATGACTTGCCCGTTGGCCGCTCCGTGGAGGAGACCTTGCGTCTCGTCAAGGCCTTCCAGTTTGTGGAGGAGCACGGGGAGGTGTGCCCGGCAAACTGGACTCCCGAAGCTCCAACGGTAAAAACGCACGCTCGCGGACGTTATCGCTGGAATACCAGAGGTCAATTTTGACAAATATGCAGTAAAAAGAGCTTTATAGCTCATCGGATTCCTCCAGTACAAATAAATATTCTGAATCTATTCTGGTGTAGCCTCCAAAACACAAATACAAAGTATTTGTTTGTCCATCAGGCAATTGACTTTCGAGACCAATATTATCCATGGCTTTTTTTTCCCAGACCAATTTTATCCAGCAACAAGCCTCACTCTGAGACCCAGAAGGGTGAAACCAGACCAGAGTTTGCTTGATTAAACAAATGCTGCTGGACATTGGTCTGGAAAGCCAATAGACTGACAGACTAAAGCACATTTGCATTCATGTGCAGATACAGAACGAAGCTCTGTTATTTGCTTATACTAATAATACTCCACAGCAACATAGAATGGAATTATGTAGCCTAAGAAGACTTCACTCATTGCATCAAATTAACTTTGGTGTAAGCGCATTCATGAGAAGGCTACATCTAAATGTATATTTTTCAGCGTTTTGTTACATTGGAAAGAAGGCCTTATGCATTTCACATATTAGGCACACAAATATTTACAGTAATGTATATATTGTGATGATTACCCTATCGATCACCATACTACTCAGGGGTAAGATAACATGCAATAATAATAAAAAAAACAAAAGCATATGTTTTACCAGATTCAGCTATATGATATACAGATAACTTTGGAAGGAAGTATTGCCGTAAAAATCCACGTGTGTGTGTGTGTGTGTTTCAGATCAAGCCAAACCCTCAAGACTCACTGGAGTACTTTGAAAAAGTGAACTGAAGAATTGAAACTGGAATGTAGAGGTTCTCATTGTCTATAGCAAGACGTTAATATTGTTACAGCTTGAACTGAACTACATTTGGTAGTCAGTCTTTAGCGCTTATCGACTCAAAGTGTCTTCGAATCCAAAAAATGTATTTTGATACAAATACGTGCTTTATTAAACACGACCTGAACATAGCAGTTGAATTCATCATGTCGACAACTTCGCAAATTACCAATCTCTGCAACTTAATATCAGCGTAATGTCTCTGTTTACCGATGTGTGCATCATTACAGTTGACAGAAAATTCTGCTTTAATTTGGTTGACGAGATGTGTGTGTGTGTGTGCAAACCTATAAAGCACACGATGAATGAATGATTGTGGGTTGTTATGTTGTCGATGGTATGTTGTGGTTAAAAGCCGTGGAACATTTGAAAGCAGAGTAGCCAATTGCAGGGGCATCAAAGCATCACTGAAAGTGCCTCATTGACCGCCATGCTACGGGCATGCCGAATAACTAACCTACTTTGCATGCGATAGATGTTCACTTGTAATGTTTATTACTGGCCTCAGAGGTGTAGTGAGGTGATAAAATCGAGATAGATGAGATTTGGGTGTGGTTAAATGAGAGGAAGACAGACGGGCTAGCAAGACGAGATAAAGTGATGTAAGATAAAGAATACATCTATGTATGCAACATGTATATGATCCATAGGGATCTAGAAGATTATTGATCCAGAAGAGAGATGAGCGACATAAACGAATCTACAGGTTTCCTTCACTTTATGCCACTTAATTGCAAGGCCCGCGAGCCACTGGTGGCCTTTAGTGCGGCACCTGACGATACGCAAATTGTGAAAACACCCCCCATCATCATCGTGCTGCTGTCAAATCCAATGGTTTCAAACGTGTGGCGGTCCACACACTCATGATGTCTTATCGGCAAAAGTGCCCCCCCCCCCCTCTGAAAATTAGTGAAGAACACTGATTTATGCGGTACTAGATGCGTTCCAAAAATAATGGCGCACTACACGAGGGAGACGGCTGCGTGCCGAGTAGCCCGCACAGCGCACACGAAAGGCCTCCTTTGCCAGTACCAAAATATAATAATAAAAGGGGAAAAAACCTATTATATTTTGGTACTGGCAAAGGAGGCCTCATGATGTAGATACATGTACTGTATGGAACAAGAGCAAGAGGAACGGGATACCGCCATGGAAGTCCCCATGACGGTCACGGAGGGCATGGCTAAAGATGAGCAGCAGGAAGGAAGAAGAAGCGCTTTGCAGAAGGGAAAGGAAGATTGACTGCGCCAAGATGTCAGGGATGCGAGGGCAGAGAAATAGCGGGCAGGAGTAGAGCTGCGTGGAGTCTGTTTTCAAAGGGGGTGGGGAGAGGGGAGGGATTTAGAGTGGGCGTAGCCACACCAATATTAAATAACTTACGCTTGGTTCTTTCGGTAAAGTCACGTAGAAGGGAAATAATACAAATAAAACAATTAAATGCTCACGACGTTTCGATTGCAACACAAGCAATCATCAGGTGTGAAAAACCACAGCAATACAATTTGAAAAAAGTGTGCTGTGGTTTTCACACCTGATGATGATTGCTTGTGTTGCAATCGAAACGTGAGGATTTTATTCTTTTATTTGCATTATTTTATTATTTCCCTTCTACGTGACTTTACCGAAAGAATCAAGAATATGAATCCCTGCAGTCACGAAAGCTTTAAATCGAAAATTAAATAACTTATCAAATTGAAATCCGATATAAGAGACCGTTCTAAACTCGTTGATCGTAAACAATGTGGTTTGCATTCAGAGCGTCCGGTGAATTGTTTTTATGTGCTTGCAGTTACCAGGTAGCTTGGATAACCTCACAAAAAGGACAATTGCTTAAAATATTGATGTTTATAATTCATACATTTCTCAGAATCATGTTGGGTTAGGCAAGGGGGGGGTATTATTCGGTTGGAACACAATTCAACAAGGGTTACTGTAGCCAAATAATGTTGAGAACACATTCAACAAGGGTTACTGTTGCCAAATAATGTTGAGAAAAAATTCAACAAGGGTTACTGTTGCCAAATAATGTTGAGAAAAAATTCAACAGGGTTACTGTAGCTAAATAATGTTGAGAACAAATTCAACAAGGGTTACAGTAGCCAAATAATGTTGAGAAAAAAATTTTCAACAAGGGTTACTGTATCTTCTTTGGTTCTTTCGGCAAAGTCACGTAGAATGAGAATAAAATAATAAATTGATAAAATAAAATAACACAATAATATTCTCACGACGTTTCGGCCACAACACAAGCGGCCTTCATCAGGTGAAGGGGGCGAGACTGTCTGGTAGGACAGTCTGGTAGGACAGTCTCGCCCTCTTCACCTGATGAAGGCCGCTTGTGTTGTGGCCGAAACGTCGTGAGAATATTATTGTGTTATTTTATTTTATCAATTTATTATTTTATTCTCATTCTACGTGACTTTACCGAAAGAACCAAAGAAGATGAATCATTGCAGTCACGAAAGCTTTAAATCGAAATTTAAGGGTTACTGTAGACAAATGTTGAGAACAAATTCAACAAGGGTTACTGCAGACAAATGTTGAGAACAAATTCAACAAGGGTTACAGTAGCCAAATAATGTTGAGAACAAATTCAACAAGGGTTACTGTAGCCAAATAATGTTGAGAACAAATTCAACAAGGGGTACAGTAGCCAAATAATGTTGAGAAAAAATTCAACAAGGGTAACTGTAGCCAAATAATGTTGAGAACCAATTCAACAAGGGTTACTGTAGACAAATGTTGAGAACAAATTCAACAAGGGTTACTGTAGACAAATGTTGAGAACAAATTCAACAAGGGTTACTGTAGCTAAATAATGTTGAGAACAAATTCAACAAGGGTTACTGTAGCCAAATAATGTTGAGAACAAATTCAACAAGGGTTACTGTAGACAAATGTTGAGAACAAATTCAACAAGGGTTACAGTAGCCAAATAATGTTGAGAACAAATTCAACAAGGGTTACTGTAGCTAATGTTGAGAGCAAATTCAACAAGGGTTACTGTAGCTAAATAATGTTGAGAAAAAATTCAACAAGGGTTACTGTAGCTTAATGTTGAGAAAAAAATCAAACAAGGGTTACTGTAGCCAAATAATGTTGAGAACAAATTCAACAAGGGTTACAGTAGCTAAATAATGTTGAGAAAAAATTCAACAAGGGTTACAGTAGCCAAATAATGTTGAGAACAAATTCAACAAGGGTTACTGTAGCCAAACGTGACTTTACCGAAAAAACTAAGAATATGAATTACTGCAGTCACGAAAGCTTTAAATCAAAATTTAAAAAAGGGTTACTGTAGCCAAATGATGTTGAGAACAAATTCAACAAGGGTTACTGTAGCTAAATAATGTTGAGAAAAAATTCAACAAGGGTTGCTGTAGCCAAATAATGTTGAGAACAAATTCAACAAGGGTTACTGTAGCTAAATAATGTTGAGAACCAATTCAACAAGGGTTACTGTAGCCAAATAATGTTGAGAACAAATTCAACAAGGGTTACTGTAGCCAAATAATGTTGAGAACAAATTCAACAAGGGTTACTGTAGACAAATGTTGAGAACAAATTCAACAAGGGTTACTGTAGACATGTTGAGAACACAATTCAACAAGGGTTACTGTAGCCAAATAATGTTGAGAACAAATTCAACAAGGGTTATAGTAGCCAAATAATGTTGAGAGCAAATTCAACAAGGGTTACTGTAGACAAATGTTGAGAACAAATTCAACAAGGGTTACTGTAGCCAAATAATGTTGAGAACAAATTCAACAAGGGTTACTGTAGCTAAATAATGTTGAGAACAAATTCAACAAGGGTTACTGTAGCTAAATAATGTTGAGAGCAAATTCAACAAGGGTTACTGTAGCCAAATAATGTTGATAACAAATTCAACAAGGGTAACTGTAGCCAAATAATGTTGAGAAAAAATTCAACAAGGGTTACTGTAGCTTAATGTTGAGAAAAAAATCAAACAAGGGTTACTGTAGCCAAATAATGTTGAGAACAAATTCAACAAGGGTTACAGTAGCTAAATAATGTTGAGAAAAAATTCAACAAGGGTTACAGTAGCCAAATAATGTTGAGAACAAATTCAACAAGGGTTACTGTAGCCAAATTATGTTGAGAACCAATTCAACAAGGGTTACTGTAGCCAAATGATGTTGAGAAAAAAAAATTCAACAAGGGTTACTGTAGCCAAATGATGTTGAGAACAAATTCAACAAGGGTTACTGTAGCTAAATAATGTTGAGAAAAAATTCAACAAGGGTTGCTGTAGCCAAATAATGTTGAGAACAAATTCAACAAGGGTTACTGTAGCTAAATAATGTTGAGAACCAATTCAACAAGGGTTACTGTAGCCAAATAATGTTGAGAACAAATTCAACAAGGGTTACTGTAGCCAAATAATGTTGAGAACAAATTCAACAAGGGTTACTGTAGACAAATGTTGAGAACAAATTCAACAAGGGTTACTGTAGACATGTTGAGAACACAATTCAACAAGGGTTACTGTAGCCAAATGATGTTGAGAACAAATTCAACAAGGGTTACTGTAGCTAAATAATGTTGAGAAAAAATTCAACAAGGGTTGCTGTAGCCAAATAATGTTGAGAACAAATTCAACAAGGGTTACTGTAGCTAAATAATGTTGAGAACCAATTCAACAAGGGTTACTGTAGCCAAATAATGTTGAGAACAAATTCAACAAGGGTTACTGTAGCCAAATAATGTTGAGAGCAAATTCAACAAGGGTTACTGTAGACAAATGTTGAGAACAAATTCAACAAGGGTTACTGTAGCCAAATAATGTTGAGAACAAATTCAACAAGGGTTACTGTAGCTAAATAATGTTGAGAACAAATTCAACAAGGGTTACTGTAGCTAAATAATGTTGAGAGCAAATTCAACAAGGGTTACTGTAGCTAAATAATGTTGAGAACAAATTCAACAAGGGTTACTGTAGCCAAATAATGTTGATAACAAATTCAACAAGGGTAACTGTAGCCAAATAATGTTGAGAAAAAATTCAACAAGGGTTACTGTAGCTTAATGTTGAGAAAAAAATCAAACAAGGGTTACTGTAGCCAAATAATGTTGAGAACAAATTCAACAAGGGTTACAGTAGCTAAATAATGTTGAGAAAAAATTCAACAAGGGTTACAGTAGCCAAATAATGTTGAGAACAAATTCAACAAGGGTTACTGTAGCCAAATTATGTTGAGAACCAATTCAACAAAGGTTACTGTAGCCAAATGATGTTGAGAAAAAAAAATTCAACAAGGGTTACTGTAGCCAAATGATGTTGAGAACAAATTCAACAAGGGTTACTGTAGCTAAATAATGTTGAGAAAAAATTCAACAAGGGTTGCTGTAGCCAAATAATGTTGAGAACAAATTCAACAAGAGTTACTGTAGCTAAATAATGTTGAGAACCAATTCAACAAGGGTTACTGTAGCCAAATAATGTTGAGAACAAATTCAACAAGGGTTACTGTAGCCAAATAATGTTGAGAACAAATTCAACAAGGGTTACTGTAGACAAATGTTGAGAACAAATTCAACAAGGGTTACTGTAGACATGTTGAGAACACAATTCAACAAGGGTTACTGTAGCCAAATAATGTTGAGAACAAATTCAACAAGGGTTATAGTAGCCAAATAATGTTGAGAGCAAATTCAACAAGGGTTACTGTAGACAAATGTTGAGAACAAATTCAACAAGGGTTACTGTAGCCAAATAATGTTGAGAACAAATTCAACAAGGGTTACTGTAGCTAAATAATGTTGAGAACAAATTCAACAAGGGTTACTGTAGCTAAATAATGTTGAGAACAAATTCAACAAGGGTTACTGTAGCCAAATAATGTTGATAACAAATTCAACAAGGGTAACTGTAGCCAAATAATGTTGAGAACAAATTCAACAAGGGTTACTGTAGCTAAATAATGTTGAGAGCAAATTCAACAAGGGTTACTGTGGCTAAATAATGTTGGGAACAAATTTCAACAAGGGTAACTGTAGCCAAATAATGTTGAGAAAAACTTCAACAAGGGTTACAGTAGCCAAATAATGTTGAGAACAAATTCAACAAGGGTTACAGGAGACAAATAATTTTTGATTTAAAGCTTTCGTGACTGCAGTAATTCATATTCTTAGTTCTTTCGGTAAAGTCACGTTGAACGGAAACAATAAAATAATAAAATATATATAAAACAATACAAATTATCACGACGTTTCGACCATAACACAAACGGTCGTCATCAGGTGTGTCGGTTTGCATAAATTTATTTATTTTAAACGGTGTATTTATTTATAACAAAAAACGTTTGTGTTATGGTCGAAACGTCGTGAGAATTTTTATTGTTTTATATATATATTGTATTATTTTATTGTTTCCCTTCAACGTGACTTTACCGAAAGAACTAAGTATATAGAGACAAATAATGTTGAGAACAAATTCAACAATGGGTACAGTAGCTAAATAATGTTGAGAACAAATTCAACAAGGGTTACTGTAGCTAAATAATGTTGAGAAAAAATTCAACAAGGGTTGCCGTAGCTAAATAATGTTGATAACAAATTCAACAAGGGTTACTGTAGCTAAATAATGTTGAGAAAAAATTCAACAAGGGTTGCCGTAGCTAAATAATGTTGATAACAAATTCAACAAGGGTTACAGTAGCCAAATAATGTTGAGAAAAAATTCAACAAGGGTTGCCGTAGCTAAATAATGTTGATAACAAATTCAACAAGGGTTACTGTAGCTAAATAATGTTGAGAACAAATTCAACAAGGGTTACTGTAGCCAAATAATGTTGAGAACAAATTCAACAAGGGTTACAGTAGCCAAATAATGTTGAGAAAAAATTTCAACAAGGGTTACTGTAGCCAAATAATGTTGAGAACAGATTTAAACAAGGGTAACTGTATATTCTTAGCTCTTTCGGTAAAGTCACGTTGAAGGGAAATAATAAAATATATATAAAACAATAAAAATTCTCACGACGTGACTTTACCGAAAGAGCTAAGAATATGAATTACTGCAGTCACGAAAGCTTTAAATCAAAATTTAAGGCTAACTGTAGCCAAATAATGTTGAGAAAAAAAATTCAACAAGGGTAACTATAGCCAAATAATATTTCTCTAGAGCTGCCTCGAGTTGAGTACCCTTCCGCCAACAGTGGCCAGGGAAGTAATTGCAGGGCTGCGCCTCTACCCCACAGTATTTGCCCGAGGAACGAGCAAGCCACGCCGAGGTTTCTTCATTGCGAGGCCACCAAGGGGGCCACTGACGGCCCCCACCGATAATAAACAACAAGCGAAAACAGCCACCACCATCATCACCATTGTGCTGCTACATATCTGGCAAGCCATGCCGTTTACCCAGTATTCTTCTTGTACAGGGAAATTGAGTTTGCAGGTCCACTTGGCCGTACAGCTCTTTCAATACGGGCAAACTAAATTATTGTCGTCGTGTTTCTCCCCTGTGATGGGACTTTGTAAGATGAATGTTGAGGTTTATAAGGGCACGGGGTGACCGCTAAGACCTGAATTGGTCTGTAATAAGGTAAGGGGTTGATAAGGAGTTGACTTGCTGGGGTATGCTGCTGTCAAACCCCCAATGGTTTAAAATGGTGATGTCTTGTCGGCTAAAGAGCCCCCTCCTCTAAAAACAATTAATCGGTGACTCACACTGCGGTAACCGATTCGAGACCGGTAACCGGTTCGCGGTCGAGGCGCTGGGCGTGGCCGCAACTCCGTGACCCCCGCGAGCCACGCCCCCCGGCGGGGTCACCGCGCACTGTACTCTGCGGGCTCTCTCGCTCAGTGCGCGCCCCGCTCGTCGCTCGGCACGGCAACAACCTCCCTGCACCCTGCTCACACCGCTCCGTCGTGCAGACGACTCCGTGGGGCTGCTCTTGTTTGCTTCGCCGTCGACAGAGATGTGTTTTTTTTTATTTTCCCCCCGAGAAAGAGGAGTCGCTGTGAAGATGTGAAGCGCGCGCGGTACGGGCGGCGTTCGCTCGCTCTCATCCACTCCTTCACTCCCATCCACTCCTCCACTCTCTCCCATCTACTCCTCCACTCTCTCTCATCCACTCCTCCACTCTCTCCCATCCACTCCTTCACTCTCTCCCATCCACTCTCTCCCATCCACTCCTCCACTCTCTCCCATCCACTCTCCTCTCCTCCACTCTCCTTCACTCTCTCCCATCCACTCTCCTTCACTCTCTCCCATCCACTCTCTCCCATCCACTCTCTCCCATCCACTCTCCTCCACTCTCTCCCATCCACTCTCCTTCACTCTCTACTCCCCTCCTTCACTCTCTCTACTCCTCCTTCACTCTCTCCCATCCACTCTCCTTCACTCTCTCCCATCCACTCCTTCACTCTCTCCCATCCACTCTCCTTCACTCTCTCCCATGCACTCCTCCACTCTCTCCCATCCACTCTCCTCCACTCTCCTCTCCTCCACTCTCCTCCACTCTCCTCTCCTCCACTCTCCTCCACTCTCTCCCATCCACTCTCCTCCACTCTCTCCCATCCACTCTCCTCCACTCTCTCCCATCCACTCCTTCACTCTCTCCCATCCACTCTCCTTCACTCTCTCTCATCCACTCCTCCACTCTCTCCACTCCTCTCCTTCACTCTCTCCCATCCACTCTCCTCCACTCTCTCCCATCCACTCTCCTCCACTCTCTCCCATCCACTCTCCTCCACTCTCTCCCATCCACTCCTCCACTCTCTCCCATCCACTCTCCCATCCACTCTCCTCCACTCTCTCCCATCCACTCTCCTCCACTCTCTCCCATCCACTATCCTCCACTCTCTCCCATCCACTCTCCTCCACTCTCTCCCACCCACTCTCCTCCACTCTCTCCCATCCACTCTCCTTCACTCTCTCCCATCCACTCTCCTCCACTCTCTCCCATCCACTCCTCCACTCTCTCCCATCCACTCTCCTCCACTCTCTCCCATCCACTCTCCTCCACTCTCTCCCATCCACTCTCCTTCACGCTCTCCACTCCTCTCCTTCACTCTCTCCCATCCACTCTCCTCCACTCTCTCCCATCCACTCTCCTCCACTCTCTCCCATCCACTCTCCTCCACTCTCTCCCATCCACTCTCCTCCACTCTCTCCCATCCACTCCTCCACTCTCCCATCCACTCCTCCACTCTCTCCCATCCACTCTCCTCCACTCTCTCCCATCCACTCTCCTCCACTCTCTCCCATCCACTCCTCCACTCTCTCCCATCCACTCTCCTCCACTCTCTCCCATCCACTCTCCTTCACGCTCTCCACTCCTCTCCTTCACTCTCTCCCATCCACTCTCCTCCACTCTCTCCCATCCACTCTCCTCCACTCTCTCCCATCCACTCTCCTCCACTCTCTCCCATCCACTCCTCCACTCTCTCCCATCCACTCCTCCACTCTCTCCCATCCACTCTCCTCCACTCTCTCCCATCCACTCTCCTCCACTCTCTCCCATCCACTATCCTCCACTCTCTCCCATCCACTCTCCTCCACTCTCTCCCATCCACTCTCCTCCACTCTCTCCCATCCACTCTCCTCCACTCTCTCCCATCCACTCTCCTCCACTCTCTCCCATCCACTCTCCTTCACTCTCTCCCATCCACTCTCCTCCACTCTCTCCCATCCACTCTCCTCTCCTCCACTCTCTCCCATCCACTCCCTCACTCTCTCCCATCCACTCCTCCACTCTCTCCCATCCACTCTCCTTCACTCTCTCCCATCCACTCTCCTTCACTCTCTCCCATCCACTCTCCTTCACTCTCTCCCATCCACTCCTTCACTCTCCCATCCACTCCTCCACTCTCTCCCATCCACTCTCCTTCACTCTCTCCCATCCACTCTCCTTCACTCTCTCCCATCCACTCTCCTCCACTCTCGTTCTATCTCTTCCACTATCTCGTCCTCTCCTCCACTTTCTCGTTCCTCTCTCCTCTCCTCCACTCTCTCCTCTCATCCACTTTCTCCTCTCTTTCACTCTCTCGTTCCTCTCTCCTCCTCTACTCTCTCCACTTTCTCTTCCTCTCTCCTGGCAACCGCCTCTCTCCTAATCTTACTCTCTGACTTCTCTCGTCTTCAGTTTATCCTCACTCCGTGTTCTATTGTCCTCTCCTCCCTGCTCCTCTCTCCCCATTGTTCTCTCATCAACTCCTTCTCCTCCTCGCCATGCTTCACGCTGGTCAGTGTGGGAGAGTGAAGGGAGTGGAGACCCAGGACCGTATCAGATATTACTCGCCACTAACGTTAGCCTTGATTGGGAATAGAACTCGGGTCACCAGGTTCACACCGCAGTCGACTAAACCACCGCTCCCAAATGTAATGCATCATCGTCAACCTGCACGGTTATGTGGTTGTTGCTGTTGGGTGTCTCGGGGATGTGTTCGATTCCGACCTTTTAATAACTCCTCACCAATAATAGGAACGCTGCTGAGTTTACACTCAACCGGCGCTTCGAATGTACATAACACGAACAGCGCAGAAACAACAATGTGGGATTCATATGCTTGGTTCTTTCGGTAAAGTCACGTAGAAGGGAAATACATTGTTTTATTTTGTATTAGAAGGGAAATACATTGTTTTATTTTGTATTATTTTATTATTTCCCTTCGACGTGACTTTACCGAAAGAACCAAGAATATGAATCCCTGCAGTCACGAAAGCTTTAAATCGAAACAATGTGGGAGTTCAGATGGCTGGCATGTCTTGCGAATAAATTTTTTAACAAGTGTAACGTTCTTACCCCGCCCCCGCCTACTGGACATCTCTGAACAAAGAGTTTTATAGCTCATCGGATTCCTCCAGTATTAATAAATATTCTGATTCGTATTAATTTGATGGCCATCTCAGGCCATCAACAACACGCATGAGCTGTAATCCTGTAGTTTAACCACTGGTGGATAGTGTCTCGGTCATAATTACACCAGGCTACGGGCACCTTGACGGGACGAATCCAATGATTGATTTATTTACAGCACTGCTGAGTGGGGGGATATTTGACGACACTTCACCACGCCTGGTCCGCTGCGTGTTGGTGGAAGTGGGGGGTAGCTTTTAGACGTGGGAGCCATGGAGGTTAAAGCACGTACGTGTACAGTACAAACATGTGTTCCTTGCACTGCTGTCCAAAACGTAGCCAGGATGCTGAAACTCACGTGATAATATATCCCATTGTGGACGAGATGGGGTTTTTGTAATAAACGTGGCAGATTTGCACCTTGATCCCGGCACTCAATGGCACCACTCTCGGGAAAGGCGTCACGGGATCCTGGACGTCCGCTGTAGTATCACTGCCAACATCGGTGGTGTATATCTGAACTGATCCTGGACCTCCTCGAGGTCAACTCGGCCAAGAAAATAAACGAGTACCTGGTGCAATGTGGAAGCGTCAGAATTGGGGAGACAAAGGTGGCCTGGCACGGCGTTGGCCACTCTCACCTCCTCGTGTGCCGTGCCGGCCTAGTACAGGGACTCCGGTACTTGCGAACATTACACTTACGAACTTTCAGAGAAACGAACAAATCTGTCCACATGTCCAGTTTCCTGTTTGGTCCGAGAGTCGAAAGTGCAACCGCCCCGCGAAATAGATGGCGGTGGTGGCAGCTACATCTGCAGAACGTGACGAACCAGTGGCATCTACAGGGATATTGTACCACTTTAAGGCCATTCTCCGTGTTTAGCGTACATGCCGTACAACATTTCAGGAATCGACCGGAGTAAAGTTGAATTTACGAACAGACCTCTGGAACCTATCTCGTTCGTAAGTAGAGAAGTCTGTACAGTATAATGGTAAGAGAATCCCTGTAAACCACAGATGTGTACAAATAACAATATCCCTGCAATTCATCACGAATAACTGGTTTTACTATCACTTAAAATTCATTTTTTTTGCATATGCAGTTTTGTGTAGGAATAAAATTGTGAAGATATATTTTGAATGGACATAATATACTGCTTCCCATGACCTTGGTTGTCTTCATATTAGTTTCAGTAACCTTAGAGTTTTAGCAAATTCAAAATGTGAAGGTGTCTCCCCTCTAAAGTATTCTGGTCTACTCGTCTCCAATCGACAGATATCTTGGTCGAGGTGGGAGTACCCATACCCCACTACACGACTAACTTTGGTGTACCCATGTATATACTATTGTATGGACAGAGGTGTGGAGATTCAAGAGACTTTGACTGTTGTTGCAACTCCCACGCTTGGAGATCAAACCTGGGCCCTCTGGATTGCAAGTCCAGTGTGCTAATTGGCACCTACACACAACATGCGTAAACAGGTAGGTGTAATATCTATTAATAATCTTTGTTTTTTTTTATTGTTGTAGGTAAAACACTTGCGGCTGGAACCTCTCGCTGCCAAAGCTGCGTCCTGTCACCGCTTGCCGTACAAATTGTAATTTTGAAAAGGTAAGTTAGCTTTACGTATTGTACATTGTTGTGTTATTTTTAGTTTTTCACATCTTACTGAACACTTAAGTAGAAATACTCTCATCCACACACAATGGTTGAGAAGATTTTCTGGGATTGTATGAAACTACGGGCCATATTTACCTGTGGCACGGCATCACCACGCCTCTGTGACATCTGCATCGTGTAATGTAGGATGTAATGCCTGCTGTTGCTGCGTGTAAAAAAATAAACTCGTCCAATGTTGACCAAACTTATTCAATGTTAATCAACCTCAGTTGCTTGCTCACCTGCGTACAGTCTGTTCTCCTATAATGCCACGTGTTTTCATGACACGAATTTGATATAACGCGATTAATGTATTAGGGAACACATTGTTTGTAACACGGATGTGAGTTGGATATAACGCGATTGAGTGAACAGAACTACGTCGCACGAGTAGGAATAAGCGGTTGTACGGCTGCCTCGGCGTAGCATCATCATTGCACAAGGCGGGATGCTGCTGGATGCTTCTAGATGCTACCCACGTGCCTCAGTCTTTGTTCAGACTGCGTACGCATCTCACGCGTTATTATGAATTGTGCTTTACATCTATATTATTTATTATAACGCGATTTTTCCATAAAGTGGTGTTCTTAAGGAACACAACTACCGCGTTATAGGAGAACAGACTGTACCTCCCTAGCAAAGCGGACGCACCAGCGCACAAGCTGATTTCATTGCTCCGCAGTGGAAGTCCAGTAAGGTGTATTCTCTTCTTTGGCTGTCGCTCAGACTTTAGTCTTGACCCCCGGCTATCACACCTCCTCACGGCGTGTCCTGCCCATGCCCACATAGTTTTCCTTACAGCAAATCCTTCTCCAATGGAAACTCCGCTCTAAAGTACATAACTATTTTAGCGCTCGTGTTAACCCAGTTAAATTTTGCCTCCATCATTAAACCTAGACGTTTCATAGTTTTCCATGAAAGCATTTCCATTACCCACAGCAGAATTAATATGATTGCGGATTCTATATGCTCAGTCAAACAATTTTATTTATATATGAGTATATGGCTCATAAACCGAATGCGTATTATACCTCGTACAAAAACCTATAAGGGACTGTGGGCCTCTTAAGCCAATCCCACAATGCCAGTGAGCAGCTATAAAAGTAATGCCATTTCCAGAAGCGGTCATGATCATATACAGCAGCAAGCAACTCAAAGTTGTGAACAAATGTATCAGCATAGCAGAGTGTGACATGTTTTGTGACAGCTGTAGCTACGGCCTACTTTAATAAAGCCTGCCCGTGTTCTGCTTTTCGAGTTGCTGGTATTCCAAAGGCACTCAACAGGGCTCATTACTACCAATGTTCGTTCGTTAGTTTCTCAATCCGCTTGTCCTGGTGAGGGTCACGGCGGCAGCATGTTGAGTAGGGCGGTCCAGACCTCTCTTTCCCTGGCGATGGACTCCAGCTCTTCCTGGGGAATTCCTGGGGAATTCCCAGGCATTCCAACGCCAGCCGAGCGACATAGCCCCGTCAGAGCGTCCTGAGCCGGCGCCGGGGTCTTCGGCCCAGTACCAATATTTCTTATTTAAATCATAGCATTTCCTCTTGTCAAAAGTTGGAAATCGACTGCTTGCCACAGATTGACTGGAATGACCCAATCCCTGAAGTGATCGAAACATCGTGATTTTGTTATTATTTTTATTATTATTTCTATTTACGTGGCTTTACCGAAAGACCCAAAGAATATGAATTCCTGCAGTCACGATAGCTTTAAGTAAAGATTTATACCAAACATTGTTTTAAGAGTAAAAAGACAAAAGTGAAGTTTGGAAAAATGGCACGATTACATTATAATGTCATGGTGATGGACTTGCCTCTTCTTGGTTGTCGGTGTACGAAAGGTCACATGAAGGTGTCAAGCACTGTGGCGATGTGGCAAGACTGGCTGCTGGTGGCGCTGTCACTGTTACTGACCGTCTCGTGTGTTGTTGCGTTCATGCTGTGCGGTACGTGATCATTCTTTACGAGGATTTTTTTTATATATATAAGTTATTTAGCATTTGTTGGGAATGTGTTTTCATGGCCAGGTAGATCGAGTGGCTCGCAGTCAGAGAGTTGAGAATTTAAATCCTGGTTGGCGGTGTACTCAGCCCATCATCCCTCTGGGGGTTGATAAAGTGGGTAGCACTTTGTGGCGAAGTTAACAGTGGTTGTCGCACGTGTTTAGTATGTTGTCCCTCCCTCATACCTCCGATTAGCACGGTTAGCTACGTATTTTTCGAAAAGTTCAACATAAATATGTATTAACTTTTGCCCTCCATAGGAATGTGGAATTTCTACGACTGCTTCAGGGCTGTAAACAGCAGATAAGCCTGCTACAATGCTCAAATCACTTTAGCTTTTTTGTTTGTGCATTATTGCCTATTGTGGCAACAACACTTTGCATGGCGACATCCCAAATATCTAAATAGACTCCAGCCTACAAGTAAATTATATTTTGATTGTACATCACTTAATATAGGTATTGTTATTGGAGCAACAAGATGACGTATACAAATCAAAGTAATGTTTTTGTAATTCTTTCACTACTAGCCTTTGCCCGTCCAAGGACAGGTGTATTGCAGTAAATCTGAACTCATGTGATGTGAGGGTTCTGCCTTTGTAGTGAGGGTTGGAAGTTGACGTCGAGGAAGGGGGAGGAGGCACCTCGGCCCCCCATGTAGAGTGCCGTCAGCTGTTAATTATTATGAACGGGGGGTGTCCATTTGGAGGCCGTCACCTGTTCATGATTATTCATGAGGGAGGCTGTTCGATGTGGAGTTGCGTCACATGCTCATGATTATTAATGAGGGGGGGTCCATGTGGAGGACAACCTGTTCATGAATATTAATGAGGGGGGCTGGTCGATGAGGAGTGACGTCACGAGCGTTAAGGACAGACATTCCTGGGTGATTATAGTCGGTATTTTAGACTCAATGAGGGGTTATCAAACTTTAGACTCGGAACCTTTTATGCACCCGAACATCGTGGTAAAGGGGCGAGGGAAGGGACATATTGTAGCCTTGGCACTTTTATTGATTATTGGCCAAAATTCGGACCCCAAAGTTTGAGAAACATGGTTATACGGGTATAAAGTGGCATCTAGACACGATTTATTACATTATCTCAGAATAACAGAATCAGAATATTTATTGATACTGGAGGAATCAGATGAGTTATAAAGTTCTTTTTCACAGATGTCCAGTAGAGGCGAGTAAGAACGTTAAAACAACAAACAATACAAAAACATGACAGTAGTCCACAGTCCAAGAAAGGTAAAATTACCCAAACACACATACAAATAAAACTAAATCATCCTTAACCTACCAGGCAAATCCCAAAGCCCCCCCTAAATTGGTTGAGAAGCACTCTATGAGACACTTCAGCACTCAGGCATTTACTAATGATGTGCTTCAATCGGATATTGACAAGGTCTGTGATATCTCCAACCTGACTACGGCTTGGGAGACCTTCAGGTACACGTTTCTCCAAATTCTTAACAAACATGCTCCGTTGGTTAGATTTAAAACTAAAGGCAACTGCCCACCATGGTTTTTGATCCTTTGATTACAAAGCTCATGAAAACTAGGGACAAGGCTTGGGCGTGTGCTCAGAAAAGTAATTTGGTCAATGACTGGCTAGAATACAGGATTTTAAGGAATAGATGCGTCAAAAAAATACGGCATGCAAAAAATGCCTACTTTTCCTCCACTCTCCTGGAATCACATGGAAATGCCAGGATTTTCTGGAAAACAATCAAATGTATCGAAAAGGCATCCAAAACAGACAATCTGCCTGTTGAGCTTAACCGAAATGGGGAATATTTTTCAGATCCCAAAAAAATAGTTGACAATTTTAACCTTCATTTTTCTGAAGCTGGTAATCTTTTTGATAATGTATTGGGAGTCACCCCTGCTCATGCAAATTCCTACACCCCTGTCCAAACATTAAACGAATTTAGTTTCCAGCCAATCCACAAAAGTAATGTTCTGAAACAACTGTCCTACCTCAAAGGGTCCTCTACCGGAGCAGATAGTATTCCCGTCTTTGCTCTACTAACTGTTGGTCACCTAATATACAAACCTATAGCCCATATTTTCAACCTGTCCATCAAAGAAGCAACAGTTCCTCTAGAATAGAAATATTCCTATGTCCGTCCACTTCACAAAGGGGGCACTAAAGATGATCCAAATAACTACCGACCTATCTCAATTTTGTCCCCGTTGATGAAAATTTTTGAAAAATTATTGAACTACCAAATTAACAGTTTCCTGTCCACCAAAAATCTACATCTAAAACAATCTGGGTTCCGAAAAAAAATACAGCACCACATCTGCTGCATTACACTCTCTGAATCACATATACAGTAGCCTTGATAATAAGTAGTACTGTGCCTGTCTTTTTCTTGACCTCTCCAAAGCTTTTGATACAGTAGACCAAAAACGTAGTAAAATGGTTACAAAATTACCTCTTTTCTCGCACCCAAATTGTATTCACAGATGGTTGGAGGTCAAACAGTGTTAAGATAACAAAAGGGGTTCCACAGGGTTCCATCCTCGGCCCCCTTTTGTTCTTTCTTTATGTCAATGACTTGGGCACTGACCTGGATCATTCCAGGGTAAATATTTTTGCAGATGACACGATACTGATTACTGCTGGCCGCTTGATTGCTAAGCTCCAGGGTGATTTCAGCAAACTACAACATCAGCTAGTTGCTCTTAAACTAGTCTTCAATACCTCCAAAACCAAGGTGATATGCTTCTCACCAGGACTAAAGCAGGAAGTTATTTTTCCCCAATTACATTCCTTAAATAATTATCAAATAGAGCAAGTCAAGATCTATAAGTATCTTGGGGTCATCCTGGATTCAAAACTGAATTTTGAAGATCACATTGATTATATTGGTAAAAAGACAAAAATATAAATTGGTTTTCCGTATCGACACAAGCACTGCTTCCCCCCTATGTTCCGATTGGAATTGATAAAAGCTACCATACTGCCTCTACTTGATTACTGTGACATCGTGTATAAATCAGCCCCAAGTACTGTACTGAAGAAGCTTGATTCCATCTATCACTCGGCCTTAAGATTTACATTGAACTGCCCATATAGGACTCACCACTGTGATCTCTACATTGGGTCAAATTTAACATCTCTTAATGTTTGACGGCTTGTGCACCAGATCTTATTTATTCACGATGTACTTACAAAAAAATCCGCAGACTGCCTGCTGGATCTCCTCTCTGTTTCAAAGAACAAATTTGACCTCAGGTCTTCGCTCATTTACCAGCTTCACATTCCCTATTGCTGTACAAAACCCGGAGGAAGGGTCTTTGCTATTGATGCCCCCAGGGTCTGGGGCAGCAAAATCTAAGTAATATCAATGCACGTTTCTAAATGTGGAGGGAAAAACCGGAGGACCCAGAGAAAAAAAATCCACGTGACCACGGGGAGAACACGGGTTCTGTACTTGGGTTCTGTACAGTTTTTAGTTGAAAGCTTTTGATGTAAATGTTTGGCTTCTTCCAAAGTTTACCTGAATGGTCCTTCATGTAAATGTAGTCGGGATATCATTGTCATGTGTATATTTGCAGAGTATCTGTATGCATCTGTGCTTTTTTCATTAGTATTGGAAATATTTATTGGCTACCATATCCGTGGTTTGGTGTTTAGTTTGTACTGTTGATGTTACGGTCTAACTAAACAAGTGCATGTACAGTGGTACCCCGGAGATCGAACTTAATTCGTTCCAGAAGGCCATTCGAACACCGATTTGCTCGAACACCGAATTCATTTTCCCCATAATTAATGTAAATGACATTAATTGGTTCCAGACACAAGTAATCTCTCATTATAAAGCATTTTTACACGAAGTTTACAGTAATTACATGCATAAAATCATACAAAAAAACAAGAAACACAATAAATAAATGGAATAAATGAATAAATATATGGAATAAATGAAATAAATGAACATTGAACTTCACTTTACCTGTAGTAAGGAGAGTTGATGGCTTGAGTGGAAGGTGGTGAGGAGGTGGTGTTATTGTTTGGAACGGGAGTCCCCTTTGTCTGGGCAAGCGTCATGCACGCTGCTGGCCATACGCGTCTCAGCCGTACAGGTTCTTTCAAGTCGTGATTGGCCGTTCGACCTCCGAATTTCGTTCGGTTTCCGGGGCAAAAAATGTTCGGAAATATCGTTCGAACACCGACTTGTTCGAGTTCTGGTGCGTTCGATCTCCAAGGTTCTACCGTACATTGTTGTTTGCGCGTGTGTTTTGGTGTAAATTCGTGCATGAATGCGTCAGTTAAACGTATCTTTCTGCGTCTCCATGTTGTCTCACTTAGGGTGGTATGTGGTGTGGAAACTTTTCCTCTCCAAGTTCAAGTTCCTGCGCGAGATTGTGGGAGAGACGCAGGCGCAGACGCAAGCCAAGCTGCGTGCGCCCGCCGAGGATAGCCCGACTGCACACGCGAAAGCTCGACACAGAGTCAGCTTCGAACACAGCGCTTCTCCTCCCGTGCACAGCACGTACAGCCAGGGCTATTAATAACGTCGGGGTCTTCACAGCACCACAGCATACCGTGCATATATCAAGCCGCTCAAGTACTGTAACAACGTGTGCAAAACCTTGAACACAATGTACAACAATCTGTTGCATATTATGCATATTCATGGTGCCTACCTTGCTTAAGTCAGCCACACATTGGGGGCAATAAGGCCCAAGTGGCTCCTGGGTGATGGAAGAGTCACTCGTTTTGTAAGCCACTCAAAATTTGCCTGCCATAAATCGCCTCTTTTGCGCAGTATTCACTTCATTATCAGACACCCTGACAGATATGACACTTATTTAATTTGGTGAATTACAAGCAGACTGCTTTTGTAAAAAAAATGTTTCCAGCTGCGATTGCACAGCGAGATATTTGAAAAAGATATATTTTTAATATTTAGCTATGTAATAATTATATTAAGGTTTCTTAATATATTTATTATACGTGCAAGCAAACTGTTAAAGGTTTTTAAAACGTGTTTCGGCAATCGTGTACTAATTTAGTCGGGCACGTGCAACATGCGACCCAGTTTTTTGTGCCCAGTTTCACTCCCAAGTTTTGGTGGAGCCTGAAGCCTAGGCAAAGTTCAACAATTAAACATGAGGGATTGAGGCGAGGACAGAATTCACACTTTGTTGCGAAGATGTGGGATAACTGCCAATTGGAGTCTTAAGCAATGAAAAGTGAACCAGGCAAAATGAACATTTACTCTCCTGTTTGCCTATCTTTATATAAAAAAAATATAATACCGAGGTGTCTCAATGTATGGCCAACGTTAGATCCAGAATAATCGTACGTTGCCGATATCCATGCCTTGATCCATTTGTATTTTCTTCCACTGTATTTGTGTTCAATGAAAATGCCTTAGTTATTTTTTAATCAGTGTTTTAAGTTATTGTCTTGAATCTATATAAAAAAAAGGACTTGGAAATTGAGCATAAATCTTAACAGGATTTTACCACAAGGTGATGTCCTTGTATCTAGATTCATCCTGAGCTAACGTGAACACAATTCATTGTACTGTGTTATGCAAATGTACTTGATATTTTCTTACCATAGCCTGTACTCCAGCTCATTGCACGGTCGTATCTGCGTGTTTAATCAAACCTCGCCGACACTTGGGTCACTGGGGGGCGCTCTGCGCATGTTGCCCATGTGGGGAAATCTCACTGAGCACAAAATAACGTCGGCCAAGTGTCGTGTGTCAAAACAGCCTGCCCAAATTGTCATCACGACTCAACTGTGATACACGTGTTTAACCTACTGTGGCTCTTAACAAATGCACAGGGTATACGGTACTGTATATTGCTCGCCACGCACACCCAATTGATACATTACCTATACTGTATTTGCATTTAGGTGGTTGGTTGAAACGGGGATATATAGTGATTTTTAGGTCCATAGGACTGGAGTTGAGAACCACTCACGGTTGATTAATCTACTTGGCAACCTATTTACACGGCTATAAACTTTGTCGGATTATTGGAGGATAATGTGCATCTACAGTAAAGGAAAAGCTGCAAACCTAGCGATTGATTAAACACTCAGGCTGTGATATAATTACCTCAAGTTGCACAATATTTATAGAAGGATTGATACTGTATTAACCCTACGTGTAATATGAACTACTTGGCTTACTGGTAGACTTAACATTGTTGCAGCTGTTAAGATACTTGTACAATGAGAATGAGTATTCCAAAGTTAAGAAACAGTACGTGATGTTGAGATGTGCATTTTCAAAGTCATGGATACGAATGTACATAGCTGTGGCTTTGACGAAACATTTGGCGTTCTCCTTATTTGTGCACAATGAATGGTTTGTCTGTACGTACCTTCGGCAGCAGGTTTAATTCATGGAGGGCCATCTCCTGACAGAGCCGTGCTGGTGTGTCCCTGGCACTTCAAAATCATGCTTGAGCGGAGCTGTAATCCTAAGAGCACAGCCTCGTGTCTCCATAAAATGTCTGGAGACAATACCCGGACCAAACGTACATAAGCGCACAGCAGTTTGTTTTTACGGCTGATGGCAAATGAAAAATCTGCGACGAGGAATTCTTACATTGAAAAAAATTACTTGCATTAATTTACTTAAAAATAACCAATATATGACGCTTGTAGTATATTCATCTGTAGGAACTATGATTTAATGTTTATCCAGTTTATAAAAGCATCCCCCGCGAAAGTTTTTAATATGCAGTACATTGTAGAAGAGCATGAGAAAACGTTGTACAAGAAACGGGCTCTAGTTACATAAAGTAGCTTATCTCATAAAAAAACAGAAACATGCTTAGCCATTCCAGGGTTAATTCCGGCTCATGTTGGCCAGGACTTTCTGGTGGATAGCGCAACCCATTGAGATCTACAAAAATGGATCCCACTGCTTGGTGTATCGGCCACCACTGGACTTTGGTGTTCCACAAGGTTTAAGTCTTGGGCCTCTTAATTTCTTAATATACAACTACTGCCATGCCGGTTGCAAACCAGTTCCATATCTCCATTGATTGTACATATTACCGCTCCGCTGTCCATTCTATCGTCATGCAATTATCGTATCCTCTTGGATTTTTGCTCAGATTTTCACCAGGTGAATTTTTCCAATAACTGAATCTCCTCTTGGAGGAAGAACAAAATGATTCAAAGTAATTGTTTGGCAGGTTTCTCTTTTGCCATGAGCCTTGACAATCACCACCAAGAGTGTGTGCCCCCACCTGCAGTGGAGCACAATTTATGATTATTGACGCAAGGCCAGCAATAGCATACATGGTATTAGAATGCAAAATATCCATGTCCAGATAAAAAATACCATGGCATGTGCAGCACTATGTAGTGCACCCCCCCCCCTTCCCCCGTGGCTAGCACGTTCACCGCTTGTTGCAGAGGTTCACGGTTCGAATCCAGCGAATGACACGATTTTACCGCGGCTGTAATATCCGCGATAAAATGACGTGCTGTCTGCTGAATGCCCTCGAGGCCCGGGGCCACCGCAGCACCACGTCCACGCCTGGGAGCCCTAAGGCCCCCCCAGAGCACGTGGGGTCACGGCGCTCTGGGCCTCGTGTGTGTGCGTGACGACGAGCGGCGGCCCCAGCAAGAGGCTGGATTCTCAAGCAAGTGGCATTCCGTGTTTGTTGATAAAAGAAGCTAATGGCAATATATACAGTCAACCGTGTATATGTATTGTAAGACAGTGTCATCCACGATTGTGTTGGCTTTAATGACTTTCGTGGTGATTTGTTTTCCTCTACTGAAAAACGGATTTCTTTACATCATCAACCATAATCCACTGCTAGATGAAGGCTTCCTCCAAGAGGCCGCTATCTTTCGTGATTCTAGGAAACGAGCCGAGTGGGAAGGCAGCCAGAACCGGCGCCATCAATTGCCCAAGCTCTGTGGCCCTATATTGTTGGGATATTTGACCAACTCCATGAATACTTTTTTTTATACATGGATCTTTACTTAGGGGCCTCGACGCCCACGGGAAGCAAGCGTCACGACGTTTGTGTGATCCATCAACCCTCGCTGCCCCCACAGTGCTGAGTTACAGGCGCCCATAGCCACCATGCCCCGGCATCACGAAGATAACGCAGCAAAAAGTTTGAGAAGCTTGGAGATGTGCATGCTGGGAATGATACTGAGAGAAAGGTTAACGCATGGAGGTATTGGCAACATACGCAGGTTAGAAACATCACTTGAAGAAAAGTGGTCATGGCCAGAAGCGATGGACCCCGACGGTTGTTGATTGTGACAGGGAATGGCAGCCAGAGGATAGAGGAGCGACTGGACGTATGTGAAAAAGCTTCAAAGCTCATCGGATTCCTCCAGTATAAATACATATTCTGATAGTACAATTCGTCCTGGAGGTGACATTCACGGTGGAGATGGAGCAATGAAATCAGCTTGTGTGCAGGTGAGTATCTTATATTTACGGAGTGCTGCGTGCTGAGTGGACTTTAGCAGCACATGGTCGTGGGAGATGGCGAAAAGTTTGAGAGCCTCATTTAACAGTGAAATGACCGTGGCTGATGAAGCAAAATCGGGCCAACGACACCACCCAGCATTCAGCACCAAGTTGCGGTGACGTCACCACGGCACCTGTGCCAGGCCAGTGCACTTTGAGGCCACGTGAAGTGTCGAAGGCTCGCTGGCAGGAGGTCACGGGATAGACTCAGCAGCTGCCACGGGTTGACTGCTGTGCCAGGCTAGGTGCAGGAGGTCACGGGACAGACCCAGGTCCCATGGGTGCCAGACTAGGTGCAGGAGGAGGCTACGCGACAGACCCAGGTGCCATGGGTTGACTGCTGTGCCAGGCTAGGTGTAGGAGGAGGTCACGGGACAGACCCAGCAGCTGCCACGGGTTGACTGCTGTGCCAGGCTAGGTGCAGGAGGAGGTGACGGGACAGACCCAGGTGCCATGGGTTGACTGCTGTGCCAGGCTAGGTGCAGGAGGAGGTCACGGGATAGACTCAGCAGGTGCCATGGGTTGACTGCTGTGCCAGGCTAGGTGTAGGAGGAGGTCACGGGACAGACTCAGGTGCCATGGGTTGGCTGCTATGCCAGGCTAGGTGCAGGAGGAGGTCACGGGACAGACCCAGGTGCCATGGGTTGACTGCTGTGCCAGGCTAGGTGCAGGAGGAGGTCACGAGACAGACCCAGGTGCCATGGGTTGACTGCTGTGCCAGGCTAGGTGCAGGAGGAGGTCACGGGACAGACCCAGGTGCCATGGGTTGGCTGCTGTGCCAGGCTAGGTGCAGGAGGAGGTCACGGGACAGACGCAGGTGCCATGGGTTGACTGCTGTGCCAGGCTAGGTGCAGGAGGAGGTCACGGGACAGACCCAGGTGCCATGGGTTGACTTGTGCCAGGCTAGGTGCAGGAGGTCACGGGACAGACCCAGCAGGTGCCATGGGTTGACTGTTGTGCCAGGCTAGGTGCAGGAGGTCACGGGACAGAGCCAGGTGCCACAGGTTGACTGAGATCACTGCCAGATGCAACTTGCTGCACTTTATCTGCCCAGCCTTCCGCTCGTTATTGTGAGCGTCGCTCCTCAGCCCTCCGTCGTTGCTGGAGGGCGACTGCCTCCAAACTGTCCGGTGGCAGTGTCCTTTACGAGCCTCCTCGTCCACGGACCGTGCACAAGTTGCGTGCTGCCGCAACAACAACAACAACACAGGTGGGGGCAGCTGTGGCACTCGACACGGTTTATCGAGATGCCGAGGAAGGTCGGCAGGCAGCCTTCACGCGGGCCCTCTCTGTTGAGTGACGAATTCCATGAACAGGGCGACTCGAACATCGACGATCATCGATCTCCGCAACAACATCATCATCAGGATGCGGTGACGTGCAGCAGCAGTTAGTGAACGAGAATTATCATGGGACCTTTTTTTTGCCAGTATCAATTTTTTTTAAAAAAAAGGTTCTTACCCTGTCTGGCAACAAAATAAAACAGGTGTTAAGAAATTCCACACCAAATCGATACCCTTTTGCAAGGAATCAAGTCTGCATCAACCACACACAGTTTGTGCTCGTGGTGAACGTGCAAACAAAAATATGCTGGTAACGATGGGCGTTGTCTTTGAAACGATTTGGCCACCAGCAGAGAGACAGCCGCATTCTTTAGGGCCCAGTCTCGCCACCAGTGTCAGCCCAGAGAACGCCTAAAGGCGAACAGTACAGAGGCATGCAAGGGGCCGTCCATATATGACGTCACGCGATTTTGGACGATTTTTGACCCCCTCCCCCCCTCCTATCGTCACACGGCGTCACAAAAAGTCAGACCCCCCCCCTCAAATATGACGTCACAAAGCTCTGCCCCCTCCCCCCCCCCCAAAAAAAAATAAACCATGCTTCAAATCGTTTTAAACTATTGTCATTGTAGTGCGTATTTAATGTGGCGCTGCACTCTGATGTTGTAGGAGAATACATTTATTTAAACGTCTATTTAAATTTCGATTTAAAGCTTTCGTGACTGCAGGGATTCATATTATTGGTTCTTTCGGTAAAGTCACGTAGAAGGGAAATCATTAAATGATAAAAATACAACAAAAATTCTCACGACGTTTCGGCCACAACGCAAGCAGCCGTCCTCAGGTGAAGAAACGTCGTGAGAATTTAACTTTATTATGTTTTGTTTTTATTATTTCCCTTCTACGTGACTTTACCGAAAGAACCAATAATAAAGTCTATTTAATTAAGTAGAACGTGTTGTCTATATTTATTTAAAGTTGCGCATTTTGATGTGACGTCACATTTTGATGTGACGTCACATTTCTCAAACCCCCCCCACCCTCGTCACACATCGTCACAAATGTCTGACCCCGCCCCCCCCGCCTAGGTGCGTGACGTCATTTATGAACGTCCCCCAAGTATCAGAGTATGAATAGCTCGGGTTGAGCAGCTATAAAGAAGCTTGTCTAAGGTGTAGGCCAATCACTTTCAAAGACAATGCCAGATATCACCAGAGCATATTCACAGCATATTTGTTGGCATGTTTTGCCACAAGAAGCACGCGTGCTTCATGCAGACTTCACGCCTAGTATTGTTCTATAAGGTGTCTTTTGTGGTGTTTTGGACATCTTAACACCTTCCGGTTTATTTTGCCAGAAAGGCTAAAAGCCTATTCTTATTTTCCAGTCGGGGAGCTGCTGGTAAAAGGATTCCCCCGGTGTCCCATTAGGGCCTCAACAAGGCTGTCGTTGGCCAAGTGGAGTAACTCAAGCTGCCAGCTATGGCTGCGAAGTTTGGTCGAACATGTTAAGTATATCGTTTACTGTTAAATTGTAATCACAGCTCGTATGATCACTGCTACATTGTTTTGTATAGCTTTATTTTGGTGATATTCGAAAATGCGTGGTTAAGCCATGTTTGTTTTTGTTTGAAGGACGGAGTTCGCCTGATAATTGTATCTAAATTGTCTTACGGTTGTTATTGTTCGACTTGCATCCCATCGGGGATTTTTGCACACAGCGTTGATGATGTACGGTGATTTTTTTTGTCTGGAAGATTTTACCGGGTTTTTTTTCCCCCTGGATGTTTCTGTTGCGAAACGTCACTTTAAGATGTTTCTTTGTTCATGATTATGTTTGTTGCGGTTGAACCCGAGTCAAGAGCCTCAATGGCTCACAGGGCCCTACCTAATAAATGAAAACTGAAGAAGTGATGAGAGTGGCAAGTGGCAAAGCACCTCGTGAAGGGCCGGCACTGTGGCACACACGTGGTGGGGCGGGGTGGCCAGCACCACGCCCGGCCGCCTTTGTCTCCCCGATGCTGACTGCACACCACAAACAGATACTCATTCTTGAGGCCGAGTCGACCTAGGGGGGAAGGTCCCGGGGCCGCTTCGGATCATCGTCGCCGGTGTTGAGCGGACCGCGAGCGGGAATCGAACCCGGCTGGCCGGGTCGGTGGAGCGGCGCGCTAACCGCTGCACCACCGCTCCCCCCCCCCCACCGCTGCGTGTCATACAAAGCCAAAGATCCCCCGTGTAGCCTTTAACAGGATGTTGGGCCACGTGCTCCGAGCAAGCAGCACCCGAGCACTGCCGCCCTTGGGAGCCGGTGAAGGGCGGAGCTCTGCCGTGGTTGTTCGCATTGAAGACGATTCAGAAAATTGTTACATTAATAAAGTATAAAAGCTTTCGTGACTGCATAAAATTACTCATTGTTTTTTTTTCGGTAAAGTCACGTATGTAGAAATACAATCAAATTATATTAAAACAAAACACAATCACGACGTTTCGATCACAACGCAAGCGATCTTCGTCAGGTGTCAAGAACAAATCATGGAGGTAAATACAACAAAAAGATGAGAGACGAGAATTCAACAAACCTGAAAAACCTGAAAAACATGACGCTTCACGTAATGTTTTTTCAGGTTTGTTGAATTCTCGTCTCTCATCTTGTTGTTGTATTTACCTCCGTGATTTGTTCTTGACGCCTGATGAAGATCGCTTGCGTTGTGATCGAAACGTCGTGATTGTTTTTTTTTGTTTTAATATAATTTTATTGTATTTCTACATACGTGACTATACCGAAAAAAACAATGAGTCATTGTTACATTGTTACCAGGCCACCCCTGAGCGTTGCTCGCCATTTGACTTACCCCACAAGTGAGTTAAAGGTGCCGGGATAAGGGGCCGTCCATAAATGACGTCACGCGATTTTGGACCCCCCCCCCTCGTCACACGGCGTCACAAGAAGTCAGACCCCCCCCTCAAATATGACGTCACAAAGCTCTGCCCCCCCCCACCAAAACCATATTTCCATTTTGAAAATAAAACATGCTTCAAATCGCTTTAAACTATTGTCATTGTAGTGCGTATTTAATGTGGCGCTGCACTCTGATGTTGTAGGCGAAAACATTTATTAAAAAGTATATTTAATTAAGTAGAACGTGTTGTCTATATTTATCTAAAGTTGCGCATTTTGATGTGACGTCACAATTCCCAACCCCCCCCCCATCGTCACACATCGTCACAAATGTCTGACCCCGCCCCCCCCCTCTAGGTGCGTGACGTCATTTATGGACGGCCCCTTAGTAAAAGATGGACTTCCCCTCCGCCCGCCTCTCTCTCTCTGCACGACGTGGCCATGGACAGCGTGACCACAGCCGTCACGCGGCTCAACAGCGGCGTGGACATCCCCCTCCTCGGCCTCGGAACGTGGAAGGTACCGATGGACAAACAGAGAGACACTCTCTGCATGTGTGTCTGTCTGTGTGTGTCTCCGTGTCTGTGTTTTGTCTCTCTCTCAAATGTATCAATCTTTGTAAGAACGCAATCAACCAGGTGGGGTGTTGACTGTTGTGTTGGCCGACTCTCTGTGTTGTGTTGCATTGTGTTTATAAGTTTACTAGGTTTTCTCAGGCATTTTGACCTGATGATGGTTGCTTGTGTTGCAATCGAAACGTCGTATTCTATTATTATCTAATTCCATTTATTTCGTCGTGATTTTACCGAAAGAACCGAAGAGTAATTCCGGCAGTCACGAAAGCTTCCATTCCAGTATAAACGTATCGCTAAACCCGCCAATCGGTAAGGTTTGTCGCGTCGTACTCGAACGGTAAAGGTCGTGGCTTTTTCCCTCTCCAACACGCCGGTGTGCTGAACTTTCCCGCTTGTCTGCGGCGGGTTTTAACGACGGATTTATATTCATGCGATCTCACCTAAAATAAATGTGTTATGGAGAGAACATTGGTCGCGAAAGTCCACGTGCTAAGCCGTGCAAGGTTTTCTCGCCGTCGGGATGGAGCCCCATGCACGCGTGGTTGTCACAGCTTTTGAACGGAGCAAGGGATTGTGGAGGCAGAACGCTTGCAACTCTTTAACGCAGAAAGTTAGCTGGGTGCGAGTTTTGTCTTTTTTTTTACCCCGTTCCTTTTTTTGAGACCGCACTTTCCTGCGGCAGAGAGATGCCAGATCCCGAAATCGTAGCACGGCCAAGGTTTGAACCTGCCGTCTTGCCGTTGTTAAAGTAACGATTACATTATTATTATTTTTTTACAACTTATGCTTGCTATTCATCATTGCTAGTTTTTTTCTTCTGATAAATAAACTGGGATGTTTGCCCACGTGACAACTTGATTTGATTGACTCTGTGCGGTGGTGGAGGGATAACCTAAAATAAAACTGATTACGTACCGTAATGTTGGACGAGTAAAATATCTGTTTATTTAAATAAGATTTGCTGAGCACGGTGACTAAGATGCCCAGAGGCCAAGAACAAAAGAGCACGATGATCGTTGTGTTGTTCCCTACTTGATGAAGACTGAGCGTAGGTGTCCTTAGTGCCGTAGTTTCCCGCATATAACCCGCGGGGTATACCACTTTATACAAACAAAACAAGACCCTGCGGGGTATATGGAGGTGCGGGCTATGCCAAAAATATTTGACACTCGTTAAATGTTTTCATGGTAGGACTATCCACTATGCAACACTTACCTTTGACTAAAGCTCTGCTGAATAAACCACTCACACTAAAATTGGCCATGTCACGTTTTAAATGAATTGTTTGTACAATTAAACGACAATGTTTTAAGTGCCCCCACTGTTTACCGGCGACGGGAGAGCTGGGGCGAGAGAGGTGGGGGTGGGGGGTGGGGCAGCTGGGGGGAGGGAGAGGTGGGGGTTGGGGGTGGGGCAGCTGGGGGGAGAGAGAGGTGGGGGTGGGGGGTGGGGCAGCTGGGGGGAGAGAGGTGGGGGTTGGGGGGTGGGGCAGCTGGGGGGAGAGAGAGGTGGGGGTTGGGGGTGGGGCAGCTGGGGGGGGAGAGGTGGGGGTTGGGGGGTGGGGCAGCTGGGGGGGAGAGAGGTGGGGGTTGGGGGGTGGGGCAGCTGGGGGGGGAGAGAGGTGGGGGTTGGGGGTGGGGCAGCTGGGGGGGGAGAGGTGGGGGTTGGGGGGTGGGGCAGCTGGGGGGGGAGAGAGGTGGGGGTTGGGGGGTGGGGCAGCTGGGGGGGGGAGAGAGGTGGGGGTTGGGGGTGGGGCAGCTGGGGGGAGAGAGGTGGGGGGATTGGGGGGTGGGGCAGCTGGGGAGAGAGAGGTGGGGGTTGGGGGGTGGGGCAGCTGGGGGGGGGAGAGAGGTGGGGGTTGGGGGGTGGGGCAGCTGGGGGGGGGAGAGAGGTGGGGGTTGGGGGGTGGGGCAGCTGGGGGGGAGAGAGGTGGGGGTTGGGGGGTGGGGCAGCTGGGGGGAGAGAGAGGTGGGGGGTGGGGCAGCTGGGGAGAGAGGTGGGGGTTAGGGGGTGGGGCAGTTGAGGGGAGAGAGAGGTGGGGGTTGGGGGGTGGGGCAGCTGGGGGGAGAGAGAGGTGGGGGTTGGGGGTGGGGCAGCTGGGGGGAGAGAGGTGGGGGTTGGGGGGTGGGGCAGCTGGGGGGAGAGAGAGGTGGGGGTTGGGGGCAGCTGGGGGAGAGAGAGGTGGGGGTTTGGGGGCGGGGCAGCTGGGGGGAGAGAGAGGTGGGGGTTGGGGGGTGGGGCAGCTGGGGGGAGAGAGAGGTGGGGGTTGGGGGTGGGGGCAGCTGGGGGGGAGAGAGAGGTGGGGGTGGGGGGTGGGGGCAGCTGGGGGGAGAGAGGTGGGGGTTGGGGGGTGGGGGCAGCTGGGGGGAGAGAGAGGTGGGGGTTGGGGGTGGGGCAGCTGGGGGGGGAGAGGTGGGGGTTGGGGGGTGGGGCAGCTGGGGGGGAGAGAGGTGGGGGTTGGGGGGTGGGGCAGCTGGGGGGGGAGAGAGGTGGGGGTTGGGGGTGGGGCAGCTGGGGGGGGAGAGGTGGGGGTTGGGGGGTGGGGCAGCTGGGGGGGGAGAGAGGTGGGGGTTGGGGGGTGGGGCAGCTGGGGGGGGAGAGAGGTGGGGGTTGGGGGTGGGGCAGCTGGGGGGAGAGAGGTGGGGGGATTGGGGGGTGGGGCAGCTGGGGAGAGAGAGGTGGGGGTTGGGGGGTGGGGCAGCTGGGGGGGGAGAGAGGTGGGGGTTGGGGGGTGGGGCAGCTGGGGGGGGGAGAGAGGTGGGGGTTGGGGGGTGGGGCAGCTGGGGGGGAGAGAGGTGGGGGTTGGGGGGTGGGGCAGCTGGGGGGAGAGAGAGGTGGGGGGTGGGGCAGCTGGGGAGAGAGGTGGGGGTTAGGGGGTGGGGCAGTTGAGGGGAGAGAGAGGTGGGGGTTGGGGGGTGGGGCAGCTGGGGGGAGAGAGAGGTGGGGGTTGGGGGTGGGGCAGCTGGGGGGAGAGAGGTGGGGGTTGGGGGGTGGGGCAGCTGGGGGGAGAGAGAGGTGGGGGTTGGGGGCAGCTGGGGGAGAGAGAGGTGGGGGTTTGGGGGCGGGGCAGCTGGGGGGAGAGAGAGGTGGGGGTTGGGGGGTGGGGCAGCTGGGGGGAGAGAGAGGTGGGGGTTGGGGGTGGGGGCAGCTGGGGGGGAGAGAGAGGTGGGGGTTGGGGGTGGGGCAGCTGGGGGGAGAGAGAGGTGGGGGTTGGGGGGTGGGGGCAGCTGGGGGGAGAGAGAGGTGGGGGTTGGGGGTGGGGGCAGCTGGGGGGAGAGAGAGGTGGGGGTTGGGGGGCGGGGCAGCTGGGGGGAGAGAGAGGTGGGGGTTGGGGGTGGGGGCAGCTGGTGGGGAGAGAGAGGTGGGGGTTGGGGGGTGGGGCAGCTGGGGGGAGAGAGAGGTGGGGGTTGGGGGTGGGGGCAGCTGGGGGGGAGAGAGAGGTGGGGGTTGGGGGTGGGGCAGCTGGGGGGAGAGAGAGGTGGGGGTTGGGGGGTGGGGGCAGCTGGGGAGAGAGAGAGGTGGGGGTTGGGGGTGGGGGCAGCTGGGGGGAGAGAGAGGTGGGGGGTTGGGGGGTGGGGGCAGCTGGGGGGAGAGAGAGGTGGGGGTTGGGGGGTGGGGGCAGCTGGGGGGGAGAGAGATGTGGGGGGTTGGGGGGTGGGGGCAGCTGGGGGGAGAGAGAGGTGGGGGTTGGGGGTGGGGCAGCTGGGGGAGAGAGAGGTGGGGGGTTGGGGGGTGGGGGCAGCTGGGGGTAGAGAGAGGTGGGGGTTGGGGGGTGGGGGCAGCTGGGGGGGAGAGAGAGGTGGGGGGTGGGGCAGCTGGGGGGAGAGAGAGGTGGGGGGTTGGGGGGTGGGGGCAGCTGTGGGGAGAGAGAGGTGGGGGGTTGGGGGGTGGGGGCAGCTGGGGGGAGAGAGAGGTGGGGGTTGGAGGTGGGGCAGCTGGGGGGAGAGAGAGGTGGGGGGTTGGGGGGTGGGGGCAGCTGGGGGGAGAGAGAGGTGGGGGTTGGGGGCAGCTGGGGGGGAGAGAGAGGTGGGGGTTGGGGGGTGGGGCAGCTGGGGGGAGAGAGAGAGGTGGGGGTTGGGGGGTGGGGGCAGCTGGGGGGAGAGAGAGGTGGGGGGTTGGGGGGTGGGGGCAGCTGGGGGGAGAGAGAGGTGGGGGTTGGGGGTGGGGCAGCTGGGGGAGAGAGAGGTGGGGGGTTGGGGGGTGGGGGCAGCTGGGGGTAGAGAGAGGTGGGGGTTGGGGGGTGGGGGCAGCTGGGGGGAGAGAGAGGTGGGGTTGGGGGTGGGGCAGCTGGGGGGAGAGAGGTGGGGGGTGGGGCAGCTGGGGGGAGAGAGAGGTGGGGGTTGGGGGGTGGGGCAGCTGGGGGGGAGAGAGGTGGGGGTTGGGGGGGTGGGGCAGCTGGGGGGAGAGAGAGGTGGGGGGGGGTTGGGGGCGAGGCGACGGCGTCGCCGTAGTGCCGCTATTATCTGCGCAGTGCGCAATCTGCCAGTGCTAAAACTGTACTTACTTATCTACCAGTTATGTGTTACTTATTTTTTGGGTATTTACTTTTGTTACTTATTTACTGTTTTAAGTTTACTCGTTTCCGGTTAGTTTGTTTTCTTTGTGCACGTTATGTTTTAATGTTAACAGTTGATAGTGGAATGTATTACAGATGTAAACTTCGTATTAATATGATGGAATTAAGCTGCGGTAAGGACGTTAAGTATATGAATGCATGCGGGGTATATGGAGGTGCGGGCTATCTGAAATTTGTTTTACACAAAACGCTATTTTTGCGGGGTATATGCGTCTGCGGGTTATATGCGGGAAAATTCGCTAGTTGATGGATATAGATTCTACTGCCCGTACTGCATAATCAGGATTTAAAACTCATTCCTTTCAAACTAATTTTGTGCTTAGCTTGTTGCCCTTCCCCCGCAACTCCGATTAGCACGGTTGGCTAAGTACGGCGCAAAAGAAGTTCACCGTACGTACCACACAGTCCTTGTGTCCATCCACTTCTGGTTGAGGGTTTCTGGGGTCGTTGTTTGACCATACTTCACCATGGTGGGCAGGGCAGGTTGTTGAAGGTGGGGTGGGGAGCATAGAAACTGGAAGTTAGTACAACAGTTTGTTGCTGCACCTGCCCTCTGCGGGACAGGTAACCCCACGTCTATTAATTACCGTCACGTCGCACTGTACAAAGTCGCGTATCCCACTTGCAAGAGACTGTGTACGTCAGTGAGTCTTCAGCTCTGACATGACGCACAAATGCAAAGTATATGAAGTGGGGGGGGGGAGGGAGGGTGGGGGGCCATCGCCCAAAGCGTCGACTATTAAATATTTTGTCCCATTTTAAGGCTGCGGTGGCCTTGACGAATGTGTTCACTCTGGCGTTAAGCGTGCGCCGCCAACGCAGCAGCGAGGGCAGCATCGGCATCGCCCACCGCACAATTTAGTTTTGAGCGATCGGATGGCGAAATTCGGAGAGCCCCCCCCCGCCTCTCTCTCCCTCCCCTCCCCGTGTTGCTGTTGTTGTTGCTGTGCAGTCCAAGCCAGGGGAGGTGCGCGCTGCGGTGGAGGCGGCAATCTCCGCCGGCTACCGCCACGTGGACGGCGCCTTCGTTTACGGGAACGAGGCGGAGGTCGGGGCCGGCGTCGCCTCCTGCCTCGCCGAGAGGGTCGCGTCGAGGGAGCAGCTCTTCGTCGTCAGCAAGGTGACGGTGTGGCCCACGGGCAGGGGGCGCGAGCTGAGCCGAGACCATTTGGTTTCACGGCAGAGAGAAGCGGAGCCTGCCCATGTCACCGCATGTGTGTTTGTGTGTGCGTGTGCCTGGGTATTTTGTACCATCGGACACTCCACGCCCACAACTCCCAATCGGTGATGGGGCAGTTGTGGAGAGAGTGGAGAGTTTCCCATACCTGGGCAGTGTGCTTATGACCGGCTCCAGTTTAACAGCAGAGGTCTCACTCCGAATCAGTCGAGCGGCAATATCTTTTCATCGGTTGCGTAACGCTGTGTGGAAGCTACCTGGTCTGTCGCTCCGCACTAAGCTTCAGGTCTTCTCGGCCACGGTCATTCCCTCCCTTCTCTACGCTTGCAAAACGTGGACCCCCCTAATGGAACATCTTCGCCGGTTAGAAACATTTAGGCTGGCCTGCCTACGATCCATCCTGGATTTAACCAGACCGGATTGTGTGAGGTCCCATCGGTGAGCTCCTCCGGCGGGCAAGGCTGCGATGGCTGGGTCATGTAGCCCGCATGCCCAGCCACCGCATGCCGAAACAGCTTTTGTTCGGCCGGATTGAGGAGGCTAAACGGGCGCGGCATGGGCTAGAGAAGTGATGGAGTGATGTGGTACAGGAGGACGTGGAGCGAACTCGGGTCATCACCAGTGACGAAGGTCGACTCAGCCTTAAATGATTACCTGATGCGATGCGTAAACATCACCACTGGGGAGACAAAGGCGGCCGGGCGTGGTGCTGGCCACCCACACCTTCGTGTGCCGTGCCGGCCTTCATAGGTGCTAGCTAACAGCACTTGCCCCTACAGTCTGTTAAGGCTGTACGGGGGATCTTTGTTTTCATTTGGTGGGGTGGAGCGGTTGCCTGGTGGTTCACGCACTGCGCTACAAACCTGGTTGCCTGCATTCTAATCCCGGCCATGGCTAACATCGGTGGCGATTATCTGAACCAGTCCTTGGCCGGCCCTGCGTCGACTCATCCTTAAATGAGCACCCAGTGCGGTGTGTAAACATTGCACTGGGAAGACAAAGGTGGCTGAGTGTAGTGCTGGCAACACCACGCTTCGCTCTCATGCGCCATTCTGCCATTCATAGGTACTACTCGCTAGCAGCACTTGCCCAAATAGCCTGTATGGCCACATGTGAGATCTTAGCCTTTGTGTGTGCGCACGTGTACATGTGTTATGCAGCTCTGGGGCAAGTATCATGCCCCAGCAGACGTGAAGATTGGGTTCATGAAGACCCTGACGGACCTGAAGCTTGACTACCTGGACCTTTTTCTGATGCACTCCCCCATGGCATTTCAGGTGAGCACCTCCCTCTGAGCACCTCTCTCTGTCAGTGTGGTGTGGATCTATTGCGTCTCCTGTGCAGCAGCAGGGTAGAAATCGTTGTCGAGGTGCGGTCGCCTTCGCGACTGTGGAAATGATGTCTTGTTCTTCATTCGTAAAACGTTGCCTTCTCGAATCTGACCGCATCTCTCTCTCTCTCACTGTCTTCATGAATTAAAAAAAAATGTTTGAATTTCGTTATCTTCGTTGCGTTTTTGTTATTATTGTGACATACATTTTTATAGGTAAAAAAACAACCCAACAGGTGAGCTATTTGTCATTCACTGTGGCTTGCTCCGATACCCAGTAGCTTTCTCGGTATTGAGCCCAATAGTGGTGCTGCTGTGGTATAATGTGTATGTATGTTGAATCTCTTTCACACCGTACGTAGCCAACTGTGCTAATTGCAAGTGCGGGGGGAAGGACAACAAACTAAACACAAAAAGCAGTTTGAAAGAAATTAGTTTTCAGTCGAGATTTAAAAGTGCAAAGCTCCAGTGGTTTCCTAACATCAGAAGAGCGTTCCATGGGAAGGAAGAACATTCCAAATGGTCAGCACGCTGGACACGAGTAATCCAGTAGGCAGCCTGTTCAATTCAATCTCCTGGCACGGAAGTTGAAACAATTGGGGCAAGTTACATGAATCCCCCTGCCTCTGTCCACCCAGCAGTGTAAATGGATACATTGGAGTCAAATTGATTGGTATGTCGTGTGTGGTGGGGTAAAATGTGAGTCCTTCCACCTCTTTCAAGACGTCTGCCCAGCATAGAATAGACCCAAATCGCCTCTAGAGGAGCTTTTGCAGCTCCCTGTGGTGGAGGTCCTTTTGCCAGCAGTGGCTTGAGCAGGAAATTGCAGGGCTGCACCTTTTAACTTTTTACATTAAAAATTATGGCTAAATGAGATTTCTTTTCATAATTATATTGTAAAAAAAATTTTGACCCACACATAAAATTCTTGCGTTCAAAAGTTTGACTGTGTTTGTTATGTCTGACCGCTAAGTTATTGTTCAGTATTAACGCTGTCCTGAGTATTCGTGATGGCTTCTGTACAAAACTCGCTATGGTATTCAGCTGCCCCTGGCTGCCAAATGGGTGATATTTCCCAACCGTTTGATACATGTGTTTCAACGTAGGACCGTGTGATGCTTTACATGTGTGGAGTGGATGTTGCACGTTGGTTTCTGTGTCTGCAGAATGAAGGTGATGACCTCTGGCCAATTAAGGATGGAAAAATTCTGGCAGCAGATGTGGATTATGTGGACACTTGGAAGGTGAGGGTATATTTTCCCCTGCTTTAATTATCTGGACTCTTTACTTAAACTCTAATAACCAGAACAGAAACAGGCCAACATCCCTTGCAGGGCTTTCTTGATATAACCTGTGACGAGGATATGTTTTATATGTATGTTGGTGGATGGGTGCGGGTTAAGGATTGTGACTGGGTCGGCCTTTGCTAGGCTGTCTAGGCCTCATGGTGCCCTCCCTGCTTGCCTGAATGCCACGCAGGTATATGGGTGGAATGGAGGCAATTTCACACTCGAAGCATTGGCAATGCCTTGTAATGATGATTCTGGCCACGTGGTATCAACCTGACTTCCCATTCTTGCAAGCTAAATTTGCCAATGATTGGTTAAGCTAAGCATAGGCAAAGCTGAACGAAGCTGTATTTGCAATATAACTACAATAGAATCCAAAAGTCTTTCATGGCAAATCCCTGCCAGAATCCTGTTCATCTCAATGAAGATTGTAACATGGGAATCACGCATCGAAGAATCGCGATTCCTGCAGGAATTGTGCTGATGGAGTTCTATAGCTCCTTCTTGGTCGAGGCAGGTATGTGATAGTCGGATATGCAACATGTTGCTCTGCCAGAGATGTAGACTCACTGATATTTCGATTATTATTTGGCTGCAATAAATTGCCATGTGACAAGCCACTTCATTGAGCTACAATTTGTGGCCAGGTCGCTTCTGAAAATGAAGCCAATAGCTCAGTGGGCTTTACTTGGTAAAATAAAAATTGTTTAGTTTTATTTGTATTTCTTTTAGTGATTTGCTTACCTTATGTATACTTTGCACTCCTAACGTGCTTTTGTGTTATTTTGTTATTGTAACGTTTTGACCCGCCCCTACTGGACATCTGTGAAACAGAGCTTCATAGCTCATCAGATTCATCCAGTATCAACAAATATTCTGATTCCGATATCACACAATCTAGCAACCTGGCATCACGTCGGCTGTCGACAGCGCATGTGCTGAAGGAGGTGGTCATGGTGTGCGCAGGCAATGGAGGTGCTTGTGAAGGAAGGCCTCGTGAAGTCCATTGGCGTCTCCAACTTCAACATCGCGCAGCTGCAGCGGCTGCTCTCAGTGGCCACGATCAAGCCCGCGGTGAACCAGGTGAGGCTGAGGAGTCGTCAATACAACGCGAGTTACGACTCGCCACGTGATGAGCGGCGTTGCCGCCCCTGAAGTGTAAAACAACGGGGACGTACCGGGAGGGAGAAGAAAATCTCACAATTACAGAAGATGGGAGAACTACGTGTAAATGACAAAATAATTAGGCGGACAACACTTCTCCTTCACATATTCGTCTGTCCACGTGAAAAATACATCCCATCAGCCGCCTGTAAATGCATTGTCTTGATTGGTGTATTATTTACGCAGTTGACAAAAACCCGGACTTTTACTGTCCTGGGAATACGTACAGATTTCCCAGCGTAGCCACCTTCACGAAGAGGTTACGATCCTGGGAAAAGCAGGACAGGTGGCAACCCTAGATGGGGGGTGTGACATTTACATTGAGGGACCAACGGACCCTTCATTGCTTATTGAACATAGGGACCTGAGCCAATGTTCATGTGATATTTTTCTGGACTGGTCCTAGGCTGGCAGAGTCCAATTACGATGATTTCACGTGGCCGCCGATGCAGTGCAACAACAGCTCTGAGTGATGTAGCCATTGAAATGTTTTCTGGAGTCCAGTTACCGGTGGCCACATGAATACAGCATCACGTGGTCATAGCTGGAGCCCCAGAGGTACAAAAGTCAATTGGCTTTTTGAAGTCGTAAAGTGAAGTTGCGAAATCGAGCACAATATTCTGACTTTTTACAATGTAACGCACTGCACCTTTTCTCTCGAGGACAGACCCTTAATATTCTCATTGCTCAATGGGGTCAACGGTTTGTGTTTGAAGACTGCTCTGTTTTGTAATAATTTCCAACTCCCGGTTGAAAGCATTGATGCGTCAGCTCTCTATGTCCGTCTTTCCATCTGCAGCATGGGGCCACAAGGACTCTCATGACTTTAGCATAACGTTCCTCAGCTATGAGCTATTTATCCTTGAGGAGACTGGCCAAATTGTTCAAAGGGTGGCCCCTAAACTTGGAGACACAAATCAAAGCTTGTAAGTACTGTGCTGGTATTTGCAAATAATGCCAACGTGTTTTTCCCTGACAGCTGCCCTTTGGCTTCTGCACCGATCCATCGCTGCTGCCGAAGACAGGCGCACGGTGGAAAGCGTTGCAGAATCCATGCGTACGCGTGCTTTTTCCAAACTCGTGTGCGTTTTATTGCCCGCGCAGGTGGAGCTGCATCCGTATCTGCCGCAGCCGGAACTGATCGAGTTTTGCCAATCGAACAACGTCGTGCTGACAGCGTACAGTCCGTTTGGCTCTCCTGACAGGGAATTGTGAGTGCTGCCCTAATTGGTGTCTCTTAAGCTGCTCACATCTTCGCTTGTTCATTGTCTGGTTTCGAAATTGCAAGAGATCTTTTCCATGTGTAGTGAAACACTCAGAGACACTGGGAGTAGGAGGCACTCCATTTATTATAGCCTTCACAGGGTACAAGGGGTAACTACACTCTCAGTCAGGACAGCTCACAGACTGCCTGACTGAGCAGCCCGTCGGGATTCCACTCCAAGTAACAGCCCCGAACCTTCCCTCGGGGTCTCCTTTTATCCTCCTAGCGTGGCCTTGCTCCGCCCCGGCCACGCCCCCCTTCTAGAACCTACTCGCGGGTTCCCGGGCTTACCTCACGTGCCCCCTCTATCACATTTGCCCTACAACCCTCTCTGCTTATCATGTGACCTGCTGACAGACAGGGCTGCTGCAACTGCAGATCCCCTTCTCTGTCAGCAACCAGCACTATGCTCAATAGTGACTCATTCCATGTCACTACACATGTTTCGGATACTTTTTGCCAGCGTAATATCAGAGTTAGGAGGAGCACACTTAACTTGAATCTCTTTTCGCTGCAGACTTCTTGCCAACGAGGATGACTTTGGTTTTGGGAATGTCTCGAAGTTAATTTGGTTTTGGAAATGTCTAGCTGGAAGAGATTTGAACCGATCCGAGATGAGACCCCTTCAGGGCAGGATGCGAGAGTGGACAGTGAGGTTGAGTCTATGATCAATGAATGTGTGGATCCTAGTGGGCACGAGCATGAAACTAGGGTCGTTGGTAAAGGTGAAAATACTTTTTGTCAAGTGGAGGGAGACGGAATGAGAAACGAAACGGGCTGAGGATCATCCCTTGTGGCACAACGGAGCGGATGGGTTTGTGGGAAGATAACCACTTGCAGAGACATGCAGGCGTAGTAGTACTTTTAAAAGGGAAGAGTGGAATCAGGAGAGAATAGTGTCAGACATGCCTGCAGAGTTGTGCGGGCATTCCAGTAAGATGGAATGATCAGTGGAGTCGAAAGCGACAGGGAGGTCAAGGAGGAGTATGGAGGACAGAGATCCATAGCCATCTTTATCTGGTATCGAGTGCCTTTATGAAGAGATGTATTGGGCAGGTTGAGAGCAACATTCAGAGTCTTTATTTAGACTGGAGGAGGAATCTGATGAGCTATGAAGCTCTTTTTCACACGTCCAGTACGGGCAGGTCGGCAAGTTACAACAGTAAACGATACAACGATAGAAGTGCAAAATAAAGCAAATGGAAAGTTACTAAATATAAATAAGTAATGCATATATTTATTGTATAAGTTCGATTTATCAAAATTGGGCAAGGAAGCAAAATCAACAACAAACACAGTCCCAGACCACACCAAGACAACACACAGTCCCTGATGTAGATTGTCGTACTCTATATAAACATCACAGTTTACTCACCTGCTCTAGCAGCTCGGTTCACAAGGTGTATTTGGATACGAGCAGTGGTCGTGGCTCGTCATCGAGACAGGGCCCTACTCGTAGAAAAAGCACAAATAATGAAACACTCTCAACACATTCAACAGTAACACTGCTGCCTTAAAAGGACAATCTAACCTATAAAAGGCAACATTTCAGGCTGTGGCCTTTCTTCATAGCACGTCAATGCCTTAAAAGTAAAAAAAACGTAGGGCCATTTCCCAAAACGTCGCATCTTATAATGTATATTGTACTCGTTGACGAATGCGAGTTTTTGACTCATTGCAGGGACTCTTTTGCTTACGAACGAGTTAGGTTCCAGATGTCTGTTCGTAAGTCGATTTGTTCACAAGTCCAACTGTACTCCTGTCGATTCCAAACATGTTGTACGGCGTGTACACTCAAGAGGGGGAATGGCCTTGAAAGTTTTATAATCTCCTGTAGATGTAGATACCACCACCGACATCTATTGCGCAGAAGTTGAACTAATGATTCATCGATTGGGTTTGGTTGAACAGGCAACTGGACATATGGACAGGTTTGTTCGCATCTCTTAAAGTTCGTAAGTCGAATGTTCGTAAGTGTAGGAGTCCCTGTATAGAGATTTCAGAGTGCATACACCACCCTCCTTCTCCCACCCCCTTCCTTCCCCTCCTCCTCCTTACTTGCCCTGCTACCATGAGGTTTCATGCCCCACCAATATATTTACGCACCGGCCACCACTGAATGCCAGCCAAGCGTGTGCGTGACCCAGTGTGGGGAATGGGGTGCAGTGTTGTAGCGGTTAGCGCTACGCTGCACTACTAATCTGGCCACCCAGGTTCGATTCCCGTTCACAGCCAACACCAGTGACGATTATCTGAACCGGTCCTGGGCCTCCCCTAGGTCGACTCAGCCTCAAATGAGTACCTCGTGCAATGTGTAAACATCGCCACGAGGGAGACAAAGGGGGTGGTGTTGGCCACCCACCGCCTCGTGTGCCCTCCCAGCCTTCATAGGTGCTCACTAAAAGAAATTGCTTCAACAGTCTGTTAAGGTTATACGGGAGTCATTGTGTGTGTGTGTGTGTCACCGTGTCTGACCAGACACAATAGGGAGCACAGGTGGTGCACCTGCCAGTCATCTCAGTCGGTCAACCTATGGCACCTGGGCCTGTCCCGTGACCTCCTGCCATCGAGCCTTCGACGACAGTTCACGGGGTCTCAGGGGGGCCCTAGCCTGGCATAATCGCCGCGGTGACGTCACCGCCACTTGGTGGTGGACGGTGGTGGTTATTGCTGTGTGGACGTGTGGCGTGCTGCGTGCAGTAAGAATGAGAAGAATGACCCGTGCAACCTCCTGCAGGACCCAGTCGTGGAGGCCATCGGTAGCAAACATGGCAAGACCAGCGCCCAGGTACCCGGCCCACAGAAATACACGCACAAAATGAATAGCCTCGAATCAGATTTAGATCCCAAATTCAAGGCGATTTTTTAAATATATATACTAAAATTGTGGTATTTGCATCGTGAATTTTGAGATGAAGAATCGAAATCTCTCAGAAATATCCCGGCATTGTTTTGCCCTTGTGTCAGAGAACGCGCCGTGGAAAGTGATCGCTTTTGGCAGCAGTTGTAAAAACTTCTAATAGTGCCGCGTGTGTCAGTTACACGGTTGGGAACGCACTCTCCCACAAGCTGCGCCCCTTCGCGCGACAGCCAAACCAGTCTCAAGTGTAGTGGCCTACCTTCACGTCACGTTAAGCGTAGTGAGTTGATGGTCTCAGCTAGGCTACCAATGGCCACGTAGGAAAAAAAAAAACACGTTAAATGAGATGTTTCACAACATTTCAGCTAGTTTCTTTTATCCTCAAGAGCTAGATTACCAGATTCAACGAAACATAGAATTAACCCTTTCCTGTCCTGATGACGTTACAATTACATACGCTTACGCCATGGGAACGGAATCGATTCTGAATGGAATCAGAAGTCAAAGGCCGTGCGTGTGGCTCAGTTTGGCGCCAGCTGTCGTAGAGTGTGGTGGTCGTGTCCCTACAGTTCTCTGCGGTGAGTACAATGTCTTTAAAGACAACGGCGCTACACCTAGTTGTAGTAACTCTGCCCGGCTAGTTATAGGTACTCTGGCTAGTTGTAGTAACTCTGCCTGGCTAGTTATAGTTACTCTGGCTAGTTATAGTTACTCTGGCTAGTTGTAGTTACTCTGGCTAGTTGTAGTTACTCTGTCTGGCTAGTCGTAGTTACTCTGGCTAGTTGTAGTTACTCTGTCTGGCTAGTTATAGTTACTCTGGCTAGTTGTAGTTACTCTGCCTGGCTAGTCGTAGTTACTCTGGCTGGCTAGTTGTAGTTACTCTGGCTAGTTGTAGTTACTCTGCCTGGCTAGTTGTAGTTACTCTGGCTAGGTGTAGTTACTCTGGCTAGTTGTAGTTACTCTGGCTAGTTGTAGTTACTCTGTCTGGCTAGTTGTAGTTACTCTGGCTAGTTGTAGTTACTCTGTCTGGCTAGTTATAGTTACTCTGGCTAGTTGTAGTTACTCTGCCTGGCTAGTCGTAGTTACTCTGGCTGGCTAGTTGTAGCTACTCTGGCTAGTTGTAGTTACTCTGCCTGGCTAGTTGTAGTTACTCTGGCTAGTTGTAGTTACTCTGTCTGGCTAGTTATAGTTACTCTGGCTAGTTGTAGTTACTCTGTCTGGCTAGTTGTAGTTACTCTGGCTGGCTAGTTGTAGTTACTCTGGCTGGCTAGTTGTAGTTACTCTGCCTGGCTAGTTGTATTTACTCTGGCTAGTTGTAGTTACTCTGTCTGGCTAGTTATAGTTACTCTGGCTAGTTGTAGTTACTCTGCCTGGCTAGTCGTAGTTACTCTGGCTGGCTAGTTGTAGTTACTCTGGCTAGTTGTAGTTACTCTGCCTGGCTAGTTGTAGTTACTCTGGCTAGGTGTAGTTACTCTGGCTAGTTGTAGTTACTCTGGCTAGTTGTAGTTACTCTGTCTGGCTAGTTGTAGTTACTCTGGCTAGTTGTAGTTACTCTGTCTGGCTAGTTATAGTTACTCTGGCTAGTTGTAGTTACTCTGCCTGGCTAGTCGTAGTTACTCTGGCTGGCTAGTTGTAGCTACTCTGGCTAGTTGTAGTTACTCTGCCTGGCTAGTTGTAGTTACTCTGGCTAGTTGTAGTTACTCTGTCTGGCTAGTTATAGTTACTCTGGCTAGTTGTAGTTACTCTGTCTGGCTAGTTGTAGTTACTCTGGCTGGCTAGTTGTAGTTACTCTGGCTGGCTAGTTGTAGTTACTCTGCCTGGCTAGTTGTATTTACTCTGGCTAGTTGTAGTTACTCTGGCTGTCTAGTTGTAGTTACTCTGGCTGGCTAGTTATAGTTATTCTGGCTAGTTGTAGTTACTCTGGCTAGTTATAGTTACTCTGGCTAGTTGTAGTTACTCTGGCTGGCTAGTTGTAGTCACTCTGGTTAGTTAGTCACTCTGCCTGGCTAGTTGTAGTTACTCTGGCTAGTTATAGTTACTCTGGCTGGCTAGTTGTAGTTACTCTGGCTAGTTGTAGTTACTCTGCCTGGCTAGTTATAGTTACTCTGGCTAGTTGTAGTTACTCTGGCTGGCTAGTTGTAGTTACTCTGGCTAGTTGTAGTTACTCTGCCTGGCTAGTTGTAGTTACTCTGCCTGGCTAGTTATAGTTACTCTGGCTAGTTATAGTTACTCTGGCTAGTTGTAGTTACTCTGGCTGGCTAGTTGTAGTTACTCTGGCTAGTTGTAGTTACTCTGGGTAGTTGTAGTTACTCTGGCTAGTTGTAGTTACTCTGGCTAGTTGTAGTTACTCTGTCTAGTTGTAGTTACTCTGTCTGGCTAGTTGTAGTTACTCTGGCTAGTTGTAGTTACTCTGGCTAGTTGTAGTTACTCTGTCTGGCTAGTCGTAGTTACTCTGGCTAGTTGTAGTTACTCTGTCTGGCTAGTTATAGTTACTCTGGCTAGTTATAGTTACTCTGGCTAGTTGTAGTTACTCTGGCTAGTTGTAGTTACTCTGTCTGGCTAGTCGTAGTTACTCTGGCTAGTTGTAGTTACTCTGTCTGGCTAGTTATAGTTACTCTGACTAGTTGTAGTTACTCTGCCTGGCTAGTCGTAGTTACTCTGGCTGGCTAGTTGTAGTTACTCTGGCTAGTTGTAGTTACTCTGCCTGGCTAGTTGTAGTTACTCTGGCTAGGTGTAGTTACTCTGGCTAGTTGTAGTTACTCTGGCTAGTTGTAGTTACTCTGTCTGGCTAGTTGTAGTTACTCTGGCTAGTTGTAGTTACTCTGTCTGGCTAGTTATAGTTACTCTGGCTAGTTGTAGTTACTCTGCCTGGCTAGTCGTAGTTACTCTGGCTGGCTAGTTGTAGCTACTCTGGCTAGTTGTAGTTACTCTGCCTGGCTAGTTGTAGTTACTCTGGCTAGTTGTAGTTACTCTGTCTGGCTAGTTATAGTTACTCTGGCTAGTTGTAGTTACTCTGTCTGGCTAGTTGTAGTTACTCTGGCTGGCTAGTTGTAGTTACTCTGGCTGGCTAGTTGTAGTTACTCTGCCTGGCTAGTTGTATTTACTCTGGCTAGTTGTAGTTACTCTGGCTGTCTAGTTGTAGTTACTCTGGCTGGCTAGTTATAGTTATTATGGCTAGTTGTAGTTACTCTGGCTAGTTATAGTTACTCTGGCTAGTTGTAGTTACTCTGGCTGGCTAGTTGTAGTCACTCTGGTTAGTTAGTCACTCTGCCTGGCTAGTTGTAGTTACTCTGGCTAGTTATAGTTACTCTGGCTGGCTAGTTGTAGTTACTCTGGCTAGTTGTAGTTACTCTGCCTGGCTAGTTATAGTTACTCTGGCTAGTTGTAGTTACTCTGGCTGGCTAGTTGTAGTTACTCTGGCTAGTTGTAGTTACTCTGCCTGGCTAGTTGTAGTTACTCTGCCTGGCTAGTTATAGTTACTCTGGCTAGTTATAGTTACTCTGGCTAGTTGTAGTTACTCTGGCTGGCTAGTTGTAGTTACTCTGGCTAGTTGTAGTTACTCTGGGTAGTTGTAGTTACTCTGGCTAGTTGTAGTTACTCTGTCTAGTTGTAGTTACTCTGTCTGGCTAGTTGTAGTTACTCTGGCTAGTTGTAGTTACTCTGGCTAGTTGTAGTTACTCTGCCTGGCTAGTTGTAGTTACTCTGCCTGGCTAGGTGTAGTTACTCTGGCTAGTTGTAGTTACTCTGCCTGGCTAGTTGTAGTTATTCTGGCTAGTTGTAGTTACTCTGGCTAGTTGTAGTTACTCTGGCTAGTTGTAGTCATTCTGGCTAGTTATCGTTACTCTGGATACTAATTATTGTTCTTTCTCTTTCAGGTTCTGCTTCGTTACCACACTCAAAGAAACATCGTGGTGATCCCAAAGAGTATCACTCCATCGCGGATTGTGCAGAATGCCCAGGTGGGTTGACACCCTGGGTATGCACCCCCCACCATCTGTGATGGGATAACCCTCATTAAATACCCTTTACAAGCAACATAATCAGAAACAAGGTCCACAATATCCACATATACCCCTGTTCCAATTGAATCACGAGACCCAAACAGGCCCAATATACCATCGTGACGAATACTGTTCAAGCCACCACATCTCAACAATTCTTAAACGCATGCGCTGTTGCAACCTATAAAACTATTAACTTTATTTATTTTACTAGGCAAGGCCCCACTGAGCTATATAGCTCTTTTTCAGAAGTGATCCGGCAACAATTGAAAGCTCAACGAAGCTGGCTTATCACGTGGACATTTAGAGCAGCCAAATACTCTACATGAGGAGGAAAAAGACGGAAGACCCGGAGAAAAATCCACACGACCACGGGGAGAGAGACACGCAGACTCCAAATATACAGCAGCAGTCATCAGGGTCGGGATCAAACCCACAACCTCCTCTTGTATACCAGGCGAGGGAGACAACATCTCCTAGACACCGTGGCGCCCCATGAAGGGCCTCTTTTACAGTATGCTGCCATCTGTATTTATCTTTTATCAATTTTACCGACCTCTGCGTGCCCACCTGAGGGACTGTCCCTGTAACCTTCCCTCCATCTTCTGCACCTGACCCACCAATCACAACCTCCTCTTACCGATCACATTCTACAATGCATTCCTACCACATTCCATCTGCCTAACTTTAAAGTTATATTTCTCTCTCACCGTGAAATTATTTTCATCCTCTGCACGCAAAGGGAGCCTGAATTTTTTTTTCCCCACCGGTGAAAACTCTCATGTCATGCCACTCCACTTGCGAGCGTAGTTTGGCACCGATTGGCTGGGAGGAGTGGGCTGAACCCTATATCTGCTCCGCAAATAGTAGCCAATCAATGCATAACCGCTACACTACCTCTCCCCACAAAAGACAATGATCCCCCATATAGCCTTAACAGACTGTAGGGGCAAGTGCTGTTAGCGAGCACCTATGAAGGCCGGAACGGTACACGAGGGGGTGGGTGGCCAGCACCACACCCTACCGCCTTTGTCTCCATAGTGGCAATGTTTACACAACGCACAAGGTACTCATTTGAGGCTGAGTCGACCTAGGGGAGGCCCGGGACCGGTTCAGATAATCGTCACTGGTGTTGGCCGTGAGCGGGAATCGAACCCGGGTCGCCAGGTTCATAGCGCAGTGCGCTAACCGCTACACTATCGCTCCCCACACCACAAAAGACACATACACACAGACACACACACACACACACGAGTTCGCGTCACTGGAGGTGGCCTAAGATAAACTCTCACCATTCGTGTGTACGGAAAGAGATTTGAAACAACGAGGTGACCGGGCAGCTCAGCGATATAGAGGTCAGAGCGCTGAGCTGGCACTGCTCAGGTGTATGGATGCATCCTGTATGTTGAACTTCTTTCACACCGTACATAGCCAACCATGCCATGATCCTTGGTTTGAATCCATGTTTCAGTGACCTATACTCTTTGGTTCTATTGGGTAAAGTCACGTAGGTGAAAATTAAATAACAAAAAATCACGACGTTTCGGCCACAACACAAGCGGCCTTCATCAGGTGAAGGGACGAGACTGTCTGGAGGACAGCGTGACTTTACCCAATAGAACCAAAGAGTATGGATCCTAGCAGTCACGAAAGCTTTAAATCTTTCAGTCACCTGTGATGTATCGTGAATTGATGGTCACAGCCCAGCCACCATTGGCTGCATGAAAGTGTAATGACAGGGTGACACCTGCTGGTAGGCTAATCACGGGCATGGGCATGGTTATGTAACAACTCATCAGAAGGGAGGCGTATCTGGGTTAAAGGTGGGGTTAGTCGGGAAGCTTCGGGAACCTGCTGGAAGGTTCTGGAAGGGGGCGTGGCCAGAGGCGGAGCCCGGCCGTGCCTGGAGGGATACAAGGGGGAGCGGACCCTAGTGTCGGGGTTGTTACGATGGGGTCCCGGGTCCTGACTGCGTCGCTGCTCGCCGTCATCTCTCTCCGTCGTCCGGCCGCAAGGAAGTTCTTCTGCACGGCTCCCAGCGCCGTCATCGTCACACCAGCCATCCAGCGATGGGATTGTGTAGGAGGTCGGCTGTGTGTAGCTCAATAGAGATGTACTGTATATATATGACCCAGTGTTGTGCCCAGATGAGGAGACGTTTATATATCGGCCTGTGTTGTGCCCAGTGTGAGAAATAAATAAGAATAAGCCCTCTACACGACGTGTCTCGGAAGTCGCTCCATTACAAAACAAACAAAAAAAGCCACCAAATTAAATTTGGCTCGGCACATAATTTGGCAAAATTCTACATCTGAGAATTAAAATACCGTTTTTTGACTGCCATGCGACGAGCATTATGCGTGTATGTGGAACTTCTTTCACACCGTGCGTAGCCAACCGTGCTAATCGGAGGTGTGATTAGCACCTCCGATTAGTTACTCTCAATGGCAGAGTGGGTGAGGACCTCTCGCCTCCTACTTTGTTTCCCAGACATCACTGGAAACGACCTCAGAGATCGCTCTGTGATGTCCGCTTCCGTGGGTCATTCTCTAATATGATGGGTGGCAATGGTGTGCGAGAGATCCGATTGGATACTTGGTCTAACCACATGACTCCGATAGCGCAGTCGGGATGAACTGTGGGAATAAGATTTGAAGAGAAAAAAATAGATTGGAACGAGAATGGAGGCTCCTTGGCTATAGCACACGTAAATTGAAAATGTACGTCTTGAGAACTGATTTTTGTGTTTCGTTTGTTGTCCTTCCCCCATACCTCCGGTTAGCACGGTTGGCTACGTACAGTGCTAAAGAAGTTCAACATACATCCTCCACAGGGTCCAGGCGTCTTCGATCGGGGACCATCTAGCGTGAAGCCATTACAAAGAGGAGTAAATTGTTTAGCCCAATGCAATAATACTGCCTTGCTTTTAGATTAACATCTTGTGAATATATTTTTTTTATGTCTGAACTTGCTCACCATCAGCTGTGGTTAATCCACTGCTGGACGAATGCCTCCTCAAGCCATCACCATATTTCATGGCTCTGCAATGGAACAAGCCGCTTAGCACCCGCACATGTGCTGACTTCATCGGCCCCATCTCCTGGGTGGATGTCCTTTCAGACTCGCTCAATGGTTTTAATTATGACTTAAACCTACACACGTGTTCTCAGATCCACTCCTTCCTCTCTGCCATTGTAATTCCACGCATTGCACCTCTCCATGCTTCATTGCACACTTTCCATTCTTTGCACACTCCACGCGGCCTCCGTTCGTGCCCACGCTGCTGATCGATACGCCACGTAAGGTGGTCCAGAATACTGCAGGTGCTCTACAAAATACGTCCCAAGGACAATCGTACGTTGGAAAGCGTTACAGTACCATGCTTATGCATGATTTTCCACCGTGTATTTATTAACTTGGGGCTGGTTTTATTTTTGGTTCTCTGGAAATGGCTTTATTTTTCTACTTCTATATCTTGCTCTTTGGTTCTTTCGGTAAAGTCACGTAGGTAGAAATAAAATAAATCACGACGTTTCGATCGCAACACAAGCGACCGTCTTCAGGCGGACCCGATACAGCAGGACAACTGAAAGAACTAAAGAGAATGGATTCCTGCAGTGACGAAAGCTTCAAATCAAGATTCTATATCGTGAATCTATTTCTTTCTGACTGACTTTCTGCATCTCTCTTTGTCATCACACGGCAGCTTCTTCTTTCCAGGGGTGCATTTTCACATCTCCTCTGTTTATCGTGGAAAGTTTACCCAGAACAGGTTGGGATACACTGGTGGAGACGTTACCATGCTGGACTCTCAATCCAGATATAACCATGCTGACTGAAACTCTTAGAAGTTAATTGGGAGTTGCCTCTGTCTACCCAGCAATAGATATGCACAGGCTTAAGTCAACGATCGAAGCTCCCACTGCTGTTGCTATCATGCTCAACACAATGAGGGTGCAACCAGAAATCACGCGAGACAGATATTCCTTCCAGCGGCGAAAACCTACGCAACAGTGCGATATCGTAATTTGCATTTTCCATTAAAAACACAACAATGTCCCTTTGTACACAGAGTACGTCTCAAGTTCTGACCCGAATCATGGCTGACCTTCGTATTTCTGCTGCCATCTTGCTTTGTGCTGCAGAGCTTTGGCTTCACGCTGGACGGGGAGGACACGAAGAAGCTGCAAGGCCTGCGGAGGGACTGGCGAGCCTGTGACTGGGACGCTGCCACGTAAGGCAGCGCCTCGACAGCCACCTTTTAAAACCCAAAGCATTCGTGTGCCCCCTTTTTCAGCCAGGACGGTGGTGGCGGCGCCAGTCAGTAATCCAGCACTGTGGGGGGAGTGAGGGTTGATGGATCACACGCGCGTTTTCTTCTTCTTTCGTGTGGATTAATAGCAGCAGATTAAAGATGTCATTTTGGATGTTCTTATCCACTCAATTGCCTGTTCAGACGCAGAGTGGATCTCTTCCGTTCCTCCTTGAAAGGAGTGAAGACGGCAGCAGTGGCAAAGTGTTTACACGATGAGGTCGATGGTTTGGGATTCGTGGCCTCACACTCGCACGCCACCGAATCTTTGATGCGCAATTTGTGCACCATCAAGTGGCCCGGTCCTGATTCGGTTGATGGTCGACCATTGGCAGCGTGGAAGGTTGAAACCGTGAGCATCGATGGTAGGGTCACTGTATGTGATGTTTATTTTTGACGTCGGCCGTAGTCTAGACTTGCTTCCAAATGTTGTTAAAACGCCCTTCCCATGGAAGTCGAGGAGGCGCCATACTCTGGCTTTCCAGCTAGAAACTCGCCAGCAAATTTGGACTCCACCTGTTCCATCTGTAAGAGACGGTGTGCTGCACTTGCACCCGTGGTTTGTCTCCGGATTCCTTCCATATGTAAACACCCATTAATTGATCGATAAAGCTTTCATATATAGAGGACCGCAGATCTTGGGGTGGGGGGGAATTTGCCACCTGCTTACCACGTGGCTGCTGGTACCTTCACACTCGTCTGTGGTTACTCCTCGTACCTCCGAGTTGTTCTGTCTTCGAGAGAATACAGTGCACGGTACAACTCTGAAATAATTATGAATTATTCGTATTATTATTATTCTACCAGCCCATCTGACTGGTGCCAGTGACAAGAGATTTGATCAAATTTGATCCCAAGATTACTGAGAAAATCTTGCCCTCCTTTGATTGTCAGGCCTCAGAACTTGACTCTTTTGTTACTTTCACTCAAACGATACCACAATTGTGTGGTCAATGACAGTATACGGAATCCGAGTAATTGGACATAACTCGAATATTAGAGGTGTGGAAGATGCGTGAAAGTTGTGTTTATTATGAAGTGACTTTAGAATAAAATTGCGGTATACATAACATCAACATTATGTAATATTATTCATACATTCTACTGTGGTACAATAGTCACCCACAAGTGTCAAATTAGGTAATACATATGGACTGTTTGTTTGCAGCATACTGGTGTTATGAGACTAATGTTATTGTGCAAATTTGAATATTGTTTACACTGAACTCACTCACATTACATGTGCTTATGCCCATGTTGTACACAACCACGTAAGTTATGCAAACTATGTTGGCATGTAATAGCTGTAGAGTAAGTTGAGGAATACATCGCTTTACCGTGTGTCCGTTTCGGTCATTTTTACACAACTAGCTCACATTTTTTAAAGCCCCAAAACGTTTCACATCGCCAGAATTTAATTTTATTCTGCCCCAAGCAATCCCTCGGGACGTTTTCCCCACCATACAATGTGTTAACTCTTTCTTATGTTGCGAGGTTTTTTTTTAGACCGCAATGCGCCCTTCCCTACTGTGGTGGCATTATCTCGCTCAACGGTTAGACGTCATTTGCACAGAGACGCGGCCATGGCTCCTCGCACCCCGTGCCTCTCCCGAACTACGTCTCTGCCTCTCTCACTCCACGGATCTCTTGCCTCTCGCTCGACAAATCTCCACGCCACGTCCATCTCCGTGGGCCGGCCTTTCACCAGCACCACGTCCCTCTGGCCGTGGCATTAGCGAGCGCTGCGTCGCTGCGACTGAGGTGGAGGCGGGTGCAGTGGGGAACGAGAGGAGCAGGGAATAATTTACATTCACGTCATTCTCATCGTGCAAGGCTATCACCAAGGTGCTATGTTTCACAGCCATAGTCTGCAGCAGTTTCATTAGAGGGGCTCACTTTAGTTGCGTGTATAATCAGTTGATTAACCTTTAAAAAAAATGTGACAAATTTGGACCGTGACGTCAGCATACGCATTTCAAATGACATCAGGGGATCTTGAACGCCGCCCACTGTGAAGCAGACTGCATATTTTGCGGTTAATACACCTGCAGTATTAACCGGAGGTTCTGTCAAGTTGGAACTGCGAATCTCTGGAACAAACGGTGATGGGTTGTGTCACAACCCCCAATGCAACGTGGGAGATGTGTTGAGTGGGGGGAGCTAAACTCCTAAACTATTTTTGATTTAAAGCTTTCGTGACTGCAGGGATTCATATTCTTGGTTCTTTCGGTAAACTCACGAAGGGAAACAATAAAATAATAAAAATATAAAAGAATACAATTCTCACGTTTCGACTGCAACACAAGCAATCATCATCAGGTGTGAAAACCACAGCAAAAAAATTGAAAAAAGTGGCGGTTTTCACACCTGATGATGATTGCTTGTGTTGCAGTCGAAACGCTGTGAGAATTTTATTGTTTTATATTTTTATTATTTTATAAATTATTTTTATTTTACCAGGCAACACTCACTGAGCTATATCTCTTTTTTCAGAAGCGACCTGGCCACAAATAATAGCTGAACGAAATGGCTTATCATGTGGAAATTTATAGCAGCCAAATAATTTAAACGAATGTTGATTATAAATGTGTCCGCTCGACAACGGGGAGAACACGCAAACTCCAAATATACAGCAGGCGTCATGGTTGGGATTGAACCCACAACCTCCTACATACCAGGCGAAGTGAAGAGGGGCACATCGTTTGAGACGTGGATTGAGAAGCCGGAGATATACGTGTTCAGAAAATTGGGCCTAAAATCCTAATATTATATCCCAAAAAATTTTAATTTGAAATTTATCCAGAATAAACACCTGAGGGGGTGGGTGGGGGGGCTGAAACACCGCGACCGTGTAAACTGAACGTTTCGGAGGAAGCTTTGTTGTTAGGCTGTCGTTAGGTTCAAGCCAATGCTAAATCGCCGAGAGGGAATTGCCACGTTTCAAAAGACGTCATTTTGTCCTTGCCGTAGCTAACGAGACAGATAACACGGAACATGGCGTGACCTTCCTTGTAATCAATTTTTGACAGACATGAGGAGTCACATGGAAACTGCTTGTCTGTGATTTTGCTTGTCTGCCATTGAGGTCCCCCCGTGCCCCGCTCCACCGATAGGATGTTCAGAGTGTTCAATGAACACACTAGAAACCTGATGTGAAGATCAAGCGCAGCTGTCCTTATATCTGAAGTAGTGTGCTTATATTAGAAGTTGCCCTTTGCCTTCCCACCGACCTGTGTAAATGCAAGGATCTGTTGCTTATATCACAACAAACACAAAAGTGACTGATATCTTTAATCAACCAGCTGAAACAATATATCGTATCTTTACATGTTATGCATATTTTATATTTAAATAATTTAAGCAACAGTGGCGTAAAGTATCGTAAAAATTACGTACACAGAGATAATTGATGCATACATCGATACGCTTTGTGTATTTGTTATCAGCGAGAAAGTATGGTTGCTTAAGAAAAATCTAATTTACCTGGTAAAATAAAAAAGTGTATTTTTCTCGTTTATATAAGCTTGAGGCGATATAATTCATGAAGCTGCCGCGGTAGAATGGTAATCACAGTGCAGTGCCATCCAGAGGTCGCCGGTTCAATCTCCCAGCTCCCGCTGTTTAAATCATCAGCAAGTTTCTTAAATCGCCCACCCCCCCCCCACCACAACGCTGTCCACCCACGATTTTAATTGGATACGCCACAATTTACATAACCATTGAGTAATCTTCCACTTTAAATAGTGTTATTATTTGACAGTGCAGCATGTACATCTTTAGGTGTGCAATTGCCCGAATTGCCTAACATTGCATATACTATTCATTTTCTTGCATATACTGCCACAATTGATGAGCAGATACTAGAAAAATCATCAAGCACCTGGCGCTGATTTGTTATCTGTCGTGTTGATGCAAGGCGCTCTCGCGGTGCTGCTATAACTGTTTGCTTACTATTATTTGCTCACTATTAGTTGCTCACTCTAAATGTGAGTGGCTGGGGTGTTCAGACCTGTTAATTAAAATTACTTCTCAAATGTAGCGAGTTGATCAGTCTCAGCGCAGTCGCCGATTACTCTGCAGACACAAGCAAACCCATTACATAAAATGTGGTTCAGCACTTAATACATTCCAGCTCTGTGTACAGTATGAAGCATACATCGTTGTGACTGTTATGCGACGGGCATTGCTAGTCAACACGCAGGCTTTCGTGACCAATATCGTCCATAATACAGGGGTTTTTTTGGGGGTTAGATCAAGCCAAATCTGGCTATCGCCTGATGATGCTAGTTGTAATTACTGGCGAAGCCTCGTTCTCAGCTTGTAAATGTCGTGGATTTGCTCTCCAACACACCGGTGTGCTGTACTAGTAACGGATTGGCACGCTCTGTTTTCGTGACAAACCTTACTAATTGGCTGTCGGGTGGTGGCGGGTTTAACGACACATTAATATTTACGCGATCTAACCCAAAAAAACCTGGATTATGGGAGCATTGCTACTCTTGGCGGCAGACCGAGTGGTCAAGTGCTGCCCCCTTCTGCGTGTAGACCAGAGGTTACATGAAGCGATCTCGGCGGGAGCTCTGTGGTATTCCCCTCCCCATGGACCGTTCTGTGACACCGGTCGAGTATTGCGCTGCAAGAGATCTGAATCGACGCTTCCGTCTCGCGGCACTACGCGGATGGGATGAAATTGTGGGAAAAGTCGAGCAAAATAAACAAAACGTACTCCTATTGTAAACACCAAAGTCAGAACTGCGATGCTATATCCATCTATGTATGGATATATGTTGAACGTCTTTCGCACCGTACGTTGCCAACCGTGCTCATCGGGGGTGCGGGGGAAAGATAACAAACTAAACACAACAACAATCAGTTCTAAAGAAATTAGTTTTCAATCTAGATCTTTGCATTGCCTTACAAATCTGCCGAACGTCCTGATGCCATTACACTATATTGTCCCAACCCTGCAAGCTGCCCCCAGCTCTGTGAAGGGATCATTGATCTGCCGCACAAAAAATGCTCTTCCACCCCGGCAGCTCGCCTTCACGTGGGGTGGGGATTAAAATCGGGTGGGAATGCCTTCGTGTGAAAATGTCCGTGCTTCGTGGTCATTGCCTCCAACATTAGAATCGATTCCTTAGACCAGCGGTGGACAACTGGCGTCTCCCGAGCAGAATGCGGCTCTTTAATCCACCCACACGTGGCTCTATTGAAGGGGCATAACGTGGAACGTACTAGCACAGCAGTGAAGAATGTCCCCCGTGCTGTGCCGAAAACTATCAATATATACACATATATACTTGGCTCTTTGCAGACATCATGGGCACTCTTTAGCACACGGTCTGTTATAGGTTGGCCCACCCCCACGTTACGCTCTCCAACGTGGTCTGCGTGCATTTAGTGATATTTCTCCACTTTGCCGAATGCTGATATGAATCCTCATGCACTAATACTGATACGATGTTTTTTGTGTTTTGTCTTGCAGGACTTCTGTCCACCCCAACTATCCGTTTGACAGTTGAACGAATTCATACGGCAACAGCAAAAAGATGTCTCATTTGTCGTGTCAATATGCTTCGTGTAAAGACTTACATTTACAAAGGAAATAGCATTACAAGGGTAACATAACGTTACATATTCACCCATGAAATAATTTATCTTGTTATAAATTATATAAACACCAACGTAGACAAAATCCTCTTCTGATAATGCTACTGTTTATTTTATTAATCAATTAAAGGTCGAGTCGTTTTGTTACCTAGGGAGGGCCCAGAAGTAGTTGTGATATCACTCGACTGCAGTTAGCCTCTGCTGAGAATCACACTGAGGTCGCTGAGATGATGACAGCATTAGCAACCTTGTTGCACAAATCCCACCTAAATGCGCACATTTGCACGCGTCTGCATATAAGACTACCGTTCGCAAACTGCACACGTTCGCACGCAGAAATATGCTCGCACCTCGAGACACACAGCCGCGCTGACCTGCACGCATGCACCCGCTTATTCGACTGAATGTGCACACACCTCCAGGTACAATTGCATAGGTCGCAGTGGAGCGTTTGCACCTATTGAACTGTGACTTTATGACTTGTGGAGACATTAAAGGGCTGATGGCCTCTTCTGTGTCGGTGCGCGGTTGTGAGTGACATCTGTGAAAGAGGGCTTTATAGCTCATCGGATTCCTCCGTTATACATATTCTGATTCTGAGTAAAAAGTGATCGTTCTAGTATTTCCAGGCGTAAGTTATTACAAGAGGCCCTGAATTAGAACGTGAACAGAGCCACCGAAGAGAAGATATAACCCTGCATAGCTTACACATCTCATGAAACCCATTAAATGCATTTATTAACCTTGACATACAACTGACAGTATTTCCAAAAGCAATTTTTTTAATAGCTGTAGGAATTTTGATTTAAAGCTTTCGTGACTGCAGTAATTCATATTAGTTTTTTCGGTAAAGTCACGTTGAAGAGAAACAACAAAATAACAAAATATATATAAAACGATAAAAAAATTCTCACGACGTTTCGACCATATTTTGTTATTTTGTTGTTTCTCTTCAACGTGACTTTACCGAAAAAACTAAGAAGCTGTAGGAATGTTCGGAATTGGTTTGAACAATTTTTCGCGGATATAATAACTCAACGATTACATGACCATAGCTGCCAATTCAACACCCCATAATTGGCTTCAATTAGTCACTTCGATATTGAGGATTTGGGAAGGGGAGGGGATGGTTAAAAACAAGGTTAAGATGACGCAATTACAATGATACACACGGGCTATAACTGTGCCTGAACCTGGCTTCCTGAGCTTTGCGCCTTAACACTAAACCTGAGAAATTCACCAATGCAGATGTGTCAATTTAGCTTCGTGAGGGTTCAGCATTAGAGCCGGGTGCACGGCTGTGCAAATCTGCTGCGAAACCGAATCGCTCTCAAAAGTCGCGCAAACTTAACCATCACCTGCAACTGCTTTGTCCACGTCTCTGGGCGAGTAGTTGTGCGGCGAGGTAATGCGTTCAGGATTGTTCCAACCAACCGCAGGGTTGTAAATGTGCGTGCTCAACAAATCACAGCGCGTATCGACACCTGCGTGTGGCTGTGAGCAGTTGCAAATGCTCGCAACCGGTGAGATACGTCCACGTGCGATTCAGTTGCATGCAATCAAGTTGCACAACGGATTGCTCGGTTGTGGAGCTGGTTGGACACGGTTCTGTAAGAAAACTGATTACATTTCTCCCCACAATTGTTTTAGTGTCAAACGTCCATGTACGGAACGATCCAGGTCATCGCAGGCAATATGTACTGATTGCAAACTGGATATTTATTTAGGCAAAAGGCTGCAATAATTGAGAAATGTTAGGTCAAGGACGTGTTAAGGGGCCGTCCATAAATGACGTCACGCACCTGCGGGGGGGGTCAGACATGTGACGATGTGTGACGAGGGGAGGGGGGGTTTGACAAATGTGACGTCACATCAAAATTCGCAACTTTAAATATAAAATTGTTATAACAACACTAATTGTTATAACGCTCCTACAACATCAGAGTGAAGCGCCACATAAAATACGCACTACAATGGCAATAGTTTAAAGCGATTTTAAGCATGTTTTATTTTAAAAATGGAAATATGGTTTTGGTGGGGGGGGGCAGAGCTTTGTGACGTCATATTTGGGGGGGGTCTGACTTTTTGTGACGCCGTGTGACGAGGAGAGGGGGTCAAAAATCGTCCAAAATCGCGTGACGTCATTTATGGACGGCCCCTAAGAGTAGCAATACACCCATAAAGTTAAACAACTGGCAGGCACAGCAGAGCGCGCATCCCTTGGGCAGGAAGTTATTGCAGTTGGCCCCCGGGATCACAAGCGAGGACATAAACAGGTGGACGAAATCAGATTGGAATGTGTTTGGACATTTGAACTGAAAGATAATTTAAGTCTTTAAAAAACACAACATATTTTAAGCGTGCAAAGTGTTGTTATTTATTGCAGTTTAACGGCGATTGTAATAGCCGCTGTGGCGTTATCAGTTACCGCCTCGTGCAAGTCTCGAGAGGGCTCTGTGTGTGCTAATTGTTTACGTAATTATGCAAATGACATGCGCATTGGTATACAAAGTAAAGGCGAAGCCCTGCAATCGCTTGCTCACGCCACTGCTGACGGTGAGTGGCGTGCTCAGAACTAATCGATAGTGGGTAATTGGCCTTCTCTTCCACCCTGGATAGACGCGTTGGAGGTAAGAGTACCCACACTTTACCCCACCACACTCGACCTGACATCAATATACTTGAGTGATTATAGTTTAGCAGATGGTGAATATACCTCAGTGAATATACTTGAAAGTGAACATACAGTCCTTCAGAATGAGAATATTTATGTATACTGGAGGAGTCCGATAAGCTATAAAACAATTTTGATTTAAAGCTTTCGTGACTGCAGTAATTCATATTCTTAGCTCTTTCGGTAAAGTCACGTTGAAGAGAAACAATAAAATATATATAAAACAATAAAAATCCTCACGTTTCGACCATAACGAGTGTATTCACTATTAATCACTCGTCTTATTCTTGGCTCTTTCGGTAAAGGTTACAGAAACATGATAGTCGTGCAAAGTACAAAGGTGAACAAATTACCCAGACACATACAATTAAACCATCTCCATCCTTGCAGGCAAAGCCAACTGAGGTTAATAAAGAATTAAAGCTTTCGTGACTGCATACATTACTCATTGTTTTTTTCGGTAAAGTCACGTATGTAGAAATATAAAATATTAAAATAAATCAATCACGACGTTTCGAGGTTCTTAACAGTTAATGCATTGTACTCGATAGCGAATGTACGTAAAAGTGAAAAAGATTTTGCATTAATGTAGAGTACTTGACAAGGGAATATTAGTCACAATGTACAGTACTTGATTGTGAACAGACGAGTAATTAATAGTGAATACCCTCGTTAAGACCGACACAGGAGGAGCATTACTCCAACAACACTGTTGCCTGATGAAGCTGCTGCTACTGCTGCTGGGAGTTGTACCTCGCGGGCTACTCGAATTGTAAATGTTGTAGTTGTGGGGTTTCGTCTCCAACGTGACGAACCCCTTCACTAATTGTCCGCGGCGACGGCGGTGTTTAAGGACGCCTTTATATTTCACGCGGCTACAGCCCAGCCAAGCGCCCCTCTCTCCTGTGGCGCTCACGCACGGTGCAGTGTACAGTGCTCAAGTGGCGCACACTGTACACCGCGACATGTCGTTTTGCAAGACCCCACCGCGGTGACGTCGTTTGTGGCGCGGCGACGTCACCGCGTCGTCTACGCGGTGACGTCGCAGCGCAATAACGAAGTCTCCCGCGTAATAAACAAAAAAAATGACGTCCCGCGTAAAAGAATGACGTCACCGCGCAAAAAAAACCCGACGTCGCCGCGTGCAAAACGACGTTGCCGCGCAAAATTCGACGTCACCGTGGTGGGCGGGGCCCCGAGAGGTGGGGGGGGGGGTCGGCCCGGGCCATTCACGCGGCGACCTCACGAGGCCGCAGTGGCGGCAGCGTGCGGTGAGTGAAGGGGGGCCACCACCACCACCATCATCATAAAGCCCTAGGGAGGAGCTCCAAGCGAAGCGAAACCGCCGCCCCCCCCCTCCCACCCACCCGCCACCTTCTCCTCATCCCCTTGCGGACATCGCGCGCCGGGGGGTTAAAAGAAAAAGTATCGAAGACGACCAAGTGTGGCGCAACTCGGCACCCTGATCACGAGCGCCTTTGTCTCACCACTCCCCACGAAGGCTCATTGTTGCGTTTCTTCTGTTCGTCACCGCTACCGCCGCCGCCGTCTCTGAGGACTTGGTGCTGCTGCCGCCACCACCACCACCAGTGTGGTACTCTCCTCGCTCGGGTCTTTTTTGTGTGTGTGGACGAGTGTGTCGCTGATTATTACATCGCGCCCAGAGAGAGATAGAGAGAGCGAACACAGAGAGAGAGGGAGAGAGAGACCTCTGGCGACGTTACACACCGATCTCTCTCAACGTTTCGGCTGCTGATCGTGTCGCTGCTGCTGCTGGTGGTTGTTGCTGCTGCTGCGCAGTAGCGATGCAGGCCTCGCTACCGTCGGCCGCGCCGCCTTCTCGCCGCTGAAGCCGCCCTCCTTGGCGCCTCGCTGCGTGCGTGGGGACCCCCCCCCCCCCCCCGCGGGTCGGTGGTCGTGGAGGCCACCAGGGCGCCCGCGGGTCGTCGTGGCAGGAGGAGTGGGCTGCCCCCCTAAGCTGCTCGGGTCGCGACTCCGAATGGCGAACGCCGCTCCAAGTAGAAGCGACTGCGGCAGCGGCACGATGGTGGCGGTGGCGGCACCACCAGCATCACCACCACCAGCATCACCACCAGCATCACCACCAGCATCACCACCAGCATCACCACCACCAGCAGCATCACCAGCATCACCACCACCAGCATCACCACCAGCAGCATCACCACCAGCAGCATCACCACCAGCAGCATCACCACCAGCAGCATCACCACCAGCATCACCACCAGCATCACCACCAGCATCACCATCACCACCAGCATCACCACCACCCCAGGAGATGGAGGATGCGTGCGGAGACTCCTCAACCATCTCCGCTTCCATCACCTCATCCATCTCATCCTCGACCGTCACCTCATCCATCCCATCTTCGACCGTCACCGCATCCATCCCATCTTCGACCATCACCTCATCCATCCCGTTGACCAGCTCATCCATCCCATCGACCATCACCTCATCAATCGCATCCTCGACCATCACCTCATCCATCCCATCGACCATCACCTCATCCATCCCATCGACCATCACCTCATCCATCCCATCGACCATCACCTCATCAATCTCATCCTCGACCATCACCTCATCCATCCCATCGACCATCACCTCATCCATCCCATCGACCATCACCTCATCAATCTCATCCTCGACCATCACCTCATCCATCCCATCGACTATCACCTCATCCATCCCATCGACCATCACCTCATCCATCCCATCGACCATCACCTCATCAATCTCATCCTCGACCATCACCTCATCCATCCCATCGACCATCACCTCATCCATTACAATAACCATATCATCCACATCCATCACCACATCTTCCAGTCCATCATGCATCCCTTCCATTTCCACATCTTCCATCCCATCCTCATCTGTCCCCTCATCCATCACTACTACTGACATTACATCCTCATCCATCACCACCTCATCCATCAACGCCTCTTCAAATCAGTCAAACATCACGTCTGTCCCATCATCCCTGACACCTTACATCCCATCCTCAAATGTCACCTCATCCATCACTTCCTCCGCTATCACCTCATCCATCCCAACAGACATCACCTCATCCATTGCTTTGTCATCCGTCCCGTCGTCTATCTCACCCATCCCGTCCTCATTCACTTCCTCATCCTGTACGTCACCATTCACCACCTCCTCCTCCTCCTCCTACTTCATGACGGAAGACAGCGAGGACCCACTGGCCATGGGCGGTGGTGACGCGCCGCGGGGCGCCGACCCGGCCTGGTGCATGACCAAGAGCGGCCACATCAAGCGTCCCATGAACGCCTTCATGGTGTGGGCGCAGATGGAGCGTCGCAAGATCATGCAGACGGTGCCCGCGGCGCACAACGCCGACATCTCCAAGCTGCTGGGCCAGCGCTGGAAGGAGCTCGGCGCCAACGACAAGGCCCCGTACGTGTGCGAGGCGGAGCGCCTGCGTCGCAAGCACAACGCGGACTACCCCGACTACAAGTACCAGCCGCGCAAGAAGATGCCGACCCTCATGCCTCCGCCGAGGAAGCCCGATAATGGACCTCCGTGCGTCTTCACCATCATCGCCACCGGGCCGCCACAGCCCAGCACCACCGTGGCTGCTGCCACTGCTGCTACCATCACCAGCGTGCAGCATCGGCAGCAGTTGTCTCTGGAACAGGAGGATAAGAAGTTCGACTTGAACCCGGGTGTCCTGAAGATGCCGGTGCCCACTTTCCAATTTTCGATGCAGAATATGTTTAAGGCAAAGGGACAATTCGATGGCAACGTCGCTATGGCCAACCCAACCAAACTTTGGTTCGGTTCACCCACAGAACTTGGGCTCGTCAAGGTCTCTGCCTCCGGCGGGGTGCAACACAAAGTCATTTCGCAGGTACCGACCAGAGCGATGATCCCAGAGATGATCTTCACCGAGGTCCCTACGTTCTCCCGAATTTCAGGCAGATTCCCGGAGACCTCGTGCGTCCGAATGCTGCCACAGAGGGCCCCAATTGAGCGCCAGCATGTAGTATATCTCCCAGATTTCACGCTATCTCACGGCATTTCTGGGAAAATAATTACCAAGGTTGCTTCGGCCACCCTCGACTTCAGCGGCCAAAAGAGGCCTTCCACCACCGTAATGATGCAGGGCCCCGCGTACCCCACGGTCTCGACCAGGTCTCTGGAAGCCCTTCTTCCTGGCCAACAGCAGCAGCATGAGGATGATGTTGATGTCACGGGGCCAGGTCACCCAGCCCTGTCTCCCACCGAGACACCGGTGCCGCCGCGGTCCGCATCCCCCTCGTGCCTGTCCTTCTGCTCGTCGTCGTCGGGCGACGAGTTGTACATTGACATCCCGGACGAGGAGGAAGAGGAGGAGATGGAGGAAGTAGAAGTGAACAGCGGCGGCGACAGCGCCGGCGAAGCGCCCGCCAAGGAGGAGGACGTCGACGATGCCCCACGCCAGGCGACGCCGCGGGGTTTCTCGTCCCTGGAAGAGCAGCCGGGCGGCTTCCCCGGCACCGCCGACTTTTACAGCTCCTCCTCGCCTCCCTCCATTAAGGTGGAGTTCCCGGACAAATCCGCGAAGGAGGGGGGGAGCCCCCCAGAAGGCCACCGGCTGCGCGTCCACAATCTCCTGGACGACTGCTTCATGCCGGAGGTGCACGTGAGTTGTGTGGTGCTTGTGTGGTGGCAGTGCCAAGCAGGTTCTTCGGTGCGAAGGATCGTTTGGCACCTCCTGATTAGGCCCCCTGTTTGGCTACGTACGGTGCGAAATAAGTTCTACATATTTCGATTTAAAGCTTTCGTGACTGCAATGATTCATCTTCTTTGGTTCTTTCGGTAAAGTCACGTAGAATGAGAATAAAATAATAAATTGATAAAATAAAATAACACAATAATATTCTCACGACGTTTCGGCCACAACACAAGCGGCCTTCATCAGGTGAAGGGACGAGACTGTCTGGTAGGACAGCGCTCCCTTCACCTGATGAAGGCCGCTTGTGTTGTGGCCGAAACGTCGTGAGAATATTATTGTGTTATTTTATTTTATCAATTTATTATTTTATTCTCATTCTACGTGACTTTACCGAAAGAACCAAAGAAGAAGTTCTACATACTGCACACGCGAAGCTGTGCACTTGCGTGATGTGCACATCCGTTGTCATTTCCATCGCGGTGCAGTGCACATTAACAAGTGCTGTATCTGTGGCCTTCTGATACGGATTAAGTGTTAATTATTTGGGTTGACCAATGCGCCAGATCGTGGAAGCCAAGCAGGGGTAACGCATGTGTATGGGTGATCGCCGTGCCGGAGAGACCAGACAGGTGTTGTATGCGTTGTGTGCAGTAGAGGGCAGAGCAACACAATCCATTGTTACAGTGAGGGAAAAAAAGTATTTGATCCCCTGCTGTTTTTGTACGTTTGCCCACTCACAAAGAAATGATCAGTCTGTAATTTTAATGGTAGGTTTATTTGAACAGTGATAGACAGAACAACAACAAAAATCCAGAAAAACGCATGTCAAAAATGTTATAAATTGATTTGCATTTTAATAAGGGAAATAAGTATTTGACTCCCTCTCAACCAGAGATTTCTGGCTCCCAGGTGTCTTTTATACAGGTAACGAGCTGAGATTAGGAGCACACTCTTAAAGGGAGTGCTCCTAATCTCATCTTGTTACCTGTATAAAAGAAACCTGTCCACAGAAGCAATCAATCAGATTCCAAACTCTCCACCATGGCCAAGACCAAAGAGCTCTCCAAGGATGTCAGGGACAACATTGTAGACCTACACAAGGCTGGAATGGGCTACAAGACCATTGCCAAGCAGCTTGGTGAGAAGATGACAACAGTTGGTGCGATTATTCACAAATGGAAGAAACACAAAAGAACTGTCAATCTCCCTCGGCCTGGGGCTCCATGCAAGATCTCACCTCGTGGAGTTGCAATGACCATGAGAACGGTGAGGAATCAGCCCAGAACTACACGGGAGGATCTTGTCAATGATCTCAAGGCAGCTGCGACCATAGTCACCAAGAAAACAATTGGTAACACACTACGCCGTGAAGGACTGAAATCCTGCAGCGCCCGCAAGGTCCCCCTGCTCAAGAAAGCACATATACATGCCCGTCTGAAGTTTGCCAATGAACATCTGAATGATTCAGAGGACAACTGGGTGAAAGTGTTGTGGTCAGATGAGACCAAAATGGAGCTCTTTGGCATCAACTCAACTCGCCGTGTTTGGAGGAGGAAGAATGCTGCCTATGACCCAACAACACCATCCCCACCGTCAAACATGGAGGTGGAAACATGCTTTGGGGGTGTTTTTCTGCTAAGGGGACAGGACAACTAAACCGCATCAAAGGGACGATGGACGGGGCCATGCACCGTCAAATCTTGGGTGAGAACCTCCTTCCCTCAGCCAGGGCATTGGAAATGGGTCGTGGATGGGTATTCCAGCATGACAATGACCCAAAACACACGGCCAAGGCAACAAAGGAGTGGCTCAAGAAGAAGCACATTAAGGTCCTGGAGTGGCCTAACCAGTCTCCAGACCTTAATCCCATAGAAAATCTGTGGAGGGAGCTGAATATTCGAGTTGCTAAACGTCAGCCTCGAAACCTTAATGACTTAGAGAAGATCTGCAAAGAGGAGTGGGACAAAATCCCTCCTGAGATGTGTGCAAACTACAAGAAACGTCTGACCTCTGTGATTGCCAACAAGGGTTTTGCCACCAAGTACTAAGTCATGTTTTGCAGAGGGGTCAAATACTTATATCCCTCATTAAAATGCAAATCAATTTATAATATTTTTGACATGCGTTTTTCTGGATTTTTTTGTTATTCTGTCTCTCACTGTTCAAATAAACCTACCATGCAAATTATAGACTGATAATTTCTTTGTCAGTGGGCAAACGTACAAAATCAGCAGGGGATCAAATACTTTTTTCCCTCACTGTATAGGCTGCCTTCACCAACCTGACCAGAGTGCAAGGGGCGGGGGGATCCGTCATGGGCCGCCACGGTGGCGAGATGTTAACTACTTCCCCCGGTATACAGGAAGTCGTGTGTTCAATGCCGACCCTGATGTTTGTTTTATCTTTGGAGTTTGCGGTGTTTCTTTCCCCGTGGTCACATTGATTTTTCTTTGGTTCGGTTTTCCCTCCAAATTTTGAATCAACATCACGTGTTTAGAGTATTCGGCTGCTTTCCATTTCCACGTGATAAGCCACTTCGTTGAGCTATAATTTGTGGCTGGGTCGCTTCTGAAAAAGAGCTGTGTAGCTCAGTGGGCCTTGCCTGGTAAAATGAAAAAAAATAGTTTAGTAATCTAGCAATCTAGCAGATTATTGACAAACGTGGTGTCCATGTACTGTGCGTGTGTGCAACAGGACCGTTCATACGCAAAGATTTGCACCTGTTATTTTGACTTGACACGTAGAATTATGGAGTGGTGTAAAGGTACATATGTGGACCTTGCGTGTGTATAAGAGAGATGAGAGGTGTTAGGGGGGAGAGAGCTCGATGGGTGATGGACTCCGAAGTAAGGGTCAGGAGGGAGGTGCCGGCATGGGCTCGTGGTGCAGACGTTTAATGAGAATGGACTTGTCAATCGAGGTGACTTCAGTTTTGGGCCACGTACTTGAAATGGAGAAACGCTACCGACACCACACGAGAATGGACAGTGAAGTCAGTTGTTTTTGGGGTCAATGGCAATGTTGGAGCTGGGCGTCATCGGCACAAACGTTCGCGGTCTGTTTCAGCTATAAATAATTTCGTTAGATGTAAGGAGTTTAACACGTAGTCGGAGGATTTCGCGACCAATGTTATTCATAAGAGGTTGTTTTTGGGTTAGATCGCGTAAATATTAATGTGTTGTTAGATCCGCCACCACCCGACACAGCCAATTAGTAAGATTTGTCACGTGAACAAAACGTGGTAATTACTACTTCAGCACGCCGGTTTGTTTGAGAGTAAACCAACAACATTTACAGTTTGAGTGCCGTGGCATTTCTCTGGTGATTACAACCGCCTTCATCAGGCGGTTTGCCAGAATTGTCTAGCGGTCTATCTTGTTCCGGCCTTAAATAAAGCAAATGTGATGGCATTTGGAAGGAGATGGAATGTAAATATCGGAACTGGTTATCGGTGAAGCACGGAGTTGATTTTGTCAGGGCTGAGGTGATAGATTGCCAACGTTCCAGCCTTGTGGCACACTGGAGCATAGGGGTTTCCTGGAGAGGAAATATCAGTTGTACGTAGGAATATTGAACTTCTTCCGCGCCGTACGTAGCCAACATTGCTAATAGAAACGTTGATGGAGAGCAGTTTGACCGAGAGGACGTGTGTTGGAGATACCTACATAGTTATGCAGACGTTCGAAAAGAATGGCATGTGGTTAATGGTGTCAATCAGGAGTCGGGGTGTACAGGAGTGACAGCATCGATGATCGTAGGGGAACAAGTGATTGACCAGCCTCGTTGACATCAATCTGTCTCGAACCAGTTGGGCACCAGAAAGCCATTCCTGATTGGACTAACCTCCAAAAAATAGGAAGCAAATAGTTGACACTGGGCAGCTGACGGTGAAGCAGAGAGAAAGCCAGGTTCTTGGAACTTTGGAGGGAGTTTACATCTATTCGTTGTACTAGCAGGTTCACATACCTGTTTAGAACCTTAAACTTTATGTACACACTCAATGTTTGATGTGCATTTGCTGGTTTAACAATTCGGTGATACAGTTTGATTACAATGCTCACTGAAAGAAATTATCATTTTCAGCACTGCAAACCGATGCTGGATTTGTGGTCTACCCTTGCTTTTAGGTAATGGGAGTTGTTTGACCATATTTCACCACACTAGGTCGTAATGGTTGGTGTGGTGGCCCCAGAACACATTTTAGATATATCACTTGCAATGTGCTAACCACTGCACCACCACTCCACCCATACTTGATAGACACTCAAACCTTCCATGCAGTGGCTTGTAAAGGCATAATTCAGGCAAAACATGCAGTAATTATTTCACAGGAATAGCAGAACTAGTTTATAAGCAGGATGCATGTAGGCATGAGGATCGATTCCAAGTCAAATGATAGACTTGGATCAAAATAATGTCTTTGGGGTTATTTGTCTGGTTTACGTGCGATGTGATGATTGCGGGCGCGTGCTGCGTTGTGTAATTTTTGCCGTGTGGGTTTTGCAGCGGGTGGTGAGCCTGGTGGACGTGAACAGCTTCATCACCTGTTACCTGTGCAAGGGATACCTAGTTGACGCAACCACCATAACCGAATGCCTCCACACCTGTGAGTATCTTTCGTTGAAAGTCTTCCAACTAAGGTTGAAAGCATTATTGCATCGGTTATGTCGTTCTGCTTGTCCGTCGCTATGCAGTGAGGTGTCGGTGTATGTATGTTGAACTTCTTTCGCACTGTATGTAATCGGAGGTGCGGGGGAAGGACTACAAACTGAAGTATTAAAAAAAATGTTTTACCAGGTAAGGCCTACTGAGCTATATGTTTTTTTTTCAGACGTGACCTGGCCACAAATGAGAGCTCAACGAAGTGGCTTATGTGGAAACTTATAGCGGCCAAATACTCTAACATCATGCATCTAAATGTGGAGGGAAAAACTGGTAGACCTGGAGAAAAATGCACTCGACCAGCCGGAGAACATGGAAACTTCAAATATACAGGCATCAGGGTCGGGATCGAACCCACAATCTCCTGGATATCCGGCGAGGTAGTTAACGTCTTGCCACCAACCTAAATACATAAAGCAGAGTTAACGTTCGTGAAGTTATCCAATATAAATAACAATTTAGTGTAAAGTTTTGGTGTTTTAGGGAATTACTTTGTAAGAAACCAGCAAAAGTGATCGAAGGGTTGCCCCAAATATGATAATGAAAATCGGAGATAAATAAGGCTTTTAAACCAAGCTGATGATGTCAGAGGCTTGTACGTGTGATGTCCTCGATGCTTCCAGATGGCTTGCTCGTATCAGAATGATCTCTACCTCATAAAGTAGATAATTAGTATCCCGAAGTTTTGGGTGAGTAATAGACGAAGCAAATGATTTTTGGGATAAATGAGGTGAAGCACACAAGACACGGGGTCAATAGTGTGAATGAGACAGAAGATGAAGGAAACACCGGGCAAATAAAACAAAGGTCAACAAAACATGAAGCGACCTGTGAACCAAAGTACAGAACTGGCATGAAAGAGGAGGCAATAGTGACAATGGTAAAGAGTTGTGATGATGATGGTGATGATGAAGAGTGGCGATGGGTGGTAATGATGTGACGACTCAGAAGAAAGGTCAGGAAAAGTAAGGTACTGTGGGGTTCGTCAAGGACTGATAGTCGAGTGAAGGTTACGGAAACTGTACAGTTATATTCTTGGTTCTTTCGGTAAAGTCACGTAGAAGGGAAACAATAAAATAATACAAATATAAAACAATATTGTTTAAAAAAATATATAAAAAATATTTTTTTTATATTGTTATTATTTTATTGTTTATTGTGACTTTACTGAAAGAACCAAGAATATGAATCCCTGCAGTCACGAAAGCTTTAAATCAAAATTTGTACAGTTTGTTGTTTTATAGCTTAATTTTTGCAAAAGTAACTTTTAAGAAATTCATTTACAGCGTCGTAGTTGTATTGGCAGATAGTTGTGTGAACAGGTGATATTTGCATGTATGTTTATTTTTCCCCATAGGTGCACTATAATGACATTAAGCTCCCAGAGTGTTGTATGTTAAAATGAGCCACCGCCAGGAAGCCAGAACCAGTGGTGATTCATACATTCGTTTCCACATTGCAGCTTTGTTCTTCAATAAATGTCACTTGCGTCTACACCCTCGGAAGACGACATTTTTATAACGTCTATCCAGTGTGTAGTTCTACATGCGTGCCATCGCACGATATGTCTGCGATCTAGTGGAAAGGCCGGCTCCATGGGCATTGCTTGCTTCATTGCAATATTTGCCAAAATTGCACTGATCGTGCTACTTGGTGGTTGTGCTGTCCAGCTCTCTGATGTGTTTTCTGGGGTTGTGCTCCGTGTTCACCATGATGTCCGACGTTTCGCTCTACGTGCTGGAAGCTTTTATGGGAACTGACGCTGCCGGCGAGATGTCGGACATCGTGTCGGACTACGCGCGGCACAACCATAAAATACAATGTGGATGGGGGCTGTGCTGACATGATCATTGAAAGTCTCTACTTTTTGAAATCTAATTGCAAGGTTTTAATTAATTTATTAAAATTTTAAACTGTTGCTTGTAACATTGGCCGACACTGACTTGGTTGCATACTCACTTTAGCACCTCGACTGTATTTCATCCTACTACTAAAGTAGATATTCATCCCATGAAATGTATTTTATGTTGAATATTCTTTGGTTCTTTCGGTAAAGTCACGTAGATAGAAAAATAATAAAAAAAGTGAATACAAATTATAAAAATCAAACAAAAACCACGACGTTTCGATCACAACACAAGCAACCGTCGCCCTCCTCCTGAAGACGATGTGTTTTTTGTTTAAATTTATTTTATTATTTTTATTCACTTTATTTTTTCTATCTACGTGACTTTACCGAAAGAACCAAAGAATATGAATTCCCGCAGTCACGAAAGTTTTAAGTCAAAATTTATGTTGAATGTGAATTCCCGCAGTCATGAAAGTTTTAAGTCAAAATTTATGTTGAATGTTTTTGGTACCAGTTTATAACAAGGCTACGTTAAAACAATAACTTGAGTATTTTTTGCCCGTTCTAATTAATACAAATTCTGTGTTTTTATGTACTTTACAAAATAATAGTTTGCAAGAGCTGCATCGTGAAGCATTTTGACTACAGCAATAGGTGCCCGCAGTGCAACGTGGTGGTGCATCAGACTCAGCCACTCTACAACATCAGGTGTGTATCTGGGGCGCCACGTTGGCTCGGAGATGTTAACTACCTCGATTGGTACACAGGAGGTCGTGGGTTCGATCGTGAACCTAACTGCTGTATATTTGCAGTCTTGTGTGACTATCCCTGTGGTCGTGTGGATTTTTCTCCCGGTCCTCCGGGTTTTGCCCTCCACATTTAGAAACGTGTGCGTAGTTGGACGTCTTTGTGCTACGAACACTTCCTTAAAATACACATTAAGACGGGCAATATCAATGTGAACACATGGAAGGATATTTTGTGCCAACAGTAAGCGGTGGGAGAAGTGCTTTAGCCGACTCGTTCAAGAGGTTTGAAGAAAAAAACGGAAAAAAACCTCTCGGCATCGACACCAGCAACGGCACAACACATCCCATTTGGCAGTCGAGCAACTCCTGCCCACAGTGCAGTCGATGCTTCCGCTCAAGAGCTGGCCTCTCAAGAGCTGGCCTCTCATCTCAACAGCACGCAGGAAAATGCTAGCTGTTCTCCGCAGTCGTCAACGTTCATGATGGACAGCCGGAGAAAGTAGGGTATTTGGCTGCTATAGATTTCCACATGACGTGCCATTTCGTTGAGCTGTCATTTGTGATAGGTCCGTCTCTGAAAAAGAGATTTCTAGCTCAGCGGGCCTTACCTGGTGAAATAAAATATTTTTAGTTTAATTTAATCTGTGCTGCTCAACAGAGTAGGCAATGAGAGGAACCCCCACTCAACACTTATTGGCTGGCCTCTTTTGGGTAATTTGTCAAAGCCTAATAAGATTACATTTCACACGTAAAGTTTAAATGTTATTCAGGCATTTTGGATAACTGTAAGCATTCGTGATACTGCAACGCGTTGTCGTGAGACTATCATCCTTGCGTCATTGTCAATCCGCCAGTTTTCATCCGAGTCCGTTTGGGCAACTTTTATAATCCAGATAACCCATTTCCTGTTGTTGGAGTTATTGTGGATTTTTTTTTCCAACTCACATTCCACCACAATAGAAGCACTGTGGCCCTTCAAGCTTTCACTTTGAGTCATGTTAAGTTTTTGTGAAGCTGCAGATATGAATTTGGATTATGCACACTGCAATGGGCTTATGAGCACTCGCACAACTCTACAGTGCATCTCTTGCGAATAGAAGTACGTCATATGTATGCTTGCTGTATATTATCTCATGTCCTCACCAGCTTTAACCTGTGCCCATTCCCTCTATTTACTTCTTACAACCTTTACCCTTCATATTTTCATTGTACTGTGTATAATTGCAGTACGGTGAGTCCTCGCTGGTTGTTGTTGTTGTTGGCTTGCACCACATTGTGATTTTTTGCACACAGCGTTTTAATAAGTTTTTTTGTGTGGAATACTTGCTGGTTGAATTCCAGGATGTTTCTGTTGCGCGTCGTCGCTTTGGGATGTTCTTTGTTCAAATTTAGTTTGTTGCGGTTGCACCCGACTTAAGAGCCGCATGGCTCACAGGGCTACACCTAATACATGAAAAAATGAAAATGTATGTTGAACTTCTTTTTCACCATACGTAGACAACCGTGCTAATCAGAGGTATGGGGAAAGGACAACAAACTAAACACAAAAATCAGTTAAAAAGAAATGAGTTTTTAATCTAAATTTAAAAGTGCATAGCTCCAGTGGCTTTCTAATATCGGACGGAAGAGCCTTCCAAACGGCTGCAGAAGCACATCTGAAAGCGCGCTATGCAGTGACCGGCTTTGTTCGATGGTTACCCAAAAGCTGCTGCAAGGATGGACCGGAGTTTGCATGATGGTTTATACTCCTTGACGAAATCTGCAAGGTATTGTGGTTCCATTTATGGATAAGCACTTTTTTGCTGCCAGTGCAGTTCAGCGAGCATCGGAGAGACATGGTCAGATCTTGCAGTACCCGTCAAGACACGTGCCAAATATTTTTGTACACGTTGCAGCTTGCAAATGTTTTTGCCAGACGTCCCGTAGAGTGGTGAGTTGCAATAATCGAGCCTTGTCGATACTATGCTGCACGCCACCGTGTTGGCTATGACTCAATAGTGGCCAAATGTGTCGTAGAGCTCTGATATGAAAATTGCAGGACCTGACTATATTTTGCACGTGGTGATCAAACGACATTCTGGTCAAGTATTGTGCGGAAGCTCTAGATGAGTTGAAAACTGAATCCTTGCAGTTTGCAACCGCCACACCTCATCCTCCCACAAATGTTTTTGCCTGAGCCCGAGTGCCGACCAGCAGAACCTCCGATTTTTCCTGGATTGAGCAGCATTCCGTTTTGTGCAAACCACACAAGCACAGCTCGCGTGCAACCTTCGAGGGTACCGAGGCTCACCATATCTAACTTTGATTAATGCGCTTTCACACAACAGCGTTTTCGCTATAAACACAGTTCTTCTAATTGGGAGCACTTTTCGCACAATGCGGAACGCGCCTATTATAAAGCGATTTCTCAGCGGTCTACGACGAACTACTACCTTGAGCTGCTTCATTATATAGTTCGCGGAATGATACAGTACGCGGCGTACCTATATCTCAGTTATTTGTTCTGCCATGGGATGACTGCAGGCTGATTTTACAATTCAAATGGGATTCCGTACAATAATTCCTTGGTGAACATATTTTTGCTTTACTTGGAGCTTTTCAACGACGCATCTACCACGTTAACTTGTGCAATTACTCTCCTGTAACATAATGTGATTGACCATACGGTTGTCATACTTATGACAAATTTCCATGGTCGTTAATCCCCTCCTGTTTCATCTCAATAAACACCAGAGGTACTGAACAATTACATTTGTGTTTTAGCCGGGATTAAACATTTCCAATCAATGTCTGGCACTCCATCAGTGTGTTCTTTCTAATATGCAAAACGCACTGGCCTTTATTTTGTGCCAGAGCCACAGTCCTCTGTCTCATAATGTGACCTTATGGGGGTTTCAAAAAGCAATGTGGCAGTGAAATGAGGTGGGGGGGGGACAAGACAACATCTTGACTGTCCTAGATCAAACAGAATAAAGACTCAAATACAGTGAAACGTTTATTTTGCGGATTTTGCTTTTGCGAAATTCGTTTATTCACGATTTTATATTGTATACCAGCTTAACTTCCATGCCTTTTTTCCCTGCCACTATTCGCGATGTGACAGCATCACATCATGGGGAGGCGTATTGGCGCAGTAGAATAGCGGTGTTTTTTTGTTTCGATCGTGGGGTCTAAGAGGCAAGTGAGTGGAGGAAGTGAAAGAGCAAAAGACAGAAAACAGTGATGAGTTTAGCTCAAAAGGTGGAGTGATTTGGATAGACTTGCTTGTGGTGATCGTGGGTCTGCTGACGATCATCATCACACCCCCATCATCCGAGGAAAATAACGTTTCCAAATTGACAGTATAATTTATTGATGCTTTATTTTACTCTATTTTGTTGTATATTTGTGTTCTCTTTGTAGTGTACAATTTTAAAGTATATGGATACTATTTATGTGTACAGTACAGGATTCATGTTATGAAACATTTACATTCTCTCCCGTATTTTCAGTCGGACACTGGAACGCAAGCCCCTTTTTCCCATTTAAACACACACTTGCACTTTATTTACATTCGCGAATGCTACTTTCGCGCAAGTTTTCAATCACCGAACCCTCGCGGATGTCGAGGCCTTAATGCGCAATTCATGTCGTGCGGGCATTCAAATGGGTTTAACCCTGTAATTAAATGCCAGTATGAAAATGCGTAGGCCCATCTTAGTGCTTTATAGGTTTTAAATATTTACGTGGTAATGAGAAGCTTCAAAATAACGTATTTGACATTTTAAGCGATTCCCCTCAAACCTGTGAGACAAGCTGTAGGCTTTCTGCTGTCTGAAGTTACCTGTACGCACAGTGTTTGACTGTTTCACTTTCGTATATAACGTAAACGCTATTGCCAGTCTCTCCTGAAGTGGGAGTCATCGTGTCTGACTTGGTGGGTGAGTATCTGTTGCTATTCCTATGAATAAACACTAGATATAAAGAACCGTATGGAAAACTCAATCCCTTTATTATTTTATTATTCACTCAAACGGTATTCCGATCGCTGTCGGCATATGTTTAAGAGACAATATCCAATCAGATATCTCACAGAGCAGTTCAACCCTTTGTGTGAGTAAAAAGTACCCATGGAAGTGGATATTTCCCCAGCTGCTGCTGAGACTTAAGTGACTTCTCGTCCAAACAGTAGAGGGGGCAGCGCTTTGCCGCCCAATCTGCGTGTGAGAGAAATATTTGGTGATCGTCCATACTGATAATTTCTTACAACGTAATTATGACAGCTGGAATTTAGACGCATTAAGTCCAGAACTTGATTTTATGTTACGCTTTACTTTTGTGCAGTTGTTGGTGAAACGCGTTGAGATCATAAACTCACTGCATTGGAGAAGCCGGTTTAATAACATGCAGCTGAAGTCTGACTTCAAATCCTGGATCTCGGTGGTGTCGGCTCACTGTTGTCACCTCTGAGCCACGTGGCCGCTTCCAATCCCCTCTGTTTAAAATGCTGTTCACAGCAAATATTTCTCGCAAATATACCAACGTTAAAAAAAACCAAGTTTATCTTTTCTGATTTTTCTATATATTTTTTTTAATAGAAATCAGAATTTATTTTAACAATTTGTCATTGGTCTACTCCTCCTACCTCATGGTTTGTGAAGAATTGCTGTTCGACACTTCCAAGCCACAATGGATTCCTTTTGTACCTATACAGAAGTCACTCATTGTAATTAAACGTGTATCCTAATATATATGTAGGCCTGCATTATTTTAGTTTTGACAAACATTTCATCTTGATTAAGTTTATATTTTACTGTGACTTTTATACATTTTAAAACTAGTTGGTTGACAGAGGACAGATGTCTCTTATAGGCCATACATTCTGTTTAAATGATTCATCTCTCTTAATGGGTACATTGAACAAAAAACATCGTCTGCATCTTTAAATTTTTTATGTCGTCGTTGAATATGCACGACCATCATTGCCTCTTGTCGCTCATCCTTGCCTTTAAAGTGAGTGTTTTTGCATCCGGCTTGGATTGTTCAGAAAGGTAAAGCATATCGAAAATGTTGAGTTATTTAGTGGGAAATGGCAGGAAAATAACTTGTACACAAACTCATTAAGCGTTGCCATGGAGTATTATCGGTGAAAGCAAATATAAGCAGAACTCCATTCTTTGTCCCAGCGAAAAGAGATTTTTAGTCGGTCAATTAGCTTTCCAGACAATTATTAAAAAAGAGCAAGCATATTCTTGTCTCATTGGCAGAGAGTGGGTGGGAGACAGTAGCCTTCTCACACCCCACCTTATCCTTGTTTTCATGTCATCTTAAACACAACTAATACCGTCATTGAGGAAAAATGGACATCGTTAATTTGAACGAAGATGTGATCAGTAGAGCTAGATGCCAAAAAAAATGCCCTGATTACGGGTCACAAACCAATGCGGACGAGGCTTTCTAGTATTCCAACTACATTTTGAAGGACTCTTCAAGACTTATATGTGACTTCCTGGCCAGAAACCTGAAGGAAATTAACACTGACGTCATCGCTTTAAAGGAAAAGTACATTGAGGACAACACTCGGACGGCGAGTTACAAAATAAATGGATATATCCTTGTTTGTTGCCGTCTACCACCCTAGACATTGCCTTGACACATTCATCAGGCAGGGCCTAAAGAGCTATGCTTTCAAATACACAAAGTACCCCCTTTAGAGCCTGAACAGACTGTTGGGGCAAGTGCTTTTAGCGGGCACCTATAAAGGCCGGCACAGTACGAGGGAGTGGGTGGCCAACACCATGCCCTGCCGCCTTTGTCTCTCTAGTGGCAATGTTTACATACCACACCAGGTACTCATTTGAGGCCAAGTCTACCTAGTACACCACAAGCAAGGTCACATTGATGAAAACCGAGGCAGTTGGTAATGTGACCATCATCAACTTATATAAACTCCTGAATAAGGAATGGCCATCACCACTTCTGCCAGCAGCCGCTCACCCGGCTATATTTATGGACGACTTAAGCAACCACCACCACACAGGTGGGACTGCTCAGAAAGTGGTGAAGCCGGAGAGAAACCCGGAGAATGGTCGTCGGCAACAAGACATGTTCCTTATACATGACCTTAAACAGCCGGACACATTTTCAATTGGCACGATGGAAAAAAATACTCCATCCCAAACTTTATGGCTCATCTCACAGGGCAAGAACGCACAGCCGCTAATTGCTCTGGGGAATTTTCTGAAGAGCCAAGAAAGACGAGCAGTCACGAACGTTGTATTACTGTTACCGGTCATAACCTCAAAACCACAGCCACTTTTGGGGACCTTCAGTACCCCAATTGGTCCAACTGGGAAAAATAAACCGAAACCCAAATGAAGAACCGGGAGCCAAAGCCTAAACATTTTTTACATTCAATCATTAAAATTGTCACATTTATTGAGCAAAAACTAACATCCCAAGTTGTATTGGAAAAGCTACACGCTATCTTAGCAACCAGAAACAGAACAACTCATGCAAAAGTTCACAATAACTAGTGCCCAAGAAGAGAGAACCTCACTGCTAGCGTCCCTGAATTATGCACAAAGAAAAACGTTGGGAAGATTGTCACGACAAAACCTGGCAGCTCCTCCAGAACCTAGATGCCTCAACTAACGGGGCACTGATCATCAAAAACCACAGCAATTGCTGTGGCCTCCCTTACGATTTCCTGCTCAACGGCACCCAGTGGACATAGCGCACCAAACAGGATGTCCAGAAACAACTTTCCATCACCTTTAGCCGATTCTCAAAAGTGACAGATCTATCTAGTCCATGCACTGTCACTAAAGGGCAAATGGCCCTCAAAGGCCACAAAATCCAAATAGGCACTAGAATATGATGACCTGCATCCCAGGTTCCTTAAGAACCTGGGACTGTATGGAAAATAATGGCTTGTAAATGTCTCTGCGCAGGTTAGGCAAAATCCCGAAAGCATGGAAACAAGCAAAGTCAAAGCCATGAAACTTGGAAAGACGCAAGACTCGCCCTCCAGCTACAGGCCAATGTCCCTCCAGCTGCAAACCAATATCACTCCAGCTACAGGCCAATTATCGCCATGCTACAGAAACGTGCAGGAACGACCTGAGGTGCCTCGACTGATTTTCTGTGAACTGCAGCCTTATCGCTATATCTACGTGGTAGCAGAGTACTGCGCTCCAGCCTGGTCTGGGAGCTTATACATGAAACTGCTAGATACATAATTGAATAATGAGATGTGCATTGTAACCAGAACACTGAAACCGGACACCAAACCCTTGGCGAGAACATTCTGCTGCCAAATATCCGCAGGTTACACATTTTCTTGCCATTGACAACCTACACATCAACGAAGACCACTCCACCGACTAAAGTCCCTATCCAGCTTCTGTGTTCGCGCTGCTGTCGCCATTCTAGAATTTCACCCAGATCTGGAAGTACGTTGGAAAACATTGAAGCAATGCGCACGTCCGGAATAGTCACCTAGTTTGAGACCCAAACATCGCACCACCTGGTTTTGATGCCTCTCGAAGACACCGGTGGTGGAACCATCAACCGCATCAAAACATCAGCAGGCTGATGACCACATCTCCTTCATACCTGGAAAATTAAATACACACAGCCACCATGCAAACCCAAACTATGGACCAGACACATTTATTTTCTCTTGCGTTTCTGTCTCTGTAGGGTTGTTTTCCTTTTGGTAAAGTCACGTAGGTATAAAATAAAATAAATCACGACGTTTCGATTGCAACACAAGCAATCATCATCAGGTGGGAAAACCACAGCAATAAATTTTTTTGCTGTGGTTTTCCCACCAGAATTTTTTTGCTGTGGTTTTCCCACCTGATGATGATTGCTTGTGTTGCAATCGAAACGTCGTGATTTTTTTCTACCTACGTGACTTTACGGAAAGAACCAAAGAGTATGGATTCCTGCAGTCGCGAAAGCTTCAAACCTAGGTTGTTTGTCTCTTCGTTTTAATGTTAAGGATATTTTTACTTGTGTTGTAAAGCGCTGTGACGCCTCGTATGGATGGCACTATATGAAACTGGGTTTTACTTACCTATAGTAAACCACTGTAGTCTTTGCTTCAATGGAGGAATAGAAAAGCTACACGGATTCACTCCTGAAGCCCGCTCATGATTATCAGACTGCAAAATTGGCATTTAACTTCTGGACATATTGCCACATGCCAGAATACAATCAGCAGTCCGGCGTGTTATATACAAAGTGCCGCTGAATTGCGAAATGCTATTGGCTACAGCAGTCTATGTAAAATATGAACCCCGGTTCAGCCCATTTTAAAAATGAATATACAACTTGAACATTGTGCACTTTTCAATTAATACAAATAAAATTATCAAGCTTGGTCTCACTAGTCTTGTAACTAGTGCATTGTAGTTATGGAAAGCAGGATAGGTAAACATAGGTAACATGGTTGTAATTTTTAAGTGCTATGTGACCTTAACTTTATGATTTATGTGTTGATTATACTTTGATAACCTCAATGGTGCACCTTTTATTGCTTTCTGTCACAGGTCGGATGGAACTATGCAGGATATCGTGTACAAGTTGGTGCCGAATCTGGAAGAAAGTAAGTGTGCGTGTGTTACAAGAAATTACTATGCAGAGTAGTTCTTTGGAAATTTGTTTTAATTTGCCCAAGACTCATTTTACATGTGGCTATAGGGTTACTTCGTAGAACAGTTGTTTTTTGATTTAAACTTTTTTCCATTTCAAAGTATTCCTCGTGAATCTTCACCTAAAGCTTTCGTTACTGCAGGAATTCATATTCTTTTGGGTCTTTCGGTAAAGTCACGTAGATAGGTTCAAGGAAAATAACAAAAAAAGAACCAAAAACTACGATGTTTCGATCACGACACAAGCGATCGAAACGTCGTAGTTGTTTTTTGTTTGTTATTTTCTTTCAACCTATCTCTGTGACTTTACCGTAAGACCCAAATAATATGTATTCCTAGTAAGTCTAATACTTTGTTTTGGCATAAAAATAATAATTGATATATAGTTACGTAATATAAATGTATTCTTTTGACAATCGGCTTGTTGCTGCTTAAGAAACCGCTGTGATTTGAATTTTGTCTTGGCATTTGAAGGCTGATAGCCACATTGCATAAAACACGTCCCGCTTTATATATTTCACCCATAAGCTGGGTGGCTCATAACTCAGAGGGCTGAGTTGGCACTACTAGGATCCTGGGTTTTCAAACCAAGGCACTGCCGGTGATTAAAAAGAGACGCCATTAAGACCTCCTTTGCCAGTACCAAAATGTAATAATAGGGTTTTTCCCCTTTTTTCTGGCAACAAAACTAAAACCTTTTTACAAGGATTTATGTCTGCATTAACCACAATACCTGCAGTCAAAATGCAAACCAAAAAATACTATGATAATATATGCATTGTCCTTGAAACTGATTGATCCACACCAAGGGACGGCTTTCTTTTGAGCCTCGACCCAATTGGTGCTCGACTAGATTAAAAGGCGGCGCTTAAGAATCTCGAGTTGATGGTCTCAGCCCGGTCACCCAAATGCTTGCACAAAAAAAATCACGGCGCTAAATTTTGTTGCGCTTTTAGTTCATTCATCAACGTGGCGAACATTACTCTCAGTGGCAGGCCGATTGAGCAAGCGTTGCCCCTCCTAACTTGTGGAGCAGTGGTCTGCTCAAAAGGAATTCGGTGACATTTGCTCCCGTGGGCCGTGCTGCGCGAGTGATCTGCACGGATAATTAATCTCTTCACGCGACATCGATAGCACAATTTGGATGAAATGATGGAAAAGGACAAAAAACATGACGGGAGGTTTACATTCTTTTTAGCCCTGCGGTTTCTCGAAAGGATGCGACAGTGGTCGCACATGTCCCTGGATGTGCTAAGAAGGACATGCTGTCTGCTTTTCAGATGAGAAACGGAGGATGAGAGATTTTTATCTTTCAAGGGGATTGGAGCTTCCAAAACCAGGTAACTGTCGTCTGCTCATTGCTTCCTGCTTAGTTTAGTTCAAGTGCTTACAAGAAAACAGCCATTGTTTGCAGGTAACGGTAATCAGTATTGTGTATACAGCGATCCTGTTCCAAGCTTTAATTGATGTATAGTTAGCATTGTACCTTTGTATGTTGAACTTCTTTCACACCTTATGTATCCAGCCGGAGGTGCATTGCAGGACAATTGGGAGCTAATTGCTTAATCATTTAATCTCACCATCTATGGACTGCATGTAGGACTAGATAAGATGGTGCATCTAACCTATAAAAGGCATTTTTTATCTGTCCGTCTGCGAGGGATTTTGTTCGCGAACCGTGGGGTTTACGTTTTTAAAAAGTACCCAGGTAGCACGGCATAAGCCCCGTGGTGAGCCAGTGCTATTCCGATTTAACGTCTATCACCTTTAAAGTACTTTTATTAGCGATTTAGTGCTGTTTTTTGTTATTTATCTATTACGTTGCATCTCCGAGCACGCGCCAAAGCAACCATCTGCGCATGCGCACCCTTAGCGGTGGAGGGGGGAGGGGGGTGGCATTTGCGTTAAAAATGCAACAAAAAATACACACAAGACTGAGGTATATTCTTCATTCTTCAAAGTGTGATGTCCTCTTCTCCCCCTCCACCCCAATGTGTGCAATTACTACTATATGGTCAGTAGATACTAATATTATAGAGCTTGCATACTATCACTGTAGAGCGGGTGGCAGTATGGTGGGGGGGGGGGGGGTAGGGGCTCAGCCCCAGCCTGCCAAGGTGCCATCTTGGCTGGCTGGGCAATCTTGGCGAGGCCGGGGGCTCTGCACAGGACTAGGCCTCACCACGGCACTGTTAAGTACTATATTCGTGCTTCTTTCGCTAAAGTCACGTACAGAGAAAACTAATATTTAAAAATTAAGTTGGTAAATATTAAAATAATAATGTGTGTGTGTAGAAAACTAATATTTAAAAATTAGTGCGTGTGTAAAAGTCGGTGTGTGTGTGTGTGCTTGTGCGTGAGTCAATGTGTGAGAGTCTATGTGTGTGTGCAAGTCGATGTGTGTGTGAGTCGTATGTATGTGTGTGATTCGATGTATGTGTGTGTGTATGTCCATGTGTATATGTGTGAGAGTCAATGTGCGTGTTTAGGTCTGTGTGTGTGTACGTCGGTGTGTGTGGGTCGATGTATGTGTGTGTGTGGGTCGATGTATGTGTGTACGTCGATGTGCGTGTGAGTTTGTGTGTGTCAGTCTGTGTGTGTCCGTCGATGTGTGTGTGAGTCTATGTATGTGTTTAAGTCGATGTGTTTGTGCGAGTCTCTGTGTTTGTGCGAGTCTCTGTGTGTGTGTACGTCGATGTGTGTGTCTTTTTCGCCCGGGAAACGCCGGGTACTTCCCGCTAGTCCTCAATAAACGCTTCCCTTTACACAAACAACAGATTTGAAGCTTGGTAAGGTACCTATGAGATCCTCTGTATGCAGAGAGCTATCTATAGCAACATGTATGTAGTGGAGTAGAAAGGTGCATATTGCATGGAAACAGAGACAGTGCGGGTTATGTTGGGTCAGCCTGTAACGAAGGCAAATACAGTGCAGGTCATGTTAGGGCAGCCAGGTGCAAGGGCTGGGATGATGAGGTAATGGTTGGGCCAATTAAGCCAGAGGACCAGTGATGGCGGTGATTGGCTGGGGCTGTTGTCAAGGGCGAGGAGGCGTCGAGATGTCTGGAGAAAGACAGGTGCTGTGGGGAGGCACGCGGGCCAATTAATTATGGGTAATGAGAATGGAGATAAAATGGGGAGACACACAGAGAGTCGGGGAGTTGGAGTGGGGAGCTGGACGAGGCAAGACGTGGAGTTTGGAGGAGAGTTTGGAGACAGAATTGGAAACAGAATTTGGAGAAGGAATTGGAAACAGAGTTTGGAGACAGAGTTGGAGACGGAGTTTGGAAACAGAGTGTGGAGCGGAGCTGAAGAAGAGAAGTAGTTAGCAGTGGAGAGAGAGCGTAGCGATAGCGGAGCTGGAGACGAGAATAGCCAGCAGTGGAGAGAGCGTAGCGATAGCGAAGATGAAGACGCTGTGTGCGTAGTCGCTGAGTGCGGAGCAAGCGAAGTAATCGTGGGGAGTGGAGAGACAAAGGTGGCGAGCGAGTCGAGTGAAGCACGGCGACCTGGATATTGTGGAATGTGGAGGACATGCTGAGAGTTGTAAATAAATTAGTGTTCGAAGAAAGACAGAAGTTGTCCGAGTGCAATCGAACACTACATGTATATTAATAAACATGTATTACCAAACACGTATTTGCATATTGAAACAGCCTTGTAGTACACAAACCTACATTCATGTACACTCAAAACCACATAATAGTGCACATAAAAACACAAAGATCTGCCCGTGTAGCCTTTAACAGACTGTTGGGGCAAGTGCTGTTCGTGAGCACTTGTGAAGGCAGGCACGGCACACAAGGGGGTGGGTGGGTGTCGAGCACCACGCCTGGCCGCATTTGTCTTCCCAGTACTGATACGCTTCAAAAGGTACTAAATTTATGGCTAAGTCGAGCTAGGGGAGGCCCACGACCAGTTTAGATATTCGTCACCGATGTTGGGTGCGAGTGGGCGAATCTAGGTCCCGGGGTTTATAGCACAGTGCCACAGTGCGCACTAACCACTGCTCCCCAGAAACACACGTGCACACTCAAACACAAGCACACTCAAGAGGTTGCCATGGTGAAACAGCATTGCTCTTACCACACCTGGTCATTGCTTATCTTATTTACCCACACATTTCAGTGAGCGCGAGTCACCGGCTGCTGCTCTCTCCCTAATCACCCTTCCTGCCCCCCTCTGTATTGTTACTGTGCCAACCCCCGACACTTCACATCCTCTCCTGCCTTATCACGTGCACCCTCACACATTGCCTGGCTCCAGGGCTGGGGCGATCAATCGGTTAAGCCCATGAATTGACTACAAATTATAATAACTTTTTCATCCGTGGCCTCTGTACAAGACAAGGCCTCAGCTTGACGCGGCCGAAGGTGTCAATGGGGTCGTCGGGCCTCGCCCATCGCCCCCTTGTCCAGCGTCACACACAAAGTTTTTGCCGCAAGTGAACCCCACAACACCTTGCTGATCTCGTCAAGGAGCATAAACCATAATCACGCGAACTCCGGTCATCCTCGCAGCGGCTTTTGGCTAGACATCGGACAAAGATGGTCACTGCATTGCGCACTTTCAGATCTGCTTCTGAGGCCATTTGGAACATTCTTCCTTCCAATATTAGGAAGCCACTGGAGCTATGCATTTTAAAATCTAGATTAAAAACTCATTGCTTAAGAATTGCTTTTTGTGTTTAGTTCTTCTCCCGCACCTCCAATTAGCACATTTGGCTACGTACGGCGCATGACGTTCAACATGCATGCACATGGAAGAGGAGATGATACTTTAAATATCTCCTGATGTCTCGGTCTCTCTCATATGCTGCCTCTTTGTAACCGCAACGTCCCCCTGTGTCCCCCTGCAGCGGTTTACTACGTGGCGGCAGGACCCGGAGAACGAGGCAAGAAAGCGGACAAGCGCAAGGGCCTCAGCTTCACAGAGCCCAGCGCCACGCTCGCTTGCGTCTCGCTCGTGCTGGAGTGCGGACGGTGCGTTGTCCCAACGTCTGGTGGGCTTCGTTTGGTTAACTTTACATTCGAGCTGGGCCGTCTACCTTGCCTGGTATACAGGAGGAGGGCGTAGGTTCGATCCCGACCCTGATGCCTGCTGTATATTTGGAGTTTGCATGTTCTCTCCCTCTGTGGTCGTGTGGATTTTTCTCCGTGTCCTCCGGTTTTTCCCTCCACGATTAGGAACATGCCTTTAGATTGTTGTCCTTCCGATTAGTATGGTTGGCTACGTACGGTGTGAAAGAAGTTTAACATGCATACATACATGCATGCATACATATAGCTCAGTGGGCCTTACCTGGTAAAATAATATAGTAAATATTACTTGAATCGATGACGCTCAGTTCGATTACTCGATTTTTTGGACAAAAATTGCTTGACAAAAAAAAGTCACGGGTGTCACCATGCACGTGCCGCTGGACGCGAGATGATTGGCGGGCCTTGGTGATGTCACCGGCATCGTGAGCTATGTCGCGCTGGGTGTGGCTTATTGGGGGTTTCCTGCCTTTGGGGAGGTGGGGAAGGTAGTCAGGGCTGCCACATTTTTTTAAAGGGGCCCTGGTAATCGATCACAAAAAAGTAGTCAACTGCAATATTTAGTCCAGTGATCGAGTTCGGTGATAAACCGTCCCGGCTCTACTTTTCATTCCATCCGTGTAGTCTGTAAGACATTTTAAATTTTGAATTAAATTTTGATTTAAAGCTTTCGTGACTGCAGTGATTCATAGTCTTGGTTCTTTCGGTAAAGTCACGTTGAAGGGAAACAATAAAATAATAATAAAATATATAAAACAATAAAATTCTCACGACGTTTTGACTGCAATACAAGCAGTCATCATCAGGTGTGAAAACCAACGGCAAGAACATTTGAAAGAAGTGGCGGTTTGTATTTATTTATTTTTAAACGTTAGCACCACAGATAGCGATTTGACAGTTTGTTTAGATGGACGAGTCCATCTATGTTCGGAAAAGAGAAGGGGGGAGACGAAAAATTAATGTATGCTGTCTGAAAGCCACCGTAAGCATGAACAATCAATTAATACCCGAAATGGTTTATCAAATCCTCCAATGATTGCTAAGCCAGAATCCATCTTCTCGGTTGAAATTGTCTCTGTGTTTGTATATGTGGATAGCCTCATGAACGAATCTCTCATGGTAGCCAGATGGCTTGCAAAGAACTTCTGTAACACATTGTTGGAAAGTGTTTAATGTCTCGGCCGTATATGTTAATCTTGTACCATTATCTTAGCCTAGTCTCCTTACATCAGTGCCACATAGGTGCCTTTTATTCAATAGGTTAGAGCTTATTAACAAAACTTTGATTTTTAAGCTATTCATCTGTCCTAGCCCAAACTTAGCTATTCATCTATGGCAATATATAATGATAACTAAACAAGCAGAGGTTGCTGTAATGCCTCTGACTTGTTCTTCAGACACTTGATCTCTGCTTTTCTTTTATACAGGGTGGAGGCTGGGATCCTCAACTATCAGGTATGAAATGACTTTTTGCGCAGAATGTACCAGAAGCTTTTGGCACCACATGACGTATACAAATGCAGCAATGGGTCATTGTTACACCATATTGTTCCCCATTATCCAATGGTGCTTTATTTCTGATGCTGGTGTCATGTTATGAGATGAATTCGAATTTCGCCCTTCATATGATTATGCATGTAATTATTGTACAGTGTTGTGCGGATGCAATTAGCAAAACAAAATCTGCAATTATGATTATGAAGTTATATCGGATCTAGCACAGATAGCAGTGCATCACATTGTGTCAAAGAACATCCCTTGAATATGGCATCAGAATAGCTTCATAATTCCCTTGAACGTTATTCATACCCAGGGGTGCAATTAAAAAAAAGTGCCTGTCGCATGGTCATTTGCGACGAAGCCAATGTTTGTTTTAAACAGCAAAAATAATCTGAACTAAGCAACAAACCAAATGTAATATGATGGGTTTCCTGAGCATTCATTGGTGACTGGACTGATAACATTCACTCATTACACTTAAGATCCCAGTTTAAAATAATCACTGTTTGCTTAGATTTCAACACAGGATGTCATTGGTTGTGCTTTGGGGTGCTGAGGTGGTGAGATGTTTGCATTTTTTTCTCTGTGGTCATGTGGATTTTGGGTCCTCTAGTTTTCCCCTCCACATTTAGAAACATGCGTTTTACAGCATTTGGCTGCTATAAATTTCCACATGATAAGCCACTTTATTCAAGCTAACATGTATGGCTAAGTCACTTCTGAAAGAGATCTATATAGCTCAGTGGGCATTCTGGTAAAATACAAGGTTGAGCTTTAGTTTAGTAACAACACTCTGAGCCACCCATCATTTCAGACCCTAAAATAAGGAACTTGAAAACATAACTACCCATAAAGAAGTGGCTGAATTACTCATGGTCATAATCTGGTTATTTACAAAATAAAGCTGTTTGCGGAAGGGTGTTGCAGTGGTAGCACTAATGCCTCACAGCAAGAAGGCCCAAGGTTCGGGAACACTTTTGCCTGGAAGTCCACATGTTGTCGGACACCCTGTTCGTCAGGGTGTGTGTGGATGTGTGGAGAGCAGTAGTGTAGTGGTTAGCGCACTACGCTTCAAAATCAGCAACCGAGTTCCATTCCTGCTCACAACCAATAACCAATAACAGTGGCGAATACCTGAATAGGTACTGGGCCCTCCCATAGGTCGACTCAGCCTTAAATGAGTTTCCTGGTGTGGTGTGTAAACATCAGCACTCGGGAGACAAAGGTGACCGGGCGTGGTGTTGGCCTACCACCCTCTCGTGTGCCCGTGACGTTGGCTTTAATAGGCGCTCTGTTGAAAGCTATACGGGGGATCTTTATCCTTGTGAATGTGAGTAGGAAGGGCTTATGAGCAAGTAGGTGGGGCCAACAACATAGAGTGAGATTGTTTGCTGTATGGATGGTCCTCGTAACTGAGTAGGCGTGACTTTTTAAAAGTGCCAGCTTGCTCCGTGTCCTGCTTGAGTCTGCTATAAATGTTGGTAGCTTTGTGAAGAACACAAGCTGCATCCTCATGAAGTGGAAGTTTGTCAAAGTAAATACATTATTTTTACATAAACTATGTTCAGAAGGGACATGATCAGGAGTCCCATAATGTAACGAAAGCCTGTCAATTGGAAAAGCATTGTAGGCTTAAAATAAATCATAATATTGATGAGAAAACATTGCATTTAATAAAAATTACGTCTAATATGTAAATATGCTTATTGTTTCAAATGCGATCACTTTGTGTTCAGGTGATTCCTGAGTTCCGAAGGTCTAAAAGCCGGTATTTTGTCCCTTTCAGCCACTTCAGAAGAAGTATGTGCGGGTGTCTGGAGAGGCCACGATCCGACACGTGGAAGCCTTCCTAAGGAAGAAACTTGGGCTGGATGCCTTCTGCGAGGTGAGCGGCGCGCGCACGTCATTTCACATCAGTTCCGCAATGTTACTGTTGCAAATCCAAGATGGCATTGAAGATATTTTCGCAATGTCATTTTTTTTTTATTAGAAACAAACATGTAACATAACTGTTGGAATGTGCTGTATTCAAATAAACTTAAATGGTAACTATACATAATTTGTTAATCAATATTTAAACTTTTAAATACTTTACTCAAGAATTGCCACTACTCATTACACACCCTGTCACCACACACCCTGCCACCTCTCGTATGGTGCTGGTCACCATATGAGTGGTGGCTGTTTACTTATCACATCATTGTTTTTATTCACCCCAGTGAGATGATGGGCTGTATTGACTCAACTGCAATTTCAACTGATGACCTGATTTTAAGTCGAGAACCTCAAACCACAATGCCAACTATTACCAGACATTGCTACTAACCATTTCACAAAGTGCCACAGTGGCTTATTAAAACGTTTTCAGCAACGTTTGTACCGTTTTACAAGTTAACATGGTTTATAAATGGGGTTCACGTCGTAACAACACGAATACAAGATGCCCTCACCTGCAAAATAAGTGTTGGTAAAAACAATATTATACTTATGTGTTCATGTAATTGTAGTGTACGGTACTGAATAATATATGGGTTGTTTTTTGTGGTGCACTTTGAATATGCGTTTTTTGATAGGTTGCCCGTGTGGCCTTTGCTCTGTAAATCGGCTTCATTTGCGACGGTGTTGTCAGCTCACTGAGTCGTGGTCCTTGTCCACACCATGCAGGTCAAAATCACGTGCGGAGAGCGCGTTTTGGATCAGGATTGCACTTTAAGCGGCCTTCAGTATTCTGGAAACACCAGTGAGGTCAGTACTATGATATATATACACACCTTGACTTAAAGCTTTCGTGACTGGAGGAATTCATATTCTTTGGGTCTTTCGGTAAAGCCACGTAGATAGAAAAAAATAATAAAAAATATGACGTTTCGATCGCAACACAAGCAATCGTCCTCAGGTGAAAAAATAGCGAGAGAGCTGCTGAGGCAGGATGTTATAAAGGTTTGAGATGGGTGTAGCCCAGGGGTCATAAGCGAAGTGGGCAGGGCTAGTGAATAAATTTGCATGTAAATGTAAGATCGGAGAGCTGAGCTACCTCCACAATCACGAAGCTGTGAAGGTGGCCATTGTATTGTGGGAGATTAGCATGTCAATGTAAGATCGTAGAGCCACCGCCACATCAAGAAAAACGAGCAACGGTGGTTGTGTTAGACATTGAACCTGTTAATGTAACACTAGAGAGTCGAAAATAACTACTAAACATCACAGCCAGTTATGACTTCATAAAGTCCTTCCAATGATTGCTCAGTTGTACCCATCTTCTCGGTTGAAATTGTGTCTGTGTTTATATATCTGGCTTCATGAACACATCTTTTCTGATAGCCAGTGGGTTTGCAGAGTACCTTCGTCTTGGAAAAATAAATTTTGTGTGTGCCCACAGCATTAAAACAATGATCAGCCACGGTTGAGGTATTGGTCCTACCATGTTTCAGATCTGCCTTATGTTCACAAACACGGTCCGAGACATGTCGCTCCCACCACCATCCATCCCAGAAGAATTCCCTCATCAAAACTCTACACCATAGAGCTCGATGTATTTATGACCATCACCACCTAGCCAGTGAACTGGAACACGTACACCAAGCTCTCAAGATGAATGGATATTCAGACTACACAATCCGTAAAGCTATCACCCCAACCATTGGGAAAGAACCATCTAAGGAACCTATCAAAACCATCACCTTTACATAAATTGCAGAGGTCACCAAAAAGATTTCCAAAATCATGAGCAAACAAGATCCAGGTGCGATTCAACACAGTACATAAAATTCGTGATCTGATCTCATCTGTGATGGATGTGATTCCTGACATGTAATACCCCGGCGTCTACAAACTAAGCTGTGTCTGCGGCAGTAGTTACATTGGGGAAACTAAGCGACATGTCTCGGACCATGTTCGTGAACATAAGGCAGATCTTAAACACTGTAGGACCAATACCTCAGCCGTGGCTGATCATTGTTTTAATGCTGTGGGCACACATGAAATAGATTTTTCCAAGACGAAGGTACTCTGCAAACCCACTGGCTATCAGCAAAGATTCGTTCATGAAGCCATCCAGATATATAGACACAGACACAATTTCAACCGAGAAGATGGGTACAAACTGAGCAATAATTGGAAGGACGTTATTAACCAGGTTAATTCATAACTGGCTGTGATGTTTAGTAGTTATTTTCGACTCTCTGGTGTTACATTAACAGTTTAAATGTCTTTACATTAACAGGTTAAATGTCTCACTAACACAGCCACCGTTGCTCATTTTCCTTGATGTGGCAGTGGCTCGACGATCTTACATTGACATGCTAATCTCTCACAATACAATGGCCACCTCCGCAGCCTCGTCATCGTGGAGGTAGCTCAGCTCTCCGATCTTACATTTACATGCAAATTTCTTCACTAGCCCCGCCCACTTCGCTTATGACCCTTCATTACATTTGTAGTGGGTTGAATAACTAGAAGAGAGCTTCTCTGAAGCAACACAGTTTTTTTTTTAACACTTAACACAGAGGGGTAACGGCCCCTCACACCCGATACACTATGGAGGGTGCCCCTCCAGACTAATACGCCTCTCACTGGCTAATCTACGAGTCCTCCTTGAGTGAAGCTTGGATCTTCACTGGTATACAAGCTGGAGCCGACCCTTGCCAGGGGTACGGCTCTGCCCTTGGGCTCTTCCCTTCAGGAGAGGCTTCTTGTCTTCAGCTTGACGACGACTGATCCGGACCATTCGGGGGTCCGGCTTTTATGCACGGCCGTGGCTCGCCCCGCCCCGGCCACACCTTCCTTCCTGAACCTTCGAGAAGGATCTGGGGATGATGTCATCCCCCAGCCCCCCTCCTGGGGTCTGGGGTCTGTCGCTTTAACATACCGTCCCATAGGGTAACCGTTGGGCCCTATGGCCCATAGTCTCTCAGCACTGGGGCTCAGCCCCTCTGTTGCCCCCTATGGGCATGTGGCCGGTACTGCCGGCAACTGCATGGGAACGGCGCATCTTAGCCCAATAACACCGTTATACATTTATAAAACAACTAACTTTGCAGTAGATTGATGTCCAGCCTATTGTATCTTACATCTAACCACACGGATGTGTTCGGTGATGTGCGCACGTAACGCGCTTGGTGCTAAACGTGATTATTTTTCACAATGTCAAGTTTCCATGTTTGTTGGTTGTTCTGTCACTAACACAGCTGTTTCTCTTCTCCAGGATGACCTGTTGATTCTGCACTACTGTCTGGCTGCACCTCAGCAAGACAACTATTACTCCGATTAGAAAGATTACCCAGTTTGAAAGGTCTAGGCGCTGTAATATTAAGCGACTACACTTTGTTTTGAAAGGACCACGCAGTGTAATATATTGAATGGGACGTAATGGGACCTGGTTGGAAGCGATGCTTTCTATTTATGGCTTTTACAGCCTCCTGTGCTTTAGACGCAGAATATAATTGCGTGATGTTAATGCAGTGGTTGAAATGTCATTACATGCTCTGCTAAACAGTGGGAAACACCCAAGGCTTCCTACAAAATATTGTTTTTTATTGTGTTTGATATAGGTGCCTTCCCCAGATATTTCATTGGAGTTCACAGTGGTTTTTGCTAGTGATCATTCCCACAACTGTGCATATTAACATTTGCATTGGCGATGGCTCTTTTGCTGTTAAACAGTAGGTTTAAGTTATCCGTTACATAATGCCTGTGCCAAAATTGAAAATCCTTTCCACCCACTGTTTGTCAACATTTATGACAACATTACACTTTCTGGGTAACACTTTGTTTTTCTTTTGCCCTCCCCCCCTTGAAAATATTTTGTCTAAATATTCAGGTGATATTTTGGCATTTCTGCACGCAATGCTCGTTTGAAATGTGATTTTTTTAAATATACAGGGTGTCCATATATATGCATTATTAAAGCATTATAATTAGACAACTGTTTTATCCAAGTTGATGAAATTCTGTTCACGCAGTTGGTCGTTCGAATGTGTTATCATTAAAGCCGTTACTTCCATCTTAACCGTCACATCTCAACTCAAGCATTTGGTGAACTGGAATTGATATTTGAGAGCTCCTGGTGTTTAAGAACATCTCAGGTGTGATTGACACTACAATATAATCCTCTGTCTAATTGTAATGATTTAATCATGAAAGGAACCTTTATGGACACCCTGCAGGATAAATCACAACACATTGTTATACCGCTTACGGTCAGAAGAACGTGAACTTGTGTTTGCTTTTTCTTTGCAGAAGAGGCTTAAAAGTTACCCTTCGCTCCAATTAGTGCGTTAATCTCATGAAAATTATAATTCCTATCCGAATAAACCATAAGTCAACAATTCTGTTCTGGTACAAATGTATACATTTAAACTATTGTTTTAAAAGTAAAATACAGTAAATTGGAGAACTTGATATGCTGTAATATAATTTGTTGTACAATATCAACGTGTTTTTGCCTTTTTGTTAACGCAATTCGTGCACGGTTTGTGTTTACCGAGTAGCTGCTGCATGGCATGGATAGTGAATACATAGCCTCCGCAAGGCCAAGCACACTATCGGGGAAAAACACATTTCAAGAGTCGCAGCGGCATCTTTTGGCCCAACCATTGAACAAAGACGGTCACTGCATGGCGCGCTTTCAGATGTGCTTCTGCGGCCTTCCGTAATGCTCTTCCGATATTAGAAAGCCACTGGGGCTGTGCACTTTTCCAAAAGTATTTTACTGAACAAACTATTCAGGTCCATAGACGGCATGCATGGATGCACTCTTAAATCTAAATTGAAAACATGTATTTAGAACTGCTTGTTGTGTTTAGTTTGTTGTCCTTCCCCCGCACCTCCGATTAGCACTGTTGGCTACGCACTCGGTGCGAAAAAATCTCAACATACAAGAGTGGTTAAAAACAAAGTTTGTCTTGCAACTTTGCTTGGCACAACTTGTTTAAAATGTACACCTCAAATCGGTTCACACTCACGGTGACAAGCCACTCCAAGAGTGTGCAATCCCTGGAGCATGACTCTATTTAAATGGTGGGAGGTGGGGTCATACAAAAACTCACGACACATTAAATGTAAAACTTTAAACATGTTAAAATGCTTAACTGAATGAGAAGAAACTAAACTACCATTTTTATTTTACCAGGTAAGGCCAACTGAGCTACATAGCTCTTTTTCGTAGCGACCTGCCCACAATTATATCTCAACGAAATAGCTTATGTAGAAATTTCTAGAAGCCAAAGACTCTAAATGCATGTTCTTAAATGTGAAGGGGAAACTGGAGGGCCCGGAGAAAAATCCACGGGAAGAACATGCAAACTCCATATATACAGGCGTTCGGGTCGGGATCTAGCCCACGGACCTGTATACCAGGCGAGGTAGTTTACATCTCATCACCGTGGTGTCATAGAAGCAGATGTTGGTTTTGACAAAACAGCTGAAGGCAGAATCTTGACAAAGTATTTGGACTGTGTGGCTTTACTATATCGGTGTTTATCATGCATTCAGCTGGAGCTTTTGGCCCCCTGCGAAGCCCGTCGGTTAATTTAACTTGAATTTAAGCGTGAATTTGTGTTGTCTAACCCTGTCACGAATACTGCACTTCGTGTCTTAAATAGATTTGGCTACATTTAGGAGGGCCGATCCTTCGGCAAGCAGCGATTGGCTGGGCCAACCCCGGCGCCAATGGGTTTTCAATTTGCTGGACCTCTCGCTGAACTTTCGTTCCTGTACATTGCGAGTGGGATTCGTGGGGGGGGGGGGGCGGAAAAGCGACGAGGATCGCGAGGAAGCCGCCCCCTTAGTGGACGTGTTGTGGGAGCCGGCCTGATGGACGCGAGCCAGGGGCTGGGGTGGAGCAGGATCACGGGAGGGAAGTGGGGATTGGAATCCCATGTGCTATACCTAGGCTCCGGGTGCACCTCGACACCATGCAGTGGTCCATTATATAAATGTATTTATTTATTTTACCGCGTAAGGCCCCGCCGAGCTATATCGCTATTTTTGTCAGAAGCGACCTGGGCCACTAGCGATAGCTCAACAAAGTGGCTTATCGTGTGGAACTTTATAGCAGCCGAATACTCTAAATGCATGTCTAGAAATGTGGAAGGAAAAAACCGGAAGACCTGGAGAAAAATCCACGTGACCACTGGGAGAGAGAGACGTGCAAACTCAAAATATAGAGCAGCCATAACAGCGATTTAAAATCTCCTAGCCATCGCCGTACCAACTGCTGGGCTTTGCATGCTGCTTGGTACAGCATTGGGCAGCTGGGGATGCAGGTGCTGTGGCTCGATAGAGTTAGTCCATGATGTATGGGTGCCATTGTGCATGCATGCCAATGGGAAGCGTGGATTCCCCCTGATCGCTGCATTATTATCGTTGCATCGATTGCAAACAACCGCAACGCCTGAAACCCAATGCTCGACTTCGTGCTCAAACCCGCAGCACCTTGTACCCCATGGCTGAACCCACGAGTTCCTGGGTTCGTACTTAAGGCACGTACACACCCAGACAAAGATTCCTCCTATAGCCTTAAACTCTTTGGGTAAGTGCGTAACGAATGAAGCCGGCACGAGGAGGATGGGGGTGGCCAACACCACGCCCGGCTGCCGTTGTCTCCCCAGTGTTGATGTTTATGTGGTGCCACGACCGTGAAGCAACTCCGCAAGCGCCGTGACTCCCGGCCCCTGCACTAAGCACACACCCACACGCAGCGCACACACGTAGTGTCCTGGCCAGGGGGTTGCCTGGCACATTGGGTTTTAATCCGAAGGGCCCCTAGAGGGGAAGTCCCATGGTTTCCCGGTGCCAGGAGATTGGCCGACCCTCGCAGGACAGGTTACATTGCGGTGCCCATAAAATTGCCTCAAAATTGTATGGGTGCAGCCAGAAAAGGTTCACTGGGCTAACCGCCATGAGTTACAACATTGAGGGTGGAATATTAAGCAAGAAGAGCGTAAGGTCAGGAGAATCGCCGCACCACCGCCGCCCCCCCATCTCGGCCCCCATACTGAATACACTCTTGCGGGGTTTGTGTTCACCAGCCGGGACAATGGGTGACCGGCGCCGCGGCACTCGAGGAAGGACGCGGTAACAAGGGGACGGTAACCACAGGCAGGCGCACGATTGGTCGCATGGGACAAACGCCATCCCGGCCCTTTGAAGTCAGGGGATTAGGCCACGGGAGAAGACGCTACAAAGCCGCAACAGCGCAGGTAAGCGCACGATTGGCTGCGCGGTGAGACCGTCACCCTGGGCCTTTGAAGTTTAACGAATCAAAAGAGTGACCCAGGACGATTTTGAGTCTCTTGTCTTCAACCTCCGGGCCATCAAGACCCACTCCCTGCCGTCCTGCCTCCTCGAGCTGCTCGCAGCATCCGTGGGATGCCAGCGAGTGCTGCTTACGAGGCAGTGATAGGTGAAGATTTCTCTCGTCCTTCTCCCTCCGACTCTCACAGCGTCCGTGCGACGCCGTGAGTACAGCTTCGAGGTACATTGGTAGGACGTTTGAGTGCTTGGGTGCGGAGGGCAGAGTTAGGCTCGGCTCTTCTCGCGAAATATTTCCTCCGGGCAGTGCGGAGTTTTTGCGCCGCGAATAAAGACATTAGCACAGAGCATCGGTGCAGTGTGATTTGTGTGTGTGTGTGGAACAGCTGGCGTGGGCGGACGAGCGGCCGAGAGTGAGGGCAGAGCCGCAGCCTGAGGCGCTCGTTGGAAAAATCGCCTGCAGGTGCGCACGTGTTAACTGTGAGGCGTGTACATTTTAGAATCTGATCGCCGGCAGGGGCACGCGCATGCTCGCCGCCGCTGTAGCATTAGCGTGTGCGTGTGTGGAATAACCCCGCGCAGCGGTGAGCCAGCGATTTAGCGATGTCCCTCAAAGGGGGCGCTAACGCAGTGGGGTCCGATCACCCGGTCGGCGGGGGCCTGGCGGGGGCCGATCGACGCAGTGGAGGGAGTGGAGGAGGGAGTGGAAGGGGCGGACGTCGCGCCCCACCTGCCCGGCGTGGGCGGTGGGGTGGACGTCGGCCTCCACATTTACACACCAGGCACTTATTTTAAGGCCGATGCCCAGAAGCGGTTCAGATATTCGTCACCGATGTTGGCCGTGAGTGGGAATTCAACTCGGGTCGCCAGGTTCACAGCGTAGTGCTCTCACCACTGCACCACCACTCCCCACTGATGTACACACGGACAACGTACACGATGGCTCCCCATTCCCCACGAGTTGACGACGGTGGCATTGACTTTGCTGGCCACCCAACACCTTCGTATGCCGTGCCGGACTTCACAGGTGCTCGCTAACAGCACTTGCTCCACAAGTCTATGAAGGCTATATGGGGGATCTGTGCCCGGTGGTCGACCATCCAACCACTATCCAGGTTAGCTCCTGATCTGATGGTATAAGTGCATTCCTGGTGACTAATTCATGGGTAGTCACTTTAGAACATTTAAAAAAATGAAATTTGTTATATATTTCGTCACGCATCAATGTTACTTTTTAACGATTTATTTGCTACCAAATGTCTTAAAAGGTGTTCACATCATTTACAAACATTAAACAATCTTTATTATACACCACTCTTTACGTCAGTGGAGGAATATTTGAGCATATTACATAAAGTCTAATTTAGATAAATTCCCAACACTTGTAATATACAGAATACAAGCCATTTTGTTTAAAATATCATCAATGTAACTAAGGTAATATAACTTAAAAGTAATAAAGCTTAATATTATGAATAAGACAGATTACTACAATCGGGATAAAGAACCACTCGTGTACGGGTGAATTGCAGAGGCGTGGGTGGCATGTGCTCCTCTGACAGCCATCTTTAACATTGTAACGTTCTCAATGCTGCCACACTTGAAGTGTGATCTCCAACCACAAAATCGATTTGTCCCCCTCATCTGAAGAGGGGCTACCACCAAAACATCTGATATATAATTTCGTGAAGGAAAAGAATATACAATTTCAATCAAGAAACAACCAAATCAGATTCTGTGATTTGGCCATTTGTTTGTGAGCACAACAGGAACTTACTCCAACTCATCGATAATAATGCCCTTGATCTTGAAGATGACCCGCTGCTGCTTCGCCACCCCCCCCCCCAGCTCTGAATAGCACGTTTGGCTATGTACGGTGCAAAATAAGTTCTACATAAATTGCTTATGATCATCATCATCATCGGAAATAAAAAGTCGACGGAGACCGCAGCGTCCAACGAGACGCGTGGCCTCGGGCGATGGCGGCGGATTTCTCGCGCCCACGGGGGGCCCTGAGCAGGCCTGGACTGGGCCCAATTATAACAGCTCCTTCCGAGTACTCCAAGCGCACGTTCTGAAGAGATCCGCAGCAATGTTATAGATTTGAAGCTTTCGTGACTGCAGGAATTACTCTTTGGTTCTTTCGGTAAAGTCACGTAGATTTAATTGATTTTCTTTCCACGTGACTTTACCGAAAGAACCAAAGAGTAGTAATATAGATATTGCACAAACTAAAAAAAACACCCCAATTTGGATGCTTTTATCAAAATGCACAATGGTGTTTTGAGTACAGCTTTTCGCTCATTATTCACGACGAGGGATACGTTCCAGAGATGCTTGTGAATAGCAAATATCGCGGTAAACGATATTGGCCTATGGTTATCATACACGCAACATCTGCAGACGCTTCTAAAACTTTGAGAAGTTCTCTCTCGCTCTCTCATCACTTTATCTCATCACTTTATCTCTTTCTCTCGATGCAGTAGTCGTGTAGAGTTCGAGATGCAATTCACGGATAGTCAAAATCGCGGATAGCGAGTTCGCAAATAACGAGGGAATACTGTACACATCATAACATAAATTACAACGTGCAAAACAAGCATGAACTATATGCCAAGAGGAAAGTTAAAAGATTACTTTTTTTTACATTGAAGTTTGTAAAATCACTTAAATAAACATGTCTTTCAAACCATACATTTGATGATGCTTCTTTTTGAAAGAATATCTATTTCAATCCAAATTTGACAAAGGGGGTGATGGGGCACTGCGTCGGAGTTTAAGATCTGCCGATGAGTTCCCCTGGGGCTCCATTCCGCAACAAAGTCGAACTTGAGAGATTTTATACCCATATATAATTAGTGTCGTGCTTTTTAAACCTGAGCAAATGTAGGGATGAAATGCAATGCTACTATGTTTGCTGCTGGCCAAAGGACATGGTTGGCCTTCCGATACATGTCACACAATATATCTGAATAGTTTAGCATAATCTATATATATAAAAGGGAAATTTGTGAATGTGCGTCTGTTCGAAATGTTTAGCATACTTCCCAAAATGCTACAAACTTGAAAATTGGCATGTGGGTAGCTTCCAGACTGTACACAATGCAAAAAGTATAAAAATAGACATTTATATTTTGGCGGGGGGGGCGCAATAATGGATATATTTTGCACGGCAAGTGAGCGATGACGTCACATCTGTGATGTCACCCGCATGCGGAAGCGTCACGCATCACCCACCCTCCGCGGAGGCCGTGTATTAATCCAAGACAAGAATCCAAGTCTCGGGTGAAGCCGGGTAGTAAAGCTAGTGTATTATATAAACATTAAGTATTGTTTGTGTGTGCGGACGATACACTGCACTTCAGGAGTATATGTAACACGATGGACACTTGAGACTTTTCCCATCGCGGGTTTTCTCATTGCGGATTTAACCAGCACGTGGAGCAAAACCTGGACGTCTTCTTCGTTCGTACGGCTGATGTAGATACAGAACGACTACAATTTCACATTCAGATGGTCAATCCAGACAACCACGTCAGGAGTAGCAGAGTTGTATCGCTGTGATGTCTCCTTCATATTTGTGGATCGGGCATTTGCATCGTTATGCGTTGTACGGTCTGTTCTGGATGACCTCGGTCGCACGCTGCTGCCACGGTTTGTGCAGCAGATGCGGTTTAGGATGGACCACGAAGCTGTCCAACGACCCGAATGCCACTGGGAAGCTGGGAACCTGCAAACCTCGAACGCTCAAGACGGGCGGAACATGAACTCGCTCGCGCATCCTCACTCGCTGAGGCTGGGCCAACAGCTCAGCCTCAATACCTCCGGGCGCCCTGCCAGCCCAGCGCCTCATCTCTTGGTCTTGGCGTGGCGCCCTCGGGAGACGCCTGCCCAGCCACGCGCTCAGCCGGCTCGATGTCAAGGTTGAGCCTGTCCGATCGATGGGGTCCGCCGCCCTCCATAGCTCTGGGGCTCATCCTCTCGAAGCTCTTATGAGGCCACACGCACGCAAACACAAACGCACGCAAACACATCCATAGGCAGAGTGAAAACCTATTTGAAAAAAAAATATTTCACCAGGTAAGGTCCATTGAGCTATACAGCTCTTTTTCAGAAGCGACCTTGCCAAAAAACGATAGCTCAACGAAGTGGCTTAGCATCATGTGGAAATCTATAGCAGCCAAATACTCCGAATGCACGTTTCTAAATGTTGAGAGAAAAACCAACAACGCGGAGAAAAATCCACGAAACCACGGGGAGAGAGACTTGCAAACTCCAAATATGCAGGCATCAGGGTCGGGATCGAAAACATGATCTCCTGTATACCAGGCGAGGCAGTTAACATCTTGCCGCTGCAGAGCACACACACAAACATACAGTGTTACCTCGGTATACGGCCGCTTTGGAATACGTCGAATTTGGTATACTGTACGTCGTGTTTTGACGAGAAAAAAATGTCTTGGGATAGGACGTCTTGCTTGGGATACGACGCGCTTGCTAGAACTTGTATGGGTCGGGATGAGTCACCGCGTGGCCGCGTAGACCCCGTTCGTTCGCGACTGAAACAAAGCGCCGCTCCTCAGTCTGCCTGTACAGTAGATCTCGTTCAGTGCACAACCCTTGCTGTAACTCTGTGAATTTTCACGTGGTGTTTTTTTGTCGTTTTAACGTGAATTTTTTGCGAATTCATTCAAGATGGGTCCTAAGAAAGTCAGTGAGAAAAGCCAAGCTACAAAGAGAATGGTTAGGATCACTTCCTGAAATTTTAATGGAAGGGGACTCTCCTTCCAAAAAATAACATCTCCTCCTCCCCTTCCTCACCACCATCGTCCTCTCAGCAAGGCAAAGTGACGTTACATTTTATTTTTATTTTCTATTTATGCATTTTAGTAATAAGTAGTGATCTAAATGATTTTATCCAACCCCATGAATGTATAATGTGCCATATAAAATATAATTTATTATACTCTGGAACGGATTATTTAATTTCCCTCTATTTCTTATGGGAAAAATTCGTTTGGTAATCGTCATTTTCGTATAAGTCCTCCTACCTTCTGGAACAAATTAACGACGTATACCGAGGTACCACTGTACCTCGTTGCCATTCGCACACACTACCGCCTAAAACATTGACGTTCAGTAAAAGATGCAGCCCTGCAATGGCCTTGTCGTGCCACTGCTGGCAGAAGGGTATTTTGGCCCACTCTTCCACAGTGGCCAGTGAAGCCATCTATACTGCTGGGTGATTGCCGATTCACACTACATTTCACCAGGCGCAAAGTCACGATCACCGTGCAACTATAAAGCCATGAAGGTTAAATGTTTGGCAAATTATAATGCTTTAACGTTGGAAACGTCAGACAAGGACTGAAGGCCAGTAGGTCACAAAACTCCAAAATTTAGGACAGGTGATCAGGGGATAGTGATGGCAGGAACAGTGGAAGGTGCTGAGGGACGAGAATGTTAACTACCTCGCCTGCTGTACAGGAGGTCGTGGGTTCGATCCCAACCCTGATGCCTGTTGTATATTTGGAGTTTGCGTGTCTGTCTCTCTCATCATCATCACAATGGCTAGGAGATGTTAACTACCTCGCCTGCTGTACAGGAGGTCGTGGGTTCGATCCCAACCCTGATGCCTGTTGTATATTTGGAGTTTGCGTGTCTGTCTCTCTCATCATCATCACGATGGCTAGGAGATGTTAACTACCTCGCCTGCTGTACAGGAGGTCGTGGGTTCGATCCCAACCCTGATGCCTGTTGTATATTTGGAGTTTGCGTGTCTGTCTCTCTCATCATCACGATGGCTAGGAGATGTTAACTACCTCGCCTGCTGTACAGGAGGTCGTGGGTTCGATCCCAACCCTGATGCCTGTTGTATATTTGGAGTTTGCGTGTCTCTCTCCCCGTGGTTGTGTGAAATTTTCTCCGGGTCCTCCAGTTTTTCTCTCCACATTTAGAAAAATGCGTTTGGATTATTTGGCTGCGATACATTGCCCACGTGACAAGCCACTTCGTTGAGCTATAATTTGTGGCCAGGTCGCTTCTGAAAAAGATATATACATCTCAGTGAGCATTATCTGGTAAAATAATCAAACAATTTTTGTCTGAATGGACATCAGACATCAAATGCTGGACGGGATGGAAGCTCTTCTTTGGTTCTTTCGGTAAAGTCACGTAGAATGAGAATAAAATAATAAATTGATAAAATAAAATAACACAATAATATTCTCACGACGTTTCGGCCACAACACAAGCGGCCTTCATCAGGTGAAGGGACGAGACTGTCTGGTAGGACAGCGCTGGAGTGAAAGAGCCACGTTCAGATCACGGCCTTTAAGCCTCAGGCTTGTGGCCGAAACGTCGTGAGAATATTATTGTGTTATTTTATTTTATCAATTTATTATTTTATTCTCATTCTACGTGACTTTACCGAAAGAACCAAAGAAGATGAATCATTGCAGTCACGAAAGCTTTAAATCGGGATGGAAGCTGTCTGCGTTGAAAGACGCAGCAACACACAGAGGCCACTGGCTATTAGGAAGCTACTGGAGTTATGCACTTTTAAATCTAGTTTTAAAACTAATTTCTTTCGTACTGCTTTTTGCATTCAGTTTTTGTTGTCCTTCCCCTGCACCTTCGATTGGCGCGGCACGAAAGAAGTTCAACATGCATACGTACAAGTTAATGTCTTGACACTTTTTAAATCGAACTGGAACCTCAGACGGATTAAGCCAGAGTTGCGCATTATCGTCGAACAGACCAGTAAGTATGCGGACCTCTTGCATATGTAGTGAGTTCAACTGAGTCGCAGACGTTGTCTTGGGAGCAACACTATTTATCACACCAACTCAACACAACATAACGTAACCTACACTCGGGTGGTGACCACCCAACTAACCACGCTACGGCAGAGCTAGACACGGTCCCGCTATCCCGGTCCGGACCACGAGCTGGGTCCCGGACGGCGTGGCTAGAGGCTTCTTCAACCCGACGTGGATCTTCACTCACCAACAGTCAAGAACCCCGAGCCCCACACGGGGGCCCCCGTTATATCGGCCCGGGCTGGGGCTGGCTCCGCCTCTCGCCCCCCCCCCCCACCTTCTAGATCACTCGAGCTCTTTCCCGAAAGCTCCCCAGAGCTCCTCTATACCACGTGACCACCCAGCGGCCCACGTCCACCGGTGGCCCCCCTCCAATATCATCCAGTCACATGTCGGCAGGTCAACCAGCGTATCATGCCCCAACGTAACCCTGTCTGGCTGACGCTCCCTCTCGCTCCCTCACCGGGAGCCCGCACCGCACGCTGTACGCGGTGCCTCGGCGCTGACCAGCGCTCACCCAAGCCCCGCTAGGGCCGGTACTACGCCCAGCAAGCGGGCTACACATAATAACACATTATCTGCCGTGGCCTCGCAAGCCCGGCATCCACACAGTGACATTCACAGTCACTACACATACATTACTGTACATAGAGAGAAGCGGTGACGCAGCAAGGAGACATCAGTGAAGAACACGGCTCTGGTGGGTGTGGGGTGGCTTCTTACGAGGACCTGCTGGCGTAGCTTCGCGTTTTCCTCTTGCAGCTTCTGGATAGACGCCTGCGCCCTCTCGCGGTCGTTCCTCTCCGACCTGAAGTCCTCTTGGTATATGATCATCTGTTCTCACGGTCAGCACGCGGGGCAGGCAGAGGTGGTCGTCATCATCATCGTCATCCAGAAGGTTTTTTTTTTGTTGGGTTAAATCGCTTAAATATAGATGTGTCGTTAAACCTGCCACGAACTGACATGGTTAATTAGTAAGTTGCGGTGGTTCTCTTGCGTTGACGCGCTTGCCTCTCACAGCGCAGTTGGCGGCTTGTGTTACACATAGACATGACATTAACTTGCCAATCTCCCTAATCTCTCTGCCTAATCTCTGCCATTAACACTGCTGCTGTGCGCATATGCGGCGACGGTGCTCTTACGCGGCGACGGAAGCTCATTTACTTTGAAATGCTAATCTCTCTCCCTAATCTCCCCCATTAACACAACTGATGTGCTTGCGTGCGGGGATGGGACTCCTTTCCAGCTCGGACCCCGCCTGCTTGCCCTTGGCCAACATCTATAACCTCTTGTTGTAGCAGCTCTCTCGCCGTGTTCTTCCTGGTTCAGCAGTTCCACTGCTGGATTATTTTTTCCGCCCGAGGACGATCGCTTGTGTTGCGATCGAAACGTCGTGATAGTGTACACACTGCATTCCGTGTGGCCACTGTAACCCGGCTTGTTGCATCAAAACAGAGGAAATTACATGAGCCCTCCATTGTGCTTTTCCATTGTGCCGTGCGTTGTCCGGCGTTTCGCTCCACGTGTTGAAGCAGCCGCCGGCACGTGGAGCGAAACGTTGGACAACGTGCCAAACAGGCGGGACGACTTGAAAACACATCGGCGAGCTACGCAGCAGCAGCGCAACCACAGATAACCTACACAACCACGGATAACCTACACAACCACGGATAACCTACACAACCACGGATAACCTACACAACCACGGATAACCTACACAACCACGGATAACCTACACAACCACGGATAACCCTACACAACCACGGATAACCCTACACAACCACGGATAACCTACACAACCACGGATAACCTACACAACCACGGATAACCTACACAACCACGGATAACCTACACAACCACCGATAACCTACACAACCACCGATAACCTACACAAGCACAGATAACCCTACACAACCACAGATAACCCTACACAACCACGGATAACCTACACAACCACGGATAACCTACACAACCACGGAAAACCTACACAACCACGGAAAACCTACACAAGCACAGATAACCTACACAACCACGGATAACCTACACAACCACGGATAACCTACACAAGCACAGATAACCTACACAACCACGGATAACCCTACACAACCACGGATAACCCTACGCAACCACGGATAACCCTACACAACCACGGATAACCCTACGCAACCACGGATAACCCTACACAACCACGGATAACCCTACGCAACCACGGATAACCTACACAACCACGGATAACCTACACAAGCACAGATAACCTACACAACCACGGATAACCCTACACAACCACGGATAACCTACACAACCACGGATAACCTACACAACCACGGATAACCCTACGCAACCACGGATAACCCTACACAACCACGGATAACCCTACGCAACCACGGATAACCTACACAACCACGGATAACCTACACAACCACGGATAACCTACACAAGCACAGATAACCTACACAACCACGGAAAACCCTACACAACCACGGGTAACCCTACGCAACCACGGATAACCTACACAACCACGGATAACCTACGCAACCACGGATAACCTACACAACCACGGATAACCCTACGCAACCACGGAAAACCTACACAACCACGGATAACCTACACAACCACGGATAACCCTACACAAGCACAGATAACCTAAGCAATTACAGCACATTCATCAAAACGAGCACCACTATCATCGTTGATCGCGAATGCTCCAGCTACGAGGATCACTCACCTGCTGCTTCAGCAAGTCGATGTTTTCCTTGTAATCTTTTGAAGACTTGCGCTCATCCGCGCGCTCCACCTCGACTTGCCGCAATATTGCGTGCAGCTCCCTGTGAGCAGCCTCCTTCCTGTGCAGCTCCGCCTGCAGCCCGGCGATCTTATTCTCCTGGGATCCCACGAAGGCCCTCAGCGAGGCCAGCTCCTCCACATCCTGGCCTCCGAGAATCTCCTCCAGCATGCCCTTCAGTCTCGCCACCTCCGCCCGCAGAGCGTTCAGCTCCTCCACGTCGAAGTGCCGCTGCAGGGCGTCCCCGCAGCGCACGGACGTCGCCTCCCCGGGGTTTCGCCGCTGGCTCGAGTCCGGAGCCTCCACCGGCACGGCCCTGGCGTGATCCGGCCGGCGCCAAGACCGCGAGGCGGGCGAGCGTCCCGTCCCCCACACGGCTCCGGACGGCGCTGCGGAGGCCGCCGGTTCGCCGCCGTGCCGCGAGTCCGCGGGGTCGCTCGAGGCCGCCGCGCCGCCGCCCTCGCCGGACGCGGCGGCGAGTTGGCCGTGCAGCCCCAAGACCTGCGACTGGAGGCTCTGAATGCACTCCTGCAGCGAGGCTTCGTAATGTCTCCAGCGCACGTTCTCCTCCCGCTCCTGGCTCCGGGGCAGCGTGGGCCGTGTGGCGGTACAAAAAGACGCGTTGGCAAAAGTAACGAAGAACTTCTTAACGACAACGTGCCAAGCGTTGGCAGAGAGTATGCAGAGGAGTAAAATATTTAAATCGGACATGAATACAATGTTTTATCTTAAATGTGTACCTAAACTATTTTTATTTTACCAGGTAAGGCCCACTGAGCTATGAAGCTCTTTTTCAGAAGCGACCTGGCCACAAAGGATAGCTCAAGGAAGTGGCTGATCACGTGGAAATGTACAGCAGCCAAATACTCTAAACACGTGGCAATGTTGATTCTAAAATGCGGAGGGAAAAACCGGATGACCCAAGAAAAAAAACACGCAACCACGGGGAGAACACGCAAACTCCAAATATACAGCAGCAGGCGTCAGGGTCGGGACCGAACCCACGACCTCCTGCATACCAGGCGAGGTAGTGAACATCTCGCCACCTCAGCACCCCTGTAACGTAACAATCAATCTAGCGCATGCACGCGAGCCAATTTCATCGCTCCGTCATCTCCACGTCCTATTGGACGCGATCGCTCAATCTCAACCACCGGCCTTCGTCTCTCTCGGCGACAATGACCTGTAAAAGTCCCCGCTCGCACCTCGTCCGCAAGACCTGCGTCGTCAATCCCTGTGCGCGGAACATCTCCCGCGGAGCTGCACGCACACTGCAGTGTTCACCGAGGCCTCCTCACGTAGCCCTGTAAGGTTTTCAACTCGGCACCCCGGCAAGCTGAGGGTGGGCGTCATGCGCCGCGGCGTTTTGTGCTTACGTGACTCAGGTCGCTGCGCAGTTTTTCGTTCTCCTCTTCCAGTCGAGCCAATCGCTGCAACGCCTTTTGCTGACGGTCCGCTTCACCTGACCACTCCTGTCTCACGCAAGCACGCACACAGGGCTCCCGTTTAACCTTGATTTGACTAATGACAAACAGAGTATCAGCAAGGCCGCGGGTGGAAGTCAAGGCTGAAGGTGGGCAAGCCTTTTGCTGCCGGTCCACTTCCCTTGACAACTCCTGTCTCACGCACGCACAAGGCTCCGGTTTCACCCCCGATTAGACTCTTAATGACAAACACCATCAGCAAGGCCGCGGGTGGAAGTCAAGGCGAACGTGGGTATGCGAGTAACCGCTTTTGTTTTATTGCACTTGTGCAAAGACCGGTTTTCCACGCGAGGCCCCACCGCTCCTGTTGGTTTCTGCAAACCTGCGAACACAGTAGCAACGGCAAAATCTTGTTAAATATTTGATTCGAAATTGAAAGTACATTTTTACGCAAACTACTGTTGTTTCCATGCTAGGCCACGTTTAGAGAGTATCCTCTCACAATCTTTCACCACGCACTGCCGAATGAGATGAAGATGTCCGCAGCAGTGCGTGGTAAAAACTAAGCGTTAAATACTTGCTCATCGTTTCAACTGCCGTGCTGGGAGAACAAACTTAAACTTTTTTTTTCCAGGTAAAGCCCACGGAGCTATGCAGCTCTTTTTCAGAAGCGATCTGGCCACAAATGATAGCTCGTTCGAAGTGGCTTAGCATCACGTGGAAATAGCAGTGTTTCTTAAATGTGGAGGGAAAAACCGGAGGACCCGGGGAAAAATGCACACGACGACACGGAGAAAAGGCAAACTTCAAATATACAACAGGCGTCAGGGTCGGGATCGAACCCACAACCTCCTGCATACCAGGCGAGGGAGTTAACATCTCGTCCCCTAAACCTGCAACCTCTAGATTGCAAGTCCAGTGTGCTCACCAGTCCATCGTGAAATCTAACCAGCGACCCTATGAATTACAAGTCCAGTACAAGCAGAATCAAAATCTTTATTTATCCTGAGGAAATCCGATGAGCTATGAAGCTCTTTTTCCAAACATGTCTAGTAGGGGCGGGGTCAAAAAGTTACAAAAGCGCTCACCGTTGCACCATGGCAGGACCGTACATTACTGTAGAGTCGGGCAACCAAAATAACAAGGATTTTTTTGTTCAAATTCGGTATACATGTCAAGAATATTTCAAGGGCCGCAATGCAATGTACATATGAGACGGTGCTCCTTCTAAAATAACGTCACGAAGCAGCCGGTGAAGAGGCGGCACGCGGCATTCCGGAGCCGCAGGTCGCCAAAGCGCCGCATCGACGCAAGACAACTTACGGCAGGCATCGCGCGCTGACGATCGCCGCGTTGGGCACAACGGGGGGGGGGGGGGGCGGTTATTATACCTCCTTAACGGCGTCCCGAACTCTCGTGCTGCCCGGCCCGTCCTGCCGAAGCCTGCGGCTGAGCTGTTGGCACATCTCGGTGGCAGCAGCGAGACGCACGCGCAGCTCGTGAGCGGGCACGTCACCGCGCTCCCTGGTGGCCCCATCGCCCGGCGGGTCCTCGCCCGCCCCGTCCTTCAACGCCTCGGCCCGCTCGGCTTCCTTCTCCGACAGAGACCGCTCCAGCACCAGGATCACATCCAACAGCTGTACAGGTATAAGCACGCGCGCGCGCGCACACACGCACGTGAAAATGAAGACAAGGAGACCAAAAGAACACCAACACAATCACAAATAGATTTAGTATCATTTACAGCCCCTTGTCAATGCATGAACTGTAATGAAGGCCTCCCCCACGCCCTGTTGGTCATGGAGGCTGTTTGACCATACTTCACCACGCCGGTCAGCACGGGTTGGTGAAGGTGGGGGCCCCGAACCGATTCAGATAATCACTTGTTACCGATCATAATTATCATCCGGGCTCAGAAATCAAACTCTTAGTGCAATGTGGATACTTGCCCCCAAATCATAAACACACGGGTAACAATATACACTTCTATCTTTATTCATCTGGTTAGAATATTGCTGCAAATGTGCTCGTAAGCACCTGTGACGATCAGTAAAGCATATATTTTATCTCCTCGTAAAATAAATTATACTCATAATAAAGGTTTTTGGGTTAGATCGCGATCTAACCCAAAAACCTTTATTATGAATAATATTGGTCGCGAAAGCCTACATGATAAATTATACTACAACAACAATAATTGGTAGAGCCAGCAGTCAACATTGTCACACTATTTCGTTTTCCCAGCAACGGTGATATTGGCACCACCATGCCAAGCAGTCATTTCACACTTCAGTGACCCCACGGTACGCTGCCACAATGTGAACTCTCAGCTGGAATAAGCGATGGGGTGGCTGCCATGACCGATGAGGGGTAAACATAGAACATTCCCTTGGTGAGAGACATTCTCCCCAGAGAGTAATTGAGACTTTCCACAAAACGGGACTAATTTGGCATCCGATGGCTTGACCTCGTCACGAACGTCAACGTTGCATCTGCGACCGGTCCTCCTCGCGATCAAGAGCTTAGTCAGAGAGGGAGACAGCCGTCACTTTGTGGACACGTCGCCCCGCCTTGACGCGCAAGCTCCAGCAGATTGCGCACTTCAGTCGGCGGTCGACGTTCCAAGTGGACTGAGACCTTCAAAGGAGTGGTGCCACCCTCCCCATGGTCGCGACCCCCCCCCCGCGGGTCAAACAAATCACTCGAGATACGCCGATACATGGCAGCCAAGAGCTGTTTATGCGAATGCTGTCACATTTGACGCAACGCGCTCCTTCGCCGACTGTGCATGACAAACGAGTGCCAATTTTACGAACCCTGGAGGGACAACAATGGCCTTCAGTCGTACCCCAGGTAGGATTTCAGCTCGCAACCATCTGACAAGAAACTTGGCCCATCATTGGAACAGCCACGCTTGGGAGATCGAGCAAACAACCGCTGGACTGCAAGTCCGACGCGCCAATCGCCATTACACGCTGGCAACTTCCCTTTACGTGCGTGCGGGATAAGTTTTGGCACAACGTGCTGTATATATGAAAGTCACGCAGACTGATGTGGTTTTCATCCCGTGAACACTTCATTTCTGGTGTCATATATGTGGCCCAGGTCACTCTTGCAAATGACTCATCCTGATCTCTCTTGAGTTCGCACCTTGGTTAAAAACAAACCAACTTGAAGCTGTCCTATCATAACACTCGTTAAACAAAACACTTTCTTGCTCCACAATTGAGTTGAAAATGGGAGCATTAATTCAAAAATGCAAGTTGTTGCTTGGGAGTAATCGCTCTGGGATCAATTGAACGATCCGTACGACACGCCGCTTTAAAATCGGCATCCCCAGAGGGAAGAATACTTGATTTGCACACACAATGCAGCGTAAATCGGCACTCACGATACACCAGGGTCCACGCATAACAAGTGGTACAGAGACCGCAAATTATTGAAATCACGTGACCGTGCGATGTCAGTTCAAGGTCGCAGCGAACGGGCGTGGACACGATGATGTGCGCTGTTGTTTTCTAGTTGTGTCCCTTCCACAGGTTCTAGTTCCCTTAGCAAACCTGTGCACGACTTTTGTTTTGTTCATGAATAACTCGGTTCAACTTTAGGGCTTCTTTATACAGTTCTTCAATCACTTACCGAAGCTTTCCATTGGATGCCACGACAACTATATCGTAAACATGTTAAATGCTCAAGCTTGCTACATCCATGTGTTTATTTCGACTAATATATTACACTGCTGTAAAATAAACCTCGGCACCAGTGCATCTCCCAGCTTGCAATTGCATTGTGTGGTAATGGTGGTTCCTGAGTTGCACATAAGTTGCGATACGAGTTTTTCAAATGAAGTCATCGATGTGTGACAGTTTAGATCTTCGATGTGTGACACACGCATCCATTTTTCAGTGAACTAAATATATTTACTCCGCTTTCAAGCAACGATCCGCTACTTACGTTCGTTAGCCAACATTGCCTTACGTTGCCCTTCCCCCCGCACCTGCGATTAGCACGTTTGGCTACATACGGTGCAATAGAAGTTCAGCACACGTACGTAACATATGCCCTAACGCAATCAGCTGTCGTAGTCAGCACGGGACCGTCAGGTCACTCACTGACCTCGTGACACCACACACCCGGCAGCACCACGTTTTGGACGCCGACTAGCTACCACCCACCATCCCAAATCCTGAACGTGCATCTGAATTGCTCACATGCGGACGCCTCTGCGACAAGTTGCGAGCGGTTGCCCAACCGGTTGCTCACAGCAGAGGCATACTCCACCTTCAAGCAACGATCCGCTCAGCGATTTCTCGTGATGGACTTCATCGCGTTGCGCATTTGTGAACTGTGATTGGTTGTTGCAATCCTGAACGCGCCGTTTAATTCGGCCGCTGAGCAACTACCCGCTCAGATGTGGTGGACAAAGCAGTCGCAGGTGGTCGAGTTGCGTGATTTCGAGAGCGATTTGGTTGTCCAACAGATTTCTCAGGTCACCCAGCTCTATGCTGACAGACAAGCCACACACCCACACACAATCACACACACAATCACACCCAGACACAATGACAACCACACACATCACACTCATATAACAGCCGCCATTCGGTAATAAGTGGCTAGGTGCACTTTGAGGCCAATGTGTCGAAGGACCTTGTCGCTGATAGGTCACGAGGCGGACCCAGCTGTTATGGGATGACTGACACCCAGGCATCACACACACATCACATCACACCCACAAACCAACACACAAACAAGACTGAACCTGCAAAACGGAACCAAAACTCCTCAAATGCATCCCATGCAGGCCGTTGTTTGCATGAAAGCCATTTAACACGCAGTAGTAGGTTTTCGCGACCAATATTATCCATAATAAAGGGGTTTTTGTTTGTTTGTTCGATCGCGTAAATATGTCATTAATGTAGTCATACGCGATGCTACAAAAACACTTTATTATGGATAAAAAACTATTATCACCACTTGATGACTGCAGTAATTACTCGTTGGTTCTTTCGGTAAAGTCAAGCAGAAAGAAAATAAATTAAATAATAGAATACGACGTTTCGATTGCAACACAAGCAACCATCATCAGGTAAGAACCAATGAGAAAACAAACCGAGTAAACCTAGAAATATAATGCAACACAACACAGAGAGTCGGTCAACACAACAGTCAACACCCCACCAGGTTGATTACGTTCTTACAAAGATTGCTAAATTTGAGAGAAAGACAAAACACAGACACGGAGACACACACAGACAGACACACATGCAGAGAGAGACAACACAGGGACAAACAAAGAGAGAGACACACAACATAGACACACAGACACGCATGCAGAGAGACACACAGAGACACAGAGAGAGAGAGAGACAACATAGACACACAGACACAAGCAGAGAGAGACACACAAGCAGAGAGAGACACACAACATAGACACACAGACACACAAGCAAAGAGAGACAACACAGAGACAAACAGAGAGAGACACACAACATAGACACACAGACAGACACACAAGCAGAGAGAGACAGAGAGAGAGAGACACACACAGAGAGATGCACAGAGAGACACACAGAGAGACGCACAGAGAGACACACAGACACAGATAGAGACACACACATAGACAAACAGAAAGACAACGCCTCTGTGTCGAGGCCTTAAATAGAGAGGGGGGGGGGGCAGAGAGTGAGGGGGGAGGTAGAGAACAATGAGAGATATTCTTAGTTCTTTCGGTAAAGTCACGTTGAAGGGAAACAACAAAATAATAAAATATATAATATATATTTTTAAATAAAATAATAAAATATATAATATATTTTTATTATTTAGTTGTTTCCCTTCAACGTGACTTTACCGAAAGAACTAAGAATATGAATTACTGCAGTCACGAAAGCTTTAAATCAACAATGAGAGAGTTGTGTGGAATTCCTGCCCATAGCGGCCGGAGGAGAGACAATGGACTTATAAACAAAGCATTGTTCCGTGCAATGTTTACACACCGCACCAGATACTCATTTGAGGCTGAGTCGACCTAGGGGAGGCCCAGGACCAGTTCAAATAATCGTCACTGTGGTGTTGGCCGTGAGTGGGAATCGAACTCGGGTAGCCGGATTCGTAGCACAGCGAAGCGCTAACCACTACACCACCGCTCCCTTAGGGGCAGATGCTCAAAGATATACATAAGAGAACCAGACTCAGAGATACATGAAAGGGGCCGTCCATAAATGACGTCACGCGATTTTGGACGATTTTTGACCCCCCCCCCTCGTCACATGGCGTCACAAAAAGTCAGACCCCCCCCCTTAAATATGACGTCACAAAGCTCTGCCCCCCCCCCCCCCCCCCCCCAAATAAAACACGCTTCAAATCGCTTTAAACTATTGTCATTGTGGTGCGTATTTAATGTGGCGCTGCACTCTGATGTTGTAGGAGAACACATTTATTAAAAAGTCTATTTAATTAAGTAGAACGTGTTGTCTATATTTATTTAAAGTTGCTCATTTTGACGTGACGTCACATTTCTCAAACCCCCTCCTCCTCCTCCCTATCGTCACACATAGTAACGTCATTTATGGACGACCCCAAAGACAAGCCACAGTTGGGGCGATTGTGGCCACGCAAAACCCCAAACTATGTACCGTCATGTTCAGTACATCTAAGGATGCACAAACTGTACGTAGGTAAACACAGAGGCACAAACTCAAATGTAAAGAAGAGACAGGTGACGGTACAAGAATGGATCGTGAGATCGGATGGAGAGTCTTCATCCAGCAGTGGAGGGAGCGGTGGTGCAGCGGTTAGCGCTACGAAACCGGCGACCCGGGTTCGATTCCCGCTCACGGCCAACACCGCAGTGACGATTATCTGTACCGGTCCTGGGCCTCCCCTAGGTCGACTCAGCCTCAAATGAGTACCTGGTGCGGTGTGTAGTAAACATCGCCACTGGGGAGACAAAGGCGGTCGGGCGTGGTGCTGGCCACCCACCCCTCGTGTGCCGTGCCGGCCTTCATAGGTGCTGCTCGCTAACAGCACTTGCCCCAAGTCTGTTAAGGCTACACGGGGGATCTTTGTCTTTGTGTGACGAGGACACCACGCCGAGTGGTCGCCTTGAGTGAGGACCCCCGTCGTGATACCTGGGTTCATCAATAATGTCTGAATTGGTCTGTAATAAGGCACTGACCAGGGGGTGACAGGTATTCCCTACACACTCCTATATCCGACTGCACACGACATTATAATTGCCGTCAACCCATACGGTTTACCCCATAATCTTGTACAGAGAAATTTACTTGTCAGGTCCATACGGCAAAAAAAAAACCGCGTGTCTATTTGTTTGTGTTTCTCCCCTGTGATGGGACTTTGTAAGATGAATGTTGAGGTTTATAAGGGCACGGGGTGACCGCTAAGGCCTGAATTGGTCTGTAATAAGGTAAGGGGTTGATAAGGAGTTGACTTGCTGGGGTATGCTGCTGTCAAACCCCCAATGGTTTAAAATGTGTGGTGGGATCCTCGTCCCAGCGGTGATGTCTTGTCGGCGAAAGAGCCTCCCCCTCCTCCACCCCAACTCTCTCTTTCTGAACACGAGAGAGAGAGCACAAGGATACTGCACACTACACGTTTAAAATTCACAAAACACCGCACACACCACCATCACCACCAACACCATCATCATCACCAGCAATACCAACATCATCACCACCAGCACCACCATCGGTATAAACTCCCCAACCAACAGCTCGCCGGCCTCCCCAAGTGCGCTGGAACCTCTTGCGAGGCAAGCGACCAGCGTGGGGAAGAGGAGACCAAAGTAGCCCCCGCACTCGGGAACCCTCTGAGCGGGGACTCCCCCGCAGCCTCCCGCTGGCGGCTGCGCCCGTGCCTGGACGAACGAGGAGGAGGAAGAGGAGGAAGAGGGGGAGGAAGAGGAGGAGGAAGAGGTAGAGGAGGTGGAGGAAGACGAGGAAGAGGAGGAGGAAGAGGTGGAGGAGGAGGTGGAAGAGGAGGAGGAAGAGGAGGTGGAGGAAGAGGAGGAAGAGGAGGAGGAGGCCTCCCACCTCGTCAGCCCCGCGTGGTTTCCCCGCGGCTCACCTCGTCGGGGCCGAGGCCCGTGGACAGCTCCCGGTCCCAGCCCCCGCGCTCCCTCGGCGCGCCCAGGCGCGAACTCAGCCGCGCCACCTCCAGGGCGAGGCTCTCCACCAGGGGACGACCGCCCGGCACGGTGAACACCACCGGCGGGTCTCCTCCTGCCCACCGCCCACCGCCTGCGCCGTCACCGCCACCGCTGCCGCCGTCGGTGGTGGTGGTGACGGTGACGGCCTCTCCTCCTCCTCCTCCTCCTCCACCACCACCGCCGGCGGCTGCTGCTACCGCGGCGGGGGAGGCTGCGGCTGCGTCCAGGCTGAGCCGGCAGGGCTCGTAGCGAGCGAGCCGCGACTGGGCGGCCCGCAGCTCGAGCTGGGCCCGGGCGAGTCGCTCCTGCAGGAGGCCCGACTCGGTGCGGGCCTCGTGCAGCAGCACGTTGAGGGTCTCGTAGCCGCGCAGGCTCGCCGACAGCTTGCCGGCCTGCTGCTGCTGCCTCCTCCTCGGGGCAGACTCGGCCGCCACGTCGCCCATCGCACCCACCCACACACACACCCACAGCACGTAGGATGACGAGGATGTCGCTCCCTCCCGGCTACAGGACGGAGATATTATTCCCCGCGCAAGATTCTCGCTCCCCGCTGTCTATCGCCGCCGCCCCAACCCCGCAGCCTAAACTTTAAAACCGCCGCTTAAAAAGTCACACCGTCACCACCGCCACCAGCAACAACATCAGTAGTAGTAGTAGAAGACGTTGTAGTAGAAGCTGGTGTTCGTTGTCGCGGCGTGCCCATCGATCGGAGAGCCGAGGGCCCCCCACAGACGTTGATCTTCTTCGTCCGGCAAGTGTCCTGCGTGATGCGAGCGCAGCGCGATATCCACGAGAAGCCTCCTCCTTCCTCCCTTCCTTCGTCGACCACAAGAGCGAGAGGGGGCTGCTGGTGGCCTCAGAGCGACAGAGACGAGTGAGGCAAGGAGTCAAGGAGTCGCCACGTTCTGCAGCCGCTAGGTGTCGCTACATCAAACCTGGCCACCACGAATTGTGCGGCGCTTTAAAAAATTTTTTAACTGCCCCAACCACGCGCCCGGTCTGCCGCTGAAGTTGTTTGCGTGACAAATCTTACTAAGTGGCTGTCCAACGAAACTTTTGTATTTACGCGATCTAACCCAAACTACCTTTATTATGGATAAGCCTTCGTGTTATACTGCCAAGGGAGTCAGACCCCCCCCTTAAATATGACGTCACAAAGCTCTGCCCCCCCCCAAAAAATAAAAAAACGTTTCAAATCGCTTTAAACTATTGTCATTGTAGTGCGTATTTAATGTGGCGCTGGACTCTGATGTTGTAGGAGAAAACATTTATTAAAAAGTATATTTAATTAAGTAGAACGTGTTATCTATACAGTATTTATTTAAAGTTGCGCATTTTGATGTGACGTCACATTTCTCAAACCCCCCCACTCGTCACACATCGTCACAAATGTCTGACCCCCCCCCCCCCCCCCCCCAGGTGCGTGACGTCATTTATGGACGGCCCCCAATACGACAGTTTACAATTGTTAACAATACTTTCATTATTGATTTAATGCTTTCGTGACTGCAGGGATTCATATTCTTGGTTCTTTCGGTAAAGTATTGTTTCCCTTCTACGTGACTTTACCGAAAGAACCAAGAATATGAATACTTTCATTGTATATTCATTCATGCCAACAGCATCCTACAACGCTGTACATTAATCATATATAAGGACAAAATCCCATATATGCGGTTGGCTACGTACGGCGTGAAAGAATTTCAACACACACCAAGCAAATGAAAAGCCTACTACCAAACAAAATATATTTTTTTATATAAATATAGAAATAGCACCAAAACAAAATAAGTTATCACAGAAAATGAGTTCATTCTAGATTACAATCCCAGCTTCCCAACCAATGGGAAATAAGAATATATCGTCAGCTGAGATTTCTTAATTGCACATCATGTCATTAAACAATAGTGACTGACTGTGACACGCCGTGAACTGATGATACGGGATGCTCGATACGCACCTGGAAATCGCTCCTAATTCTGAACGATGTCCCAGAGAATCGCTACAATTTGTGCCGAACCGTTACGGCGGATTAACAAAATGCTGTCGCCCGGGGAAAGCCCACAAAGGTCACAAAATCTAGGATGCAAATTCGCTCAGAATATCCATACTGCAGGGGAAAAATAGTGACATCACCAGAGGGAGAAACCCCAGAGAAGTCGTGCCCACAGCAGTCGAGTTACAGCAGTGGTCAAGACGGCGTGCGATTTGACGCCCACAAAAAAATCCCCATAAAAGTTCGAGTTTAATAGGCCACGTGACAGGGTCCCCCTGGCCTGAGCCAGGTATTTACAATCGCACGCAGTTGTGCACTAAATCGTGACTAACATTTTTTTTAACGCGTTCCTGTGCAGTGTTGAAAGTTTTTTTTCTCAAGTCCAGGATGCTTTTCTCGTATATTCAAATTCTCTCTTTTATATTCACTGTCTGGAGGTTTTGTGACCATGCTGATGATCGGTGCACATTTGCATGAAGAAAAATCTCAATCGTTTCTGGTATATCTACACAAGATTTGCATTCGTGTAAGGGCATATCAGACATAAAGGGTGCATTAAATTCGTGTAAAGGTATAGCTGAAATGAATTACAAAATTCAAGTACACCACCACAAACATCACCATTGTTTGTCAGACGAGGTGCCCTCGGAGACCACGTGAAGTGTTGAAGGCTTGCAGGCAGTTAATGGGCACAACGAAATGTGTTTCCCGACACACAATATGCTCCAGCAACCAAGGATTTGTAATCCCCTAGTTAACATTCGCTCATATGCTCCAATATTATTAAACTTATACCCGTCAAACCATACGGTTTACCCATATCCTTGTACATGGAAATTTAGTTTTCAGGTCCATACGGCGTACAGCCGTTTCAATACGGGCAAAAAAAGTTTTTGTCTGTGTTTCTCACGGATGAGACTTTGTTGAATGAAGGTCTGAATCGGTCTGTAATAAGTGAGGCACTGATAAGGGGTTGACAGGTATGGAAACTCTCCCCAACCATCCACTGTAAACTCCATGGCCCTGTTCGTGCCCAGGTACTAGATATTTTTTTTTATTTTGCCTATGGCTCCCCCGTCATAAGCCAGCAGTTTCTGTCCTGTGTCTTGAGATGCAGTTGTGTTTAGATGTTGTACAATATTATGAACGTGCGTATGTTTCATGATGCCGGGGCATAAATGTGGGAAGTCTCTTTTTTCCAGGGCATCTCATAACCTGGTTAAACCCAGGATGGGCATGACAGCCTGAATGTTTCAAACAGACAATATAAAAACCCGCACACAACTCGGAAACACATCTGGCCATAATTTAATGGACCAACCATGAACCCAAAGCCTGGAAGTTAGCCTTGGTGTTAAGATTATGGGTATTCAATGGGAGTCTGAAAGGGATTTTTGAAGCTAAAGGTGGAGCAATATAGTGGAGTGGCCATGGATATTGCACATACAGGTAGTGGTACATTCCCACGTGAGTTTAATTGTTCAATAATGGCTTTCTCACGGGCCCAGGTTTTTGGGAGGCAGCGCAGACGTTCGTTGAGGTTTTAGTAGGCAACCCAAGGGGCAATGGGATATTTGTAAAATAATAAAGATGCTTTTTAATTATATACGTCATCCAGTGTGAAGGATGGGTGGATAGCTGTGCATAGGCTCTGCGATATTTTCAGTCCAGTCCCCAGTTAAGCATTTCTATTCGTGAATGTAGTTGTATGGTGAACTTCTTTCGCACCATACATATTCAACCGCTTTAAGCTAAGGTGCGGGGGAAGGACAGCAAACTAAACACAAAAAGCAGTTCTATAGAAATTCGTTTTCAATCGAGATGATTTAAAAGTGCATAGCTCCAGTGGCTTCCTAATATCAGCGCGTTCCAGATAGCCGCAGAAGCACATCTGTGGTGTTTTCGTATATTAAATACAGTACGCATTGCAAAACAAAATCACCCTTCTTTAAAGGACAATACAAATCAATTACATAAAACAGTAATTGAAAAAAAACAAATGAAATACGCATATTTGTAAAAACTGCATTTCATTTTTGAATGCATTATCCTAATGTTCAGAATACTCATCAGCTCTTTTAAACACACACCTCCATGTGATTACATAATCCAATTTTACTACGAGGCTGTTTTTATACCATGACAGAACATTATTCATCTTGTGGTTGTAACACCCAGATGCTAAAGAGACAAAAGTGATCAAAGATTAATAAATCATTTATTCCAACTTGCCACAGTACAACCAATGTAAGGATTGTTATATATTCGTAAAAAGTTCACATTCAAACTTTATTTCAGGGGTAAAGTGGAGCGTACATCAAGGACATTTTTGGTTTGAATTTGGCACAAGACTGTTGCCACTTGGATTTATGACTCGATAACCATCTGAGTGTCAGGTTACATCCTTGAATGTCTGGATTGTAAGTTGGCTATCTGGCTTGATTTTTAATCGGTGAGCTGACAAGCTAGCTGGTTACGATGACTCACAGCCAGTCTGTAAAGGACTTTCCACTCATAACTTGCAGGTTTCCTGATGTTTATTTTCCTGGCCAAGACAGAGTGGTTTATTCTGCATGGCTGGCTGATTTATTGGCTTGGTCAGCGATATTTAAAAATCTGGTTGAAAAGATATTGGTTGGGATGACTCACTGCCTGCTGGATTAGACGATTGTCCAGACGGGTGTTTTTTTTGTATACGCCTCGAGTGAAATCTAAAAAGGCTTCGTCTCTTTAAGTAACCATTTTAAGGCATCCTCTCGGCCCTGCTTCTTCAGCTCAGCCCCCACCACCTCCTGGCAGTGTTCGTGGTACTTGTTCACCCAGGAGATCTGTGGACACAACGGTAGAAACGTCACCGTTTACAATAGAACACGAACCACGTAGAGTGGAGGCACAAATTGGCCAAAGCTACAAGCAGAACACTTCAGGGCGTAACAATCCTGAAGGGTGTTCATTCGAACCGGCACGATTGGTCATAGTGGATAAAACACTTGTTCCACTATGACCTATACCAGATTACTTTGTGGTCAATTACTTGAGTCTGATTCTGAGTCTTTTTTAAAAATGGCACCTGGACATTCTTCTTCCCGAAGGAAAGGAAACCACTCCCCCCCCCCCTCTGGAGAGCCCTGCCCAGCGTGATGTGGCTAATATTGCTATATCGGGGAGACGAAGCGACATGTCTCTGACCGAATTCGCGAGCACAAATCAGATTTGCAACACGGCAGAACGAATTCTTCTGCTGTAGCTGATCACTGTTACAACACTGTGGGTGATCACGATATAATTTTCTCCGATACCAAGGTTCTTTGCAAACCCACGTGTTTTTATCAGAGATTTGTTCACGAGGCAATTCAGATTTACAAACACAGACACAATTTCAACCGAGAAGATGGTTTCAAATTAAGCAACCATTGGAAAGATGTTCTAAATCGAACCAAACATTAAACTAATTTTCAATGGTACAGTATATTTTTTCAATTAGTGGTACCCCAAACTTTCGCAGCTCTTAAAATTCCCTTTTCACACCATCGAAGTGTATACCCAGTTGCTGTTAATAGCTCAACTTATTGAAGAATATATTGAGTACATTTATTATATTGATGTAATTTAGACTTAGTTTTTTCACATCGGTTTACTGTATTATAGTTGGGTCGTGCAGCCCCTTTGGCGTCCATGTACTAGGTGCCTCTGTGGGTTGTGTAGGCTTTGACTTTAACATAGCTATTTCTATGACCACTCACAAGCTAATCCTTCAGCTATTTCAATGCTAAATTATCCTGTTTGATATGTAAACTCCTTTGTCAAGGTGCCTCACTTCTCTCACCCAGCTTAAAAGACGCTACGAATCAATAGCAGCGTTCATTGAAGCGCTGTCGTCCCGACAGTTCTGTTCCTTCACCTGAAGAAGGCTACTTGTGTTGTGGCCGAAACGTCGTGATTTTTGTTGTTTTATTTTTTACCTACGTGACTTTACCGAATAGAACCAAAGAGTATGGATCCTTGCAGTCACAAAAGCTTCAAATCTAGTTATATATAATCATACATATTCAAAAGTATATCTGTGTCTCCACACAAATAGAAATATTAGTCCATCAGCCTATTGGCTTTCCAGTCTAATGTTATCAAGCAGAATTTATTTAAGCATGCAACATCTGAAACGGTTT